CTCCTCAGTCTCGTCTTCCGCGTTTTCCTTAATCAACAAATTTTTGCCCTTTTGACTAGCATGCTTCCTGCAATCAGTCGCTCTATGCCCTTATTCACCACAACGAAAACATCTAATAGTAGGGTTAGAATTACCTTGCGGGCGTGAATCCTGAGCAGGACGTGAATCCTGAGGGCGAACTGGTCGACTGTTGTGATCGCTCCTGATCACTGGTCTCATATTTTGTTGTTTTTCAACAGCAAGTGCACGCTGGTATGCTTCCGAAACACTCCACAATGAATGAAGGCTGAGGACATCTTGCAAGGGCTGGCGTAAACCCCCCAAATACCGCGCCACCATCTGCTCCTCCGTCTCAGATAAATCGTTCCGGGCGACCAATTGGTAAAACTCCTCCGTGTAATCATCGACTGATCGCGCGCCCTGCCTCAACGCATGAAGTCGCTGAAATAAGGTTTGCGTGTAGTCGAAGGGAAGGAAGTGACCCTTCATCTTCTTCTTCATCTTCTCCCAATCAGTGATCTTGGCCTTGCCCTGTCTTTCTCGTGAACGTCGCAACTGTTCCCACCACGCAGATGCTCTGCCCTTGAGTTTGATGGCGACCAGTTTCACTTTCACACGATCGGGGACTTCCTTATATTCAAAAATACGCTCCAGTTCATTAATCCAATCCACGAATCCCTCGGCCTGTAACGTACCCGAAAACTCAGGGAGATCGACCCGAAAGCCGAGGTCTCCATGACGCTCCTCCCGAACACGGTGCTCCCGGAATCCTGCGCGATTGTGATATGGGTTTTCGAAAGTGGAATTGGTATCGTGATCAGAGGCCTCACGATCCTCGAAATCCTGCGCCGCTAGGCGCTGGGTTAATTCTGCGACTTGCCTTTGCAAATCCGCAATCATCACATCCTGAACTCTGCGATCACGACGTTGGGCTTCCTCATTCGGAACCTGCTCACGACGACCACGACCACGACCTCCAGCCATTGAAACTGGTGAAATTTCCCAGGAAGATGTTGAAGCTCTGACACCAACTGACGCCAGACAGAATAATGATTATCCTGCATGCTAGCTCCAACAGATGATTCACAAGAGAAAATTCGCCCAAAAACTAGAGAAAAAAGTCTCTAGGGTTTAATAAAATATTATAAAGCCAATAATCCTCAAATCAGTCCACAAGTCGGACTGTTATAGCCAAAAATCGTCTTTATTCGAATTTTGCCAAAAATAGCAAAATCCCGAAAATCACTCTAAATTAAAATTCGAAATAAAATAAGCAATCTCCAAAAAATCCGGCCTAAATCGGATTTAAATTGACTTTCTAATTGACAATCGAAATATTACCATAAATAGTAAAAAATATATAAATTTAGTGATTCGGAGGGGAAAATGGCAGAATTTGAGGTTGAAAAAAGGCCACATGGAGCGTAGCTCAAGTGGAGAGCGTGCGCGTCGAAAAGAGTTTTTCGGATTGGGGTCTTATGCGCGATTCTGACACCTTTAGCCAAAGTTATGGCCAAAAGACTGAAACATACTCAAAACGACCCCAATGAGGAACATGTCACAATCAATTCCCGCCTTTACGCTGATCTGTCAACTCATGGTATCTCAGCGCCATCAAGGTGCAATCTGACATCTCAGCATCATCTGTCTCGGATCCCCTGCATCAAACATGCCGTTTGGTTAACTACTACTCTGCTTAAATCCAGTTGGTGAAGGAGTTGCAGGGTATTTGCACGAACATGATATAAATACATGAACGAAACGATTATCACATGAAGAAATGAATAGATAAAGACTAGTCTTGCATATTCCATGCTGTTGGATTTGGGTATTTATGAACTCAGAACATGTTGCTTAAAAATTAAAGAATGGGAACTCAAGGACTGCTCATGCATGCACGTACGTACGTAAGTATGCATTCTACGAACTGCATGCTTAGTAGAGGTATAATTAAGAATTTATTTGAATAAAAAAGGTTTAATTAAAAACAAATGTTGTTTCTAACAATTTAAAACTGTGTAAAACAATACAACAAGGATAAAATCAGCATGATTATAAAAAAGATTACTATAAATATAAGTACAATAAGTAAAAGGCAGAGGTGCATAATTTATATTGCGAAGATAGATGTTATTTTTCAATATTATATATTTCATTGTATTTATAATAATTTAACATAATTTTAAATTTTTTAATGATTTTTGGTTTTTGATTGTTTTAATGAATGTTTTAAATATTATATAAGATTTTAAAAAATTATAAAAACTATTTAATCATAGTTTGACATATGCTAAAGGAAAAAAAGTTAATGGTAGGTTAACGGTAGGATCTAAGAGAAATTTGATCCCCGATAGTTTGGTTTTGCTAACGGTAGGTTAACATTTTGGATCGAAATATTTACTTTTCCATATATATAAGGATTAAAATGTATATTTTTTCCTGTAGTAGAATGATTAAAATGAATTTTTTATGTAGCAGAAGGACTTCTCATAGATTTTAACCATTTTAAGCTTAATCTGGGTTAAACTTATTTATCTAATAAAATTGAATTTAATTGTCATGCTCAATTTAAAATTGGGTTATTTCGTAAATAAGATTAACGTAGTCATAGAAAAGGCAGTAGTGATTCCGATTACATAGCAAACATACTTTATATGTTCTTAAATCTTTGACCCAAAGCCAAAAGTGTAAAGCAATCTTGAGCCAAAGCCGGAATTACGACGTTCCGCTTTATTCTTCGTCGCAACGAACAAGTCATGTTTTGTTCCAAACAATGCTTTTATTTTAATACAAAAGTGAACACATTTTGTAGGTTAATTAACCGGATCGTTAAGGTTTAACGATTTTGGTTAACTAAATCGTTAAAAATATTGGTTAACAGTTACGATTACGGTTATAAATATGCCTTGTAAAGCTAAATGAAAAGTCAGTTTTATTTCAAGAATACATAATGCCTTGAAAATGTTCGGATCCCGCTTGAAAACGTGTCGTAAGTCAGATGACGTCTCATACTTCAAAATCAGCTTCAATAAAAAAAATTGGGCCTTGGAAAAAAAGTAAGACAAACAAGAATAAGATATTACAATCTTGTCACGAAAGATGATTGGTGATAAGAGGTGATTAGTTGTCAGAGACGGTTAGAAAATATAGTGTCAAAAAAGTAATTTATTTAAAAGTTTAGCGACAAAAATAATACATCCCTAAATTTAATTTCTAAAACGACGTCAATTTAGGCATCAAAATAACCACATCAAAATGATTGGTTCGACCGACCACAACAACTATTAGTCAAGTCATCATCTCGTTATTACCTTAACAACGAAGTGATATAATTGAATGTAAAATTAAAATTTAATGTTATAATTAAAATTAATAGTATAAACGAGCCGACGGACAAAATTCAATGATAGCCCGTGATGTTTAACTTTTTATTAATTATTCATAATTATCATATCCAAGTCTTTTGAATTGAATTAGATTTTTCTATACATGGCTGGGCTGACTGCTTCTTTATTTATTTTTCTATTTTCTTTATTATCAACTATTGATATTAAAATGTTACTTTTTCTCTTAAATCTAATGGATCAGTCCGTCGTAAGTTAGCAAGCAACTCTCTGAGTTTCCGTGCAGTGGGTAATCTGTCATCTTGACGCTTTGCTGATACTTTGCTTAGTGACTTACGTTTCCTCAAACTGCAAGCCAATCCTCAGCTTGGGCTTGGCTTTCCCCGTTCTTGAGCCATACCACCAAAAAGCAAAGTCAAAGAGAAAAGATTCCCGTATATTATATAATAGGATTATGATAATGAGTTTGATGAGCAAAGGGAAATGGGTTTAAGAAATGAAAACAAGAGCATGGACGAAGTATCAGTTGTTCTAACAAGATTTGGGGACGAACAGAGCACATTGCTGGACCAGTTCGAGAGGCTTTCCCTCGAGATACAGCTCAATCAAGCCATATTGGCTCGGAGCCTATCGGAGACAAGCGTGTCTGGAAGGTCGCGGTTCTGCTCACAGTTTCAAGCTCCGCCGCCAGCGGTGGCTGCGAAGGGGCGGAGAGGGCGTCGTGGGTCTGGTTTCAACAGGGTCCTGAAGAAGTTGCTGAAACCAATTCTTGGTAGAAAAGGGAATGGTGAGAAGAAACCAGTGGCTGACCCTAAAAATCCATTGTCTTGGAAAGCCTTTAGCAGATCTCTACGGTTCTGATGATTTTTCTTTTTTTTGAAAAACTGTTGTTTTTATTACAGAAATCATATGTTATATAGTTCCTTAAGAAATCATATATTCCTGTATTGTTTTACTGATAATTTGCTGTACGAACTTGGAGCTCTGAATTAAAATTTTCCAAGTTTGATTCTAGCTTGTTTAAATATAGTTTTTAAGGTTTTGAATTTCTTCCTCTTTGGTTACAGCCCAGTTATTTTCACATTTGATTAATTGGTCACGTAACAAATATCTCACATCATCATTTTTGATAACATGACACGCCTTTTATAATCATTTCGAATGACATGATATATATCACATCATTAATTAAGTACGTGTTCAAATATCACGTCAACAATTTATGTTGACTATTAGTTAACTAATGTTTTCCATCCAATCTATGCGACTAAAAATTCAAATGTTGGGACTAAAATACTACCCAAAAAAAGGATGGGGGCACAAGTGAATACTTGCCCAAACGTTTGGGGCTAATTTTATGATTATGCTTTTATTATTTATGTTTAATTAACTAAATCTTTTAGGTGTTAAAGTTAAATCGTTGAATTGTTCCAAAAGATTATTTCTCAAATTTAAAATTCGTATAGTTAATACATTATTTATTCTTCAACTCCAATCACTTGTACAAATCTATCTATTTGTCAGCCCTTTAATTCAACAACTTTAGGCTCCGAATGAAATAATAATAATAATAACAACAACAAAACCCTATTCTCATATGCAATGAGATAAGGGGAATAGGATAGTAGGCTGCCTCTAACAACAGGTTGAGAGCAGCTTTTGTGAAAGACCTCCGACAGTCAGAAAATAATAATAATAAGTATATGCAAAATAAGGTAAAACAACAGATTCGACTTCTAATTGAAACCCCCGACTCCTCCTCCACTTGAACTGCCCTCCTTATTAATCCCATCAAGAATCACAATGAGGGCCACAATGAATGCATAATCTATGTTGGGATACACTGTCACCATGAACTTATCCTTCCCTATCAATATGCTTTCAACTGTGTGTTTCTTATGCATCTGCAACATTCATTCAACACTCCTCAATTAGATCTATTTTTTCTATAAAAAAAGAGTTCTTGTGTGTGTCTGTGTATAAGCTTACCTGGGCTACAACGGTGGAAGACTCTCCTGCATAAACAACACAAGATCTTTCCAACCAACTCCCTTTAACCTTAAAATCACAAACTTCCTCCTTTGTATTGTTTGCCAAGAACACATCTAGCTTCGTCTTTAATTGAAACATCGAAGATCGCTTCGCGGAAAACAGAAGATCACTCGCATCCGTGCTATCTCCCTTGAACACCTGCCACCTATCGTGTGCACTCATCATCTGCATCGGCATGAAAGCAAACAATATAAGCAAACTACTTGAACTTCAACAATCAACATTTACTTCATATAAAAGCATATGCATCCATGGAATCTAGGACTAAACCGGCGACCGCAACAACCTTTTGTTTGAGTGTCACGATGGGATTCCCGGCACCGTCGAGCAATACTCGACGGCCATGCATGGATAGAAAGGTTCCTTTGACTTTGAAAACGATGCTGCCATTGATGTCGGTAACGACAAAGTTTCCGTCAGTAATGGTCAACACTTTCCGGATGATTGCGAGATCGACAGGGTAAGGAGTGCAAAAATGAGGGCCGATGATCGAAACAGGGTTGGCTAATGGTTGGTTTGAAGTGAAACTTGGATTGGGAGTGGGATACGCCATTGGGGAATTGTATAGCTGTTGAATTTCGTTTTGCTTATGGTGTTGATTTTCAATGGACGAGGCAGCTTATATAATGCTAAGTGCTAAGGATTCTCATACGCGTAGAAGGTGACTTTGTCCTTGTCTATGAAGTAACACGTACAAGCTAAATGTCAAAAGCTTATCTTTTGTTTCAGCGTGGAAAAATCAGCCAGCCATATCCATCCTACTCGGTTTATATCATCTACTCAGAAATTCCCTCAACTGCTTGAAAACCATTTGAACCTGTAAAAACAGATTAAAAAAATACAAGTTACCATTGAACCTATTTTATACTCTTTTATGGAAAATTATTATAGGTGACTGAGATTGGAATATTTAATTCATTGAATTTTTATTAAGGTGTGTACCATTTAAAGTTCGGGATGGGCGTCGGTCATATAAGATCAAATTTTTGGTCGACCCAAATTCCGTTTAGAAATCTAAAACTTCCGCGTGAACATCTGGTGTTGGTGATTTTTCACTCGACTTATATTCGGTCTAAATTTTGAGCTAGACTTCATTCTGACCTAATTTGAAACAAATAAATATATAAAGAGGGGTACTACAATAATTATCTTTATATGTATAGGCGAGAGTTATACTATTATCTCGAATCAGGTTGAAAACCGTCAGTTTGGATTTTGCTATCATTTTTTAAAGCACATATTTTTTTTTAAAGATTTTTTATAAAATAAGAAAAGAAAGTTAAATCTCACAACCTAACAAGTTCAGAACTCTCCAACCCCTTTATATAGTCATAAGCATCTTGAGAACAGTGGAGGGAGAATCACATTATCTAGTGCAACCAACAACACAACTTTCAGCCAATGTCACCATTTGATTTGCAACCGTGTCTCTTCTCGGTAAGTACGTTGTACTGGACGTTCTACGGTCTCTTCATTGTCACAAAGCCCCAGGTGACTTTGTGTCAATACTGTACTTGTAAAAACTCGTACTACACAACAAGATTCTCAAGCTCTAGCATAAGACCTTGATCACTTACATTCTAAACTTTACACAATCTGTCGGGTGCGTCCAACAACTCTGCTTCAAAAATTAAACAACCGATCATGCGTCCGTATCCAAGTTATGGTTCTTGTCCCCTTCAACATTCAACTTGATCCACCTTGACTCCAACCTCGACCAAAAAACCATTCTCTCCATACAACTAGTTGATGGCATATAAAATACCTTCTTATGGGACGTAGTCAACCTAGGGGTATATAGTATTGACATCTTACTATGACCAACCATTGAGTCCTAGGATCGACTAACCTAAACTCTAAATCATTAAATATTACACCCTAAACTTGATTCGTTATAATACATAGTGTGTCAAATTGGGTCACCGAAGTGACCTACAAAAATTTTCCTTTATTGTGAATATAAAAGCATTGATTAATTGAAAATATTGAAATTCATAATGACAATAAAATATTTTTAAAAGAACCGAACTCTATTATACAAAGTATAAATCAAATAAGTTCAAAATAGAAATAGAGTTACATACCAAATATAAGTAAGAGTCCTATGAATATACATTCTCACTAAAATAATCGGACATTGTGCTCTAACATAGATGCTGAAAATCTTATAGTGACGGTACTCCACGAACTACTTTAGTCTACTAACTTGCAAATGAAATCATCTGGATGTTAAGTTATGCTACTAATCTAATATACATCATGGATGTCACAAACATAAATATGGTAGAAGTATAAGCAATAAGTAGTAAGTATAGACATGCATCATTTATCTAAGATATATCACGCTTATAATCAATAATGTAATGATAGTTTCATGATCAACCTAATCCTTGCTATTACGACCTAGTCATGAAATTAAATCAACAACCATAAATTATCTGGTTTCACCTAGCATCAGATAATAATCAATAATGTTAAATATTCAATCAAAACATCATGAAAACAAAAAAAAAAATCACTCAGTTTTATTAAACAATCAAGTGATATGATATGATGATATTTGATGTTACAAAAACAATCGATTATGAGATTATTCATTCATAGATATCTAAATGGTTTCTAGCCTCTAGGACCAAATAAAGAAATATTGTCATATAGGGTCACATACCAATAATTATGACATAGGGACACATAAGTAAAAGGGTGGTACGCGGCCTTACTTAAAAAAATGATTGTCCCTTGTTCTCATATGTAATGGGGTAAGGGGAGGTAAGATAGTAGGTTGCCCCCAACACTAGGTTGAGAACAACTTCTGTAGGAGACCTCTAAATTATGAAATGCCCTCCATAAGACTCGATCTCACGACCTCAAGATTAAGAATCTTGTGCTGTACCAACTGAGCTGGATGGTCACTTAGCATTGAATATTATTCCATCGTATAGACTTAAGTATGGTTGCCCGGTCTCATTAAGCATTAGGATATTCATTCACAAATATTTGAGTAGTTTCTCATCACTGAGATTGAATAGACAAATATTGTCATATACGGTCAAATCCCAATAATTTCCCTTAAGGCCGAATATAGATACTTAGTGTAATCTATAAGATTCATCAATTATTATGAGTTGTTTATTCGGGTGAAAAGTCAAATACCAATAACTTTCCAAGAAATTTAAATACAATATTTAAATAACAATGATTTAAAAAAACTATAATATCACATCAATAAGAAGAATACATTCGAACATCAATAAAAATAATCGGAAACAATAGTTAATTTGTCATAACGTATTAAATAAATTAAATTGTACAAATATAACTTTTAATATGACACTAAAAATAATATTTAATATTTTTGCATCTATTTTATATTTAATTCAACGAAACTAATAAAAATTATTTCAATTAAAATTAAAAATTAAATTAAATTTTAATTAAAATTAAAAGATCAAATAATTTTTTTTTATTAATTTAACATGCATCGTGGCTTCTTCGCCGGCAAGTAATGGTGATGTACCCATTTTACAACAAAATTTAGAATTTAATAGTCATTGAATAACTTTTAAAAGTTTAATATCTAAAAATGATTATTTTAATAATATTTGATTACCATTTAAAAATTTAACCTTATAAAATTAATGATAAATATCATTATTCATTCTAGAATTTTCTAATATTATTATTAACCAAATATTACATTTATTTATTTTTATTTAAACTTAAAAAAAGTCCTCCATTCTCTCGGCTGCCATTTTGCTATTTTTAATTTCACAAAATTGAGGGGCGGTTAACTTTGGTACTACCTGTAAATTAGAGATGCATAGAAGTCGGATTTTAATTCGATCCGGATCGGATAAAAATTAATCCAGTTTTTTCTTCCAACCCAAAAATCGGATTTTAAAAAATCCGGTTCGGATCCTAATCGGTTTGGAGGGTCAGATGGTGTAACCGGTTTTGGTTTGTAAAAAACCGATTTTTAAAAAAAAATTGGATTTTTTTCGGATAAAAAACCAATTTTTTATCCGGTAAAAAAACCGGTCGTTCAATTTTTTCAAAAACCGGTTATACTATCCGGTTTTTAAATATCCAATCCGGTTTAAAAAAAATCGATTTTTCCAAAATCCGATTTCGGACATTTTTTACCCAAAATCAAATATTCGAATTTTTTGCCTAATTGTTAAAAAGGCCCAATAGTATCTCAAAATTAGGGTTTATGTTTAAAAAGAAATTTCTTTGCATTGGGCATAAAAAATCTGCATCCTTATCGGATATTTTTTTGCTCCGCCGTCTTCTTCTTCCTCTTCGATGAAGGAACTGATTCGAAGTTACTCTATTTACGACAATAACAACTTTTGACCTCTATCTCTGCTGCTCTGATTTGAGTTTGAGCTCTTGCGAGTTGCAACACCGAGTCAGGTCAGCCTCAGCTTGCTCTTACGTTCCGTCTTTGTTCATGTTTCTCTGGTCAAGGCGTTTCGAGTTTTTTGTAGATCCGATTTATTTTGGTTTTCGAGAATAGTTTGCTGACGGAAGGGGTTCTGTAAGATGCGTTTTTTATAATTGGTTTGTAACTTTTAAAGTATGGGTAGAGGATATAGTGAATCGAGTGACAATGAATCGAGAGATGTGGGTAGGGAACATCGAAGTCGTGGCCTTAGGTATTCTAGGTCAGATAGAGAAAGGGGAAGACGAGAAAGTGAGAGAGAAAAAGGAAGAAATCACGATGATGAGGATAATCGGCAAAGAGAAAACTCCGGATCTTTTGATGTAGACAGGCGTGCTAATAGAGATGGGAGGCGAGAAAGTCAGAGAATTCATGATGATGATAATTCTAAGGATGGACCAAGAGAAGGCCGTTCTAGATCTGGTGAAGAAGATGGTAAGCATGTAAATAGAGATAGGAGGCGGGAAAGTGAAAGAATTCATGTTGGTGGTACGGATAGGAGGAGAGAAGAGCGTTCTAGATCTTCTGATGAAGAAGATGACAAGCGTTCCTACGGGGATAAAAGGCGTGAAAGAGAAAGAATTCATGATGGTGATGATAAAGTGCGGGAAAGAGAAAGAATTTACAATGGTGATGATGATTCCAAGACCAGGAAGAGAGATACACCTGAGGAAAGTTCCGAATCTTCTGATAAATCGGAGGAGAGGCAAGCCAAGAGGGACAGGAGGGGAAGAAGGGATAGAAGTAATAGACATGACACTAGAAATAGGGATAGGCATAATGAGAGGCGGCGGGAATCTGAAGAAGATAGATATATAAATAGGGACCGACGTCATCATTCGCATCATTATTCTGATGACGATCACAGAAAAGGGTCCCATAGAAATACAGAACGTGAGAATAGAAGTGATAGGAGAGACAGCGATAATCAGTTAAGCCGTAGAGACAGAGATGATAATAAGGAGAAAGAAGAAGGGGAAATCAAGCTGAAACAATCAGCATTGCAACAAACCAACTTGAATGGTGACACGGCAAATTTAGGTAGGAGTGGAGGAGTTTACATTCCTCCATTTAAATTAGCAAGGATGATGAAAGAGACACAAGATAAGAGCAGTGTCGAGTATCAGCGGTTAACATGGGATGCCCTTAGAAAAAGTATCAATGGGCTTGTTAACAAGGTCAATGCTACTAATATAAAGAATATTATTCCAGAACTCTTTGCTGAGAATCTTATTCGAGGAAGGGGTCTCTTTTGTCGTTCTTGCATGAAATCTCAGATGGCATCTCCGGGTTTCACAGATGTTTTTGCTGCATTGGTGGCCGTTGTTAATACCAAGTTTCCTGAGGTGGGGGAGCTATTGTTGAGAAGGATTGTTTTGCAGCTTAAGAGAGCATATAAGCGGAATGACAAGGTGATTAACTGCCCCTTTATTCAATACTTCTCATGATTTATTTATCTCGACTAAAGGGAACCTTTTTTGGATGTCTTACTGACTGTTTCTTTTATCGGACAGCCTCAATTATTGGCAGCTGTTAAATTTGTAGCACATCTTGTGAACCAGCAAGTGGCTCATGAAATTGTTGCTTTGGAACTACTCACTGTTTTGCTGGAAAATCCTACCGATGACAGTGTTGAGGTGGCTGTTGGTTTTGTTACAGAGTGTGGTTCATTACTTCAAGATCTTTCACCAAAAGGCCTCCATGGTGAGTGTTATTGTTTGAATCATGTATATTTCAATGCAGTAATTCTACTTATATGTATTGTAATTCATGGTGATTTAGATTCCATAGTATTGTGGTTTTGGAATGCTGAGATGCATTGTCTTGCATTTTGTTAATCATACATGTCATGCACGGCAAGTTATTTTTCCATGGGGATGCCTGTTTTTCATGCTTCAGCTTCTAGAATATACTAAGAACTTCATTTAGCTGATAATGCTGGTTCTAAAAATTTTCCGTTTTCCTGAGTAATATATGCTTGTGACTGTGTGTTTGAGTTTTTTAATTTCATTGGTATACTTGCTTTGTATTGCTTGTTGCAGGAAACTGTTTACAAATTAATTATGAGTTTAATGTTAATGTAATTTTATCTGATACAAAGTTGAGGAAAAAGCTTTGCTTATTTCTTCCTCTCTCTCCCTCCCTCCCTCCTTCCTTCGGTGATTCTAGTCTGGTGGTACCTTCTTAGATATCTTTGTGCCCTTGTCAATTGATGTTGCCTGTTGTGTTTACAGGTATCTTTGAGCGATTTCGGGGGATTCTTCACGAGGGAGAGATAGATAAACGTGTTCAATTTTTAATAGAGGGCTTATTTGCTATAAGGAAAGCAAAGTTTCAGGTATGTTCTTCCCTAAATAATTCTTTGAAAATCCTGTAAATTTTCAATGTCACATACCTTTTTATTGATCAAAAGGAACTGTTTATCATTGTTTTCCATATATTCATTTTTAGGGTTACCCTGCAGTTCGTCCAGAACTAGACCTTGTTGAGCAGGAGGACCAATTAACTCATGAAATATCTCTCCAAGATGAGATAGATCCCGAGATCACCCTTGGTATGTCTCAAGTTTCCTTCTAGTGATCAAATGTACCTGTTTGATTAATTCTGTCTGGTATGTGATTGTGAATAACTGCAATTGTCCTTTCTTGCAGACATTTTTAAACCAGATCCTCAGTTCTTGGAGAATGAAAAGCGCTATGAAGAGGTGAAGAAAACCATCCTTGGTGAAGAATCTGAGGGTGAAGAAGGCTCAGATGCAGGTTCAGGTGACGAGGAGGATGAGGATGATGATGAATCAGATGAGGAAGATGAAGAGAAGATGAAAATACAAGATGAGACAGAGACAAATCTTATAAATCTTAGGAGGACAATCTACTTGACAATCATGTCCAGTGTAGATTTCGAGGAGGCTGGTCACAAGCTGCTGAAAATTAAGCTTGAGCCCGGGCAAGAGGTAGGTGGGAGAAATGATAGGCCAATCAGAACCGTTTCTCTTTCCCTAAGACATGCATTATTTCCCTCTGGCTTTGCAATTTTATGTGTTTTCCTTCTATCCCTCTCAACTCTGAATAAAATTCTTATTTATAACATTCTAAGAAATTTGTTTCTTGATTTTGTTTTTTCAGATGGAGTTATGCATTATGCTCCTGGAATGCTGTAGTCAGGAGAGAACATACCTTCGATATTATGGTCTTCTGGGGCAGCGGTTTTGCATGATCAACAAAGTCCATCAGGAAAATTTTGATAAATGCTTTGTTCAGCAGTATTCTATGATCCATCGCCTTGAAACAAACAAACTACGCAATGTGGCAAAGTTTTTTGCACATTTACTCGGCACAGATGCTCTGCCGTGGCATGTTATATCCTACATACGCTTAACTGAGGAGGACACAACCTCTTCTTCCCGAATATTTATAAAGATCCTCTTCCAGGTAAGTTAAAAGAGTGCGTTTATGTTGATTTTCAGGTCAATTAGGCGTTTAGTTATTTTACTGTTATTGGTAAAAACTTGTGTTTATGTTGCCATTTTGGTACTTGGTAATGCTGTAGGAATTGTCGGAGCATCTCGGAATCCGCAGACTGAATGAACGGCTATCGGATCCAACGATGATGGACTCCTTTGAATCTATTTTCCCAAGGGATAATCCCAAGAACACTAGATTTTCAATCAACTTCTTCACTTCAATTGGTCTCGGTGGTATAACTGAGAATTTGCGTGAATATTTGAAGAACATGCCCCGGCTTATTATGCAACAACAGGAACCAGCATCTGGATCAGAATCGGGTGATGAATCTGAAAGGCCTAGTTCATCAGATTCAGGAAGTGCTAGTTCAGAATCGGAGTCAGAGACAGAATCATCAAGTTCCGACGAGAGTGAAAAGCGCCGGAGGAAGAGGAGAAGAAAATGAGGTAAGATTGAGGTGTTGAGTGTGAAGCTTATGTAGAATATATGTCCCGAGTTCTGATACATATATATTATGCATGTCTCTTGTTTTCTTATTTCGTCAGCGGCACATTGGATTGATATGATAACAATGCTAAGTGTAATTTTGTACGCTTTAAAGTGGGGAAAATTACTGATCACCATCTTGCAACCTGGGGTTCTAGAATTATTATTTTATTCCATTGTTCTAGCAGTACATCTATACCTAATATTTTCAATTGAAAATTGACTTCCTTCTTTGATTGTCAACCAAGCAATGTTAATTTTGTTTTGTAGATTAATTTAATCATTTGCTATGTTTATCATGTAAGTCGGGGGGGAATGAAAAAAAAGTATTTGTTCCTATTATTTTTAATGTGCTTAAAGTATATGTGTATATTTTTGTACAAGAGTAATAATTTGCTATATATATATATATATATTTTGAAGTATTTTCTTTTGTTTACTTCTGTTTGTGTAATTAAAAACTGAATATAGTTTCTCTATTATGTTTCGTAAATATAAATTATTAATAATTTTTTTAATTTAGTTGATGTTATAGATTAAATCAAATTTTAATTCAATTGTGAAATAACAAAATTTATCTTGAATGATAAAAGATGTTTTGTTTTTCTATAATTTTTTTACACTTTTTAAATAAAATAATAAAAAGTTATTATTTAAGAATTTAAACATGTGTTTAATAGGATTTATATGTAAATTATTTATCACTTCTATTATCATTATTGAATGAATCTTAATCTTTTTATATTAAATATTTTCTTTTACTTATAAGTGATAATTGAATATATATGTAAATATTTGGGTTTTTTATTAAAAAAACATGATTATAGGAATAGGTGAGAATTCTTTTTGGGTAAATTATATCATCGACTATCTACTAATCATTATTTTTGAAGTTGTCAATTGAATTATCCAATTATTTAAATATATTCAATCAAACTACTCGTTAATATTTAATGAAAGTTATGAATGATATTCAATAAATTAGGTATAATTGCATATTTAATTATGATTATTTACACACTTCATCAAGTTGTCATAATTTTAAATTAATTTAATATATTCAACCCAAGTCTACAAGCAATGGTTGCGTGTGCTTCTACCATTTCGCCGGCATCCATATTCTAGCATGGGCTTACAACGTATATTTAGGTTATATTTGAAGTAATTATAGAAAAAATAAAATAATAATAAAAATACTCAAACCTATGTCCATTAGGGAATATAAAATCACCTAAACCATTTAAAAAATATGATTATTGAATTATAATTGAATATATTTTATATATATTTAAAAGCGTAATTATTATAAGATTTAAAATAAAAATAAATTAGACGTTAAGTTTCTTAAATGATATCTAAAATTTTAAATTTTAACGTAATTTAAAAAATACAAACTAAGAAGATCATCTTATAATAAGGTTAAACAATATTCAATCCAAATTATTAGACTAGCAAATTAAATAATGATGATTATAAAAAAATATTGACTTAACAAATTAATCGACTATTGTTCATGTCAAAACAGATGTTTTAAAATGTAAAGATTTAAGTAAATCTACAAGTACATTATACAAAAACTAATATTAATAAAATTTGACTTGACAAATTCAATAACTATTGTTTGTGACAAAACAGATTTTAAAATCCAAACATGACCAAATTAGAGTATAATGTGCAAGTGCAGAGACTATTAAAACTTACCTTTTTATTCAGATTAAATGCAATAGGAATCCACCAAAGACCAGGCATTCAATACAAAGAGCCAATTCAAGAAAGCATCTCACTAACCAATTTGGACATTCAACTGTTTTCTTTCACTACCCTGGAACAAAAAGGATAGGAAAACTCGATCTCCACCTCCACAACAAGCTCTAAAAAACCCCTACCTTTTTCATTTGCTGTCAGTGAAATCAGCATCAATGACATCCCCATCAGCCCCCTTTTTCGTTGAATCCGAAGGTCCGGTTTCAGCACCTGGTGCAGTCCCAGCACCACCGGCTCCGGGTTGGTTGTAGAGTGACTGGCCGAGCTGCATGACTTCCTGGTTGAGTGCAGCCATGGCATCCTTTATAGCTTGTGTTGATTCCCCTGAAATCACATCCTTGAGCTCTTGCAATTTTGCCTCTATTTTCTCTTTGACTGGACCAGGAACCTTGTCTCCAAGCTCTTTCAACTGCTTCTCAGTTTGGTACACGACCGAATCGGCTTGGTTCTTTGTGTCTATAGCGTCTCTTCTCTCCTTATCCTCCTTTGCAAACTTCTCAGCTTCCTTTACCATTCTATCAACCTGCATATCACAGCAGAATAATGAACCTATGTTACCAAGGTGTGGCATTGTCGAATTGCTCAGTTTTTCTTTTTTTAACTCCTATATATATGATGCATGCCCCCATACCCATGTCCAAATATGCGTCAAAATACAGGTCTCAAACACATACTTTAGTCAAAATCAAGACTCGAAGCAACATTGTAATGAAATGATTCATCGAAGATGACATTTCCAACATCGGAATAAAATGCAAATGTATGAACTATGGTGCCTGATAAAAGCAAATAGTTTTTGGAATGGCTTAAGACTCGAGAGTAATCCATCTGAGCACAATTACATCCCAAAATTAAATGCATACCTCATCATTGGGTAAGGTACTGGCGCCGGTAATAGTAATATCTTGCTTCTTCCCAGACCCCTTATCGACTGCAGTGACAGAGAGGATACCATTGGCATCAATGTCAAATTTGACTTCAATCTGAGGAATCCCACGCGGTGCTGGCGGGATACCATCGAGACGGAAGCTGCCAAGAGATTTGTTATCCTTAACAAACTCTCTTTCACCTTGGAGTACATTAATATCGACACTTGTTTGACCATCTGCGGCTGTTGAGAATGTTTCTGATTTGGAGGTCGGCAGCGTAGTGTTCCTTGGGATGATTTTGGTCATAACACCGCCAAGAGTTTCTAGACCAAGTGATAAAGGTGTCACGTCCAAAAGCACGATATCACTGACATCTCCGGCTAAAACACCAGCCTACTCAAATTGTGTGACACAAGGAAAACTTTAAAAATAGAATAATAGACAGGTTGCAGTAAAATCTATAACCAACCAATCACATTCAACTACAAAGAAAAAGACTAGAGATATTGCTATAACTTTAACAAGGCTAAACCAACCTGAACCGCAGCCCCCAAAGCAACAACTTCATCGGGATTTACTGTCACATTAGGTTCTTTGCCAGTCATCTTCTTCACAAGTTCCTGAACTGCAGGAATACGTGTTGATCCACCGACAAGAATAACCTCATCTATGTCATTAAAGGAAAGTTTAGCATCCCTCAAGGAATTCTCCACAGGTTTTTTGAGCCTACAGAATATATAGATAGAACATAGAAACTCAAAATCTCCAGTGAATAAGCCCAGACATTTAGGAAAAATATGAAAAGATTTTTCTGTCTCTCTCTTGAAATAAACTTATTGAAATAATAAAAACACCTGTCAAGTAGGTCTGAGCACAATTCCTCAAACTTGACCCTGGTAAGGGTGGTCTCAATGTGTTTAGGCCCATCTGCAGTAGCAGTAATGAAAGGTAAACTGGAACCAAAAACGAGAAAGCCATGTTATCAAACACTACAGGGGAAATGCACAAAGGAAAGCATGTAGACAAAGATAATAAGAGAAGAGAAATGCCTTAAGTTAGTCTGAGTCAAAGATGATAACTCCATTTTAGCTTTCTCAGCTGTTTCAGTTAACCGCTGAAGAGCTTGTTTGTCTTTCAAAAGATCTATGCCTTCATCTCTCTTAAAGTTTTCTGCAAGCCAATCAACAATTCTCTGCACATGAAACACAGTACATATGGCATACTTCAGTATTAAGAATATACAACTAACACAGAGATAATGTTTGTCCGGAAACCTACTTTATCAAAGTCATCACCACCCAAATGTGTGTCTCCAGATGTAGAGAGCACCTCAAACACTCCATCACCGACCTCAAGCACTGTATATATTAACGAATAGACAACAAAACATTGCTGGAATTTTTAGCAATAAAAGATAAATAAAGTTGCACGTTGTAACATAAAACAAAATGATACTTGCAGATAATTAGCTTCTCAACCAGCCACAGACCTGAAACATCAAAAGTACCACCTCCAAGATCAAACACGAGGATGGTTTCATTGTTCTTCTTCTCAAACCCATATGCCAGAGAGGCAGCAGTAGGCTCGTTGATAATCCTGAGAACTTCTAACCCAGCAATTCGACCAGCATCCTTTGTTGCTGTCCTCTGGGAATCGTTGAAATAAGCAGGGACAGTAACAACCGCTTTTGCCACTTTCTCATTCAAAAACTTTGAGGCATCATCAACCAGCTTCCTCAAAACCTATATCCAAAAGTAGAAATAAGCCATAGAAAGACTGAAAAAACTGCTATGAACTAGACTTTGCTTTGATGCCACTGTTAAGCTCTGTCCTGAGTCCATTACGCAATTAATCGATATTGAAAACTATGGATTTCTATCTAGAACTTAAAGACTTCATTAGCACTGCATTCATAGCTAATAAAATGAAATAACTTCACATAAAAAGGACCACCTAAGTCACTACTACACATAAACACTATGGATTTTTATTCAAAACTTAAAAAGAACTTCAGCAGCAATGCATTTATAGCAAATAAATTAAAAGCTCCATAATTTTTGGTTTCAGAAACGCATAAAAAAAACAAAGCCGGTAAATATTATATACCTGAGCTGAAATTTCCTCGGCGGCGAATCGTTTACCGATGGCCGGACACTCGAGCTTAACATTCCCATTCTCATCTCGACTAACCTTGTAAGAAATCTGCTTGGATTCCTCATCCACTTCCGACATTTTCCTTCCTATAAATCTTTTAACAGAGAAAAATGTATTCTCAGGGTTCACAACGGCTTGCCGTTTCGCGATCTGCCCAACCAACCTATCCCCATTTTTGGTATACGCCACCACGGACGGCGTCGTTCTCTGTCCTTCCCCGTTCGTAATAATCGTCGGCTTCCCTCCTTCCATAGCCGCCACCGCCGAGTTCGTAGTCCCCAGATCGATTCCCACCACCTTTTCGTTCATCACTCTCAACGGCCCGAACCGCTTGCGGTTGTTGGTGTTACTACGCCGCCGTAAGAAGGCAACGTTCAAAGGTGAGGGTTTTCCCAGTCTGTGACCGAAGAAAACCGTTCTGGGTGATTGGTGGTTGGGTTTTCTCGATGAAGGGAAGCCAATAGCGCCAAGGGCGTTGATTTGAGTAGTTGAGGAAGCCATTTTTTATGTATATGAAATGAAAACACCAACAAATACAAGAACAATGGCTAAAGGAGCGTTTAGGATTCTAAAACTTTGGAAAAGAGAAAAACCCAAAGTTTAGGAAGGTAAAGAGAGAGTGAAGAAGGGAAGGTGAAATGCTTTAAGCTGAGTTGGGTTTTGGATTGGGAAGAAGAGGATAGACTTTTGTGGGATTTCAAAAAGGGTTTCTTTAGGTTAACCGCTTAAATATAATTATTTTTCACCTAAATTTGGCACTTGATCTAGTACGGTTAATATTTAATTTAATAAATTTAATTTTTTAAATAAATAATAACATCTATTGTTAGGGGTGAGCATGCGATCCGAACCTGACCAGATCAGGTCGGGTTTTTCTAAAAAAAATCGAGTTTGGGTCGGATCGTGACGGATTCGGGTTTAGGGTGAAAAAATCTGATTCAACCCGACCCAGAAAAAATATATAATTTTACCCTATATATTTAGAGATAATTACAATAATACACCTTTATATATAATTTTTTTAATTAAGTCACTGATTTTATTGAATAAAATATTTTTTATTATTTCAGGTCGGGTCGGATTTCTATGTCATATATTCTGGTCGGGTGTAACCTTATTTTGGTCTGGTGGAGGCTCTCTTGTTCTCGGATCGAGTCGGGTAGACCAAAAACCCTATCCAATCCGACCCATGCCCATCCCTATCTATCGCCATCAGATTAAAAAAAACCTTTTAATGTCACCTATTTATTATGGTATTAAAATAAAGGCCTAATTATAAAAAATACTCTTTTAACAACATTTATCATTTTATAAATTTTTATTTTAAAAAAACCTGAGTTTTTGAAAATCTAAAAAAACCCAAACACTATATTCCTTAATTCAAAATCCCTATTATCGTTGTCGGGCACCGCCGGCCGCCGGCACATTCTCCGAACAGCCACCCATCCGTTATTGTCCGTTCGCTGACCCTCTTGACCGGTCATCGATAATAAGACTGTCATTCACTAGCTGTCTCACAAACGGTTTTTCTAAAGTATGTTCCTTCATTCACGAGCTATTATGAGATCTGGGTGGAGATAGAAAGGCTCAACCTTGCGCAATATTCTGGCGATGGCCTCGTTCTACTAGTTTGTTAGCAAATGGAGTAATACGGCCAAGGGCAAGCCAAGGATACATTGCAATTTGATTGCCATAGTCGATGGGTGTTGTCGTGATACAAATTGCAGAAATGTAGAAGACAACATTGGTGCCAGAAGCAAGGGGTTTTGGTCGGTCGACACTCGTCAGTGTAGGGGTTCCAACTGGTCAGCAATGTTGTAATTTTATAAACTGAATCGAAAAAATCAAGTTATAAAATACAATTCGAATAATTCAAAATTTTTAATAATTAGTAGATTGAATTTTAAGTTTGAGTCGAATCTCTCATCTTTGTATAATATATGTATATCACCTATAAAAAAGGAAGAAATATATATATATAGTAATAAAAATCATTTAAATTATAATAAAATAATATCATAATATTATAAATATTTACAATTAGATTCAAACAAAAATTTTAAAATTTAACTTGACTCGACTTGAATTTTATAAACTTGACTCGAAAAAATTTCAAGTTAAATTCAAATTATAAAATAAAAATCGTCAATTAGTTTAATTACTCAGCTCAATCGAAAACTGAGCCCTATTATCTGTCATCCTTGACCATTGTTGCTATAGATCACGTTTTGCAGGGCTGTAACAAAGCTCGAAATAACAAGGCTTCTTCGAATGCCCAATAAAAGACGACCGATTTTGCTCAAAGGGTGGCCTTTGGGCTCTAACTAGAGATGCACATAGCCGGATTTAAATTCGATTTAGATCGGATAAAAATTAATCCGGTTTTTCACCAAATAAAAAAATCGGTTCGGATCATAACCGGTTTGGAGGATCGGATGATGTGACCGGTGTAATTGGTTTTGGTTTGAAAAAAAACTAATTTTTTTTAAAAAACGGTTTTTAATCCGGTAAAAAATCCGGTCATCCAATTTTTTAAACCCCATACCGGATTTTTAAACCCTAGACCGGATTTTTTTTCTGGATAAAAAACCAGTTTTTTATCCGGGTTTTTTCAAACTGGTAAAAAATCCGATCGTCCAGTTTTTTCCCAAACCGGTTATACTATCCGGTTTTAAAATATCCGATCCGATTTAAAAAAAACATGTTTTTTCCAAATCCGATTTCAGATATTTTTTGCACAAAATCGAATATTCAGATTTTTTGTGCATTCTAACACATTCCTACATTAATATATGTGGGTAAGTTTTATTTCTTTTATTTAATATAAGTATTGTAGTTGTAGCTTGTTGAAAATGCAAATTGATCTTTGTGGTTATTTATAGCAACAATGTACTTATTCTTTGAAAAAGTGGGGTATGAACCATACTATGAATTGTAGGATTGATTTTCTTGGACCCAATAACGTATTCTTTAATTTCTTAATTTATTTCAAAAAAAAATACAGTCCATTTCCTTCCATAAAATCAAATGAGGGATGTTGCTGCCAAAGACACCATCATGACGACCTCAATGTCATCCAGTAAACTTGATCGATCATATCCATAATCATATACAACAAAAAAGTTTACAGCGTGCTAAATTAATTACTATGAACAACTCAATCTTAAAAGAATAAAAACCTGAAAGCAACTATAATCTAACCAGAACTAAAGAATTGAACTCTACAATTCGATTGCATGATACACCATAGAGTTACAGGTTGAAGACCTTACTCAAAACTCCATCTGCTTGCATTTGCTGCCACTGTTTGCTTACACATGCAATCTGGCATGGGAAATGTGTAAACTGCAGCGCTGGGTTTCTTCAATTCCCTTCCCTTCACATCACTATGCCGAAGCATATCTTTCATCTGTCGTTTGAAGGTTTCCCACCTACGAAACAAACACGACCAACATATATATTTAGGAACTTTTTTTTTATTTCTTTCAAGGTAAATCAAGATTTAATTAATAGTAATGTTTTAGTGTGAAATGAACTTGTCAATATGTATAGCTAATAGTAGGCTTTGGAACGAGCATAGAATGATCTTATATTAGCTCAAAGTCATAACACAATAAAGGGAATTTAATATCAGAGTAAAATGAGAGCAAAAAGCACATGTTTACCTGATACGAGGACTATCAAATAGCAGTGCTAATTTCCTTTTGTCGGGCTTAATTGTTTTTGCATGTCCTCCAAATAAATAGCGGCGATGACCCATTAAGAAGTGGGGAAAATTTCCACCTTGTGTCGTGACAAATACTTCGCTGTGAAGGCAAACGGTGTAGTCAAGTGCTGCCAACCTAGATGAGTGGCCCTACATTATGAACTAGATTGTTAAAGGATTGAAGCATTTATAGTTTTCTTCTTCCTCCTTTGAAGTTATTATAATTAGATTTTGCACTGGCTGACTTAACGAAGCAGCACAACAGGTCAAAAGCTAGATACCTTGAATGGAGCAAGTTCTTCTGAAGTAGCTAGTGTATCCTTCGTTTCTAGAAGAGGAAACATTTGTTTAAGAGGAGCCATGTATTTATCAGCTTTGTAAATATTTCCTGCTGCGACAAATACTGATGTATTGTTATCGAAACCCATGCCTCTAAGCATCAGTCCCACCTAGAGAACCAAGTAAATATAGTTAATAAGTGAACAGAAATGACAGCATCAAAATTTGTATTATCTATATATCATGTACCCTGCCAATATCTTTATGTTCAAATATTGAACAAGGAGAATCACCAAAAAAAGATTGTAGTATCATCAAATGTACACTCCAGAATAACTTGATTGAGAACATTGCGTAGAACATGTTAAAGTAAACAATATAAAAAGAAAAACAATAGTCGGATACCTCCAGAGGGGTTAAAGGGCATTTTCCATCCATACGATTAGCACCTGGCCTTATAACTCTGCCCCTTCGCCTAAATTTTCCTCTCCAACTTCTTTCTCTAGCAATATACATTTCATGTTTCTCTTCTTCCCCACCATCATATTCACAGCAGGAAAATGCAACCATGTCCTTCCAAAACAAAACATTGTCTTTCAGAAATAGAGCACATTTTTGCTAAAATTACACTCAAGAATCAACGAATTATTCATCCATGAACAAGAAATAAGGAAAACACCGTTTCAAACCGAAGATGCACTGAAACATATTTTCCTCCAGTATGGGAGCTATTATTGACCATCCTCTCAACCATTTTATCAGCCAGTGTCCTTATAGGTTCTGCAAACCTCAGTGCTTGAAAATTGGATAAGCACCTAATCCCTTGTACATTAGACGGAACAGAATATGCCAACCTGTTAGAAAAGGGTGCAATGCGAACAGCCCTGAAAGGATGAAACCATATAGCAATAAGCTTGCTGCATATGACGTGTTGCAAATCCATGTTAACAAAGCCTTTTCCATTGGAAATGAAGCATGTGGAAGAGTAGATTATACAAAAGTGAAGAGAACTACATATATCTAAAAACGGCGCTCACTTAACATATGTATAGGTAAAACTAGAGGTGCCTACAACAAATAAATGTAAGACTAATAAAATACTTCCAACACCAGAAGATAAATCAGAAATATACCACCTGAATTAGTTAAAATATGTTCCAACCATAACAAGGCATGTTTATCGAATTAAACTAAATTGAAGAACTATGATCAATAACTGCTGTTGTTTTGACAAAAATGGTCAATGAAAGTTTCGACATTGGAAAGAACAGTTTGGACGTTCTAGATATGGAATTAGTGTCATGTCCCGAACAGATAATGGCAAGGCACACTGTCCTTCAATTTCAAGGCAATTTCTTTTGGGACTTCTCAACTATTATTTAAACATTCGACATTGGTAATTTTTTCTTTGCTTGGAACCATTTGAAAATTTGTTGAAACTCATTTAGCTTTCCCGAAAGGAAAGCAATGTTGGAAAAGGACTCTCATAACTGACCCAGACTAATTTACATATAAACTTAGTTTCACAGTACATCATTTGAACTCATTATCATTCTTTTTAAAATTGTGTTTCTTCTAGAGGCACACATAATACCTCTCGTGCTTGTTTCAAATGGAATTGGAAGAACATTAACATTGATTTGATTTTCTCACAATTTTGCTTTCCTAGAAAGAGAAATATGGTACACAAATATGAGTAGGATGCATACCCCATTGCCTCTAGTTTTGGAAGAACCTTTTGGAGATAATGGGCTGCGCTTGACCAACCTTTTACTCTCAAATTAACAATGTTGCTAATATTATTGTCAAACCTCTGAAGTACATCATCAGGGAGTTCCCTAACCACATTCACATGATTTCCAAGTGCATGTATAAAGTATTCTTCATCAAATATATCTCCAAACTTGCTGCAATCAATTGAAAAAAGAAGGAAACCTATTAAAGATTTGTAACATCTTAAAGGAAAATAAAAACTATTGTGATCTAAGTCGTAATTCAAATATAAAAGAACAATCATGCAAGCTAACAGCATTCATGTTTTAGAAGGTGGTCTCAAGTTGCATACAAGGAGCTCATTTCTCCTTGATGTCTAAAAACATGACAAATTAAAAATGAGGTCCTTTTTTATGTCAAACTCGCTTAAACTTTTAATTCTTTGGAGGCAGTTTATCAAATAAAAATACTAAGAATAATAACCGTAGTAACCGATGCAATTGACTCGGTCTTTCTAGGTTTCTAAGACAAGTAGCAGTTCTTTCCATTAAATAAACATTACAAGGATTAAACCTCATTTTATGGTAAAAAAATTGTATTACCATTATTATTATTAACATTTTTTCTCAATTGAGATCATGACTTTGCACTGCCGAAGCAAGTATAAACAGAAGAAGGTGCTTCGCGCGGTTCTTTCAGACAGATTCCTTTATGATTTGGAATTTCCAGCATTGGGGCAGAGTCTTAAGAAGGAAGAGACAGACTCCTTGCAGTTCGGGAAAGAATTGGGTTTTGAGTCTAATGGCTCAATAGTGGCTCTGATTTCGGAAGATTACGGCAGTGGAAGTTTTGGAAGGTGACTCACATATGATCATTGTTTTTGGAGTTGGAGGTTCGGATGGTCTATGTCGACAAGATGAGCATTAAATGGCAGAAAGGAGGAGTTTCGAAGCTTGCTTCTCTGCAACCTTATCATGTGGAAGCTTTTGGCCTTTGTGGTTGATTTTGGTTCCTAGGGATTGAGTTAGCTGTTTTATTTGGCTTCTATTAAAAGTGTTTTGTTTTGTGGTGTCTTTCGGGCCAAGCTCAGGTTTTAAGTCTGGTCTGTTCTATTAGTGGCGGTTGCTGTAACTAAGGTGAATTAGGCTGAGTTAATGCTGTTTTTTAGGTTGTTTTCGTTTGTTTCTGGTGTTCTGTGTTTGTTGGGGTGGATTATGGTTGTATCTTGTAAGTTTTTATGTTTAATGAAATCTTAAGGGGGTTACTAATGTTGTTTTCGCTGTTTCTGTGTTTTTAGTTTGGATGTTTTATGGGTGTTTTCAGTTTATTTGGTTCTGTTGGGGTGTTTTCTTGGTTGTATTTTGTGTGGATTTTATGTAATTTTCTGTTTCAATAAAATCCTAAGGCACTCTTTTCCTCCTTCCGCTGATTAGGGAGCTTCCCTACAAGCTCCATTAATCAAGAAGGGAGTTTTTAATGAGGCCTGAAATTCTTATAAAAAAAAAGAAGGGGTTTTTTAATGAGGCCTTCAATTCCTATCAAAAAAAAGATCATGACTTTATTTGTATAATTTTTTATTATATTCTATTTCCAAAATAAAATTAGCATTAAAAAAGTATAATTTCACATTAAGGCTAACAAATGCTCTACAAAGTATAAAACACTATCTGCCTATACCTTAGAGTTTCAGCTTCTAAAATTAATCCCATCACTAATGTCTACAAATCTGCAGCCAAATCCTTACGGGGGTTGGTTCAAGTGGTAGGGGGTTGGTTCAAGTGGTAAGGGGCTTGATATTGCTTAAGCAAGGTCTCGAGTTTGAGTCCTTGTGTATGCAGAAAATTCCTGCTGGGAGACTCACCCACCAAAGTCAGGTGTGCGACGTGGGTCGGTCCGGATTAGTCAAGGCAAAGCCTTGGAACCAGTAGGGCAACAACAAAAAAATCCTTTTCATTTTTATTGGAATGATATACTATCATAACACAAAAGAAAGAAAAGAGCAATATTTGGGATGCGTGCGCAGAGAAAGCGAGAGAATGATGCCATCAATAAAAAGCAGTTCAAACATTTTATTGTAACAGAAATCAACAGGACCAAGAAGACACAAATTAACCCATTGAAATTGCTTATGACCAAACAATTTAGGCGTTATGGAGCCCCCAAAACCCAAGAACTGTAAAGCTATTTGTATGCTTAGAAAGCAGAAGTGATATACATATATATATATGGTGGCAAAATTATCCTCAATTTTATTCTTTTATCTTACCGGACAACTTTTCAAGTATAACAACCCCAAGAATTGTGAATATCACATGGTAGCTATCGCTCAATTCTACATACACCATAAGCTACAAATGACAAAGAAAAGTGGGTACCCATGCATTAAAGAGGATGCCTAACAGTAGCAACAACAGCTAGGTTAATCTAGATTCTGCCAATTGCGCAGTCAATAGCAGGGGTGCAACCCAAGCAGCCTAAGAGAAGACAACACCTCCAACGCAGCAGGCTATATTGCTAAAAGAAAATTAACTAGTAAACACAAATAAATAACTTGAATTCCATGAAAACCAGAAGACAATGATACTAATAGAAATCTATACCATGTTAGTGACTATAATGGAATAACATTATTGAAAACTCTTTCCTTCGATGCAAAGAGAATGTTTGTCAGAATTTGTTTCAAACCTAAATTTGGTGAGAATGGGCATTATACAAAGAAAATGGTGATGATGTTAACCTGGAATCTCGCCAAACACTGTTTAAATGAAAGATTGGAATGACAAGGGTTGCATTTAGTAGCCACGCTACTGCCACTGCATCACATATCTGTATTAAAAGAAAGACGTAGCAATCAAATAATAGAGCCAATATATTTTCATGTAAACAATTGAAAAGACATTAGTACAATGATACATGACAAAGAAAAAAACAGCCATGTCTTTTGCATGTAGGCATGAAGAAAACAATATAGAGAACTGAAATCCAGAATCTACATAATATTTCAAGGAAAACTCCAAAGACATTTTGACCTGGGATTTTTTCGTGCAAATGAATGATCCATCCTATGCAATCAGCATTCACATTTTCAAACAAATGAGTAAAAAGTTTTAGTAAGAAGAAAACCATATATTAAGGTGCATTACGGTGTCTATAACATCAACAAGGGAGCATGAAGGAAAAAAGGGAAACATTCACATGTGAAAGCAAGCATTCTACAGTAAATTCCGTTTGTTTAAGGTTTAATGTGCAGAAAATTCATAAAGAATAAAAACATACAGATAAGCGTTGTTGATTCAAGCCACCATTCGCTTCAATTATAAGGAAACCGTTAGATTTTGGTAATTCTGAAAAACCTAGAAATCACAAAAAACAGTGGTTAATTCCTAATATATACAAGGGAAACAGGAGATAACTAAATAAAATTAGTGACATTATCAACCTGATGACAGCTAAGTACATTGGGATAACATTCATGGTGTTTTTATTAGTTAATAGTGCTGCATGAAGGTGCATCCTCCAATTTATAGTTTTATCCAAAATTTCCAAAAGATACAATAAATGCCTGTTTCTTAGAAATCTCGTGACAGCAAGAAAATCCTTTTTTGTTTTTTGTTTTTTTTTGGGGCGGGGGGGTTCAGTACAAGTAAAGCATTCAAGATACACAAAAATTTATACAAACATGAAATATGAGTATTCAAACAGGGATACTAAATTACCATATTCGTATATGTCAAACAAGGTATGCTCGACTTTTTCCAAGTATTATTCGATACATATAGAGGATCATAGCCGCATACCAAAATCTTAATATATGTCAAACATGAGTACTTCAAGGCAGGGACGGACGCAAGATTTTATGCTAAGGGATACGTACTTGTAATTTCTTCCTTTTTTTTGGGGGGGGGGGGGCAGATTATCAATAGAACTAGCTTACAAAAATTAGAAGAAAACAAAAGACCATCAAGACAGATCCTTAACTGATCAACATAAATGTTAAAATCATATAAAAGCTCAAACCTGTTTTAGAAATAATGGAGTTGATACACGGCTTCCAACCTTGCTGCATTTTCAGATCCCATGCTGTCATCAACTGCATGATTTTCATTTTAGTATTAAGTTAGCCAAACTTTGGTCACAAATATGAACGCTACAAAGACCTCCAGATGAAGAGAGGGTAAAAATATCTCCATTGTCCTCTTGCAACAGTTCAAGAGGGGGAGGGGGGTTTGCTCATGTTATTTGTAAGCGCCATTTTCTGGAGGATGTTCCACTCTCTAATTGGCCTTTGTATGAAAACTTAGAGTGCCTCAATTAGTTGGTTAAAGTTTAATATTTCTATCCTAGTTGATACTGATTCAACATTAGTAGTATATTGATTTTTCACCAATAACCGAATAAATCCCCTTTGGCTTTCATCATGGCTTCTCAATTGACACAGAAGTTCTTTGGTGCAAGTAAATGCCCTTGGAAAGGCAGCTAAAGACAACTTATAAAGTTTACTAAATTTCAGCATCCAGGGGCATTTAGTAACATTCATTTTCCTAAAATCATGACTAAAGCATGATCTATTTGATCTCAGGCGAAGTTTTGATAAATTATTAGGTCTATCATGCAATCTTTGTTTTTTCTTTAGTTAGCTGACTCCATTTCCTAATTATAATGGTTTTCAAAATCCTGTCCATGCAGGACAAGTAGGTATTTTGCTATTTATAGTGATAGTTACAGCTAGATGTGGTATTAGAATTTAAAATGGATTTCTTTGTTGAGAATTGTTGGATACTTTGTCATTTAAGAGATTGAGTTTTCCTACTTAGTCTTCTTCTTTCATGATCTCATTTCACTGATCAATACACAAGAACATACATAAACTTCATATGCTCATTTATCTGAGTCCATAATTCCAGCAATCATTCTTCTCATATTCCATTTTTAAAGATAGAAGTGAAGACACTCATATTTGAACAATATTTGATTCCTAGACCCTAATTCAAACTAAAATTATGGGAATAAATCCCAATAATCATACTTTAGTTGTCACCAACCGAAACCTACAGCAGTGACGAAACAAAAGCATTGATCCTAACAAACCATCCGGGCTGCATTGCACATCAAATACACACTTTGCGAAGGAGAGCATAGTGCAAAACAATATTTGATAACTATGGTAGCGGCTAGTCCAAGAGAAGGTATAAACGCTCTGTTCAACCAAGCTAAACCAATTTCATTAGAATTGATAAAATTGATGCACAGACACTCAGACAGCCGCCACTGTTAACTCATTTTACAAAATTAATGTGCACTCCTAACTTCTTTCACAATATAATCTGGCATTAAGTTCCCCTTTCTTTCTTCCAAAATAATTCAATTCCCGACATAAAGTTGACAAAATAAATTAAACCAACGAGAAAAGTAGAATTAAAATAAATAAATAAATAAATACCGCATTTTGACTGGCATTGCTCTCAGCCTCCATATACAGCCAAAGCTTCTGAAAAACCTGAGGGCTGCGGTAAACCGAGCCAGGTGGCGAACGCCTGTGAACAACAACAACCGCATTCTTCAAACTCAATACATCAAAGCCTAACAATCCCATGTACAACAACATTCCCGCTATATACAATAACGGCGCAAACAATAGCACTCCTTTCCTCCGAAACACAGTCGATATCAACACGAACACCATCCTATTGGCCGCCCGCTGCTTCCCGCCACCTCCACTGAAGCTCTTGTAACGCCCGTGGCGGAAGCGCGGCGAAGAAGGCGGCGACGGAGAAACCGAACGGTTGCTTCCGGAGCCTAGGCGGCTTGGGCCGTGCATCTGAGATCGGAAATTCTTTATCAGATTTTCAATGAAGAAAAAAAAACCCTAGAAATGAGTGAAGATCTGGCGGCAAAATTAACAGCTTAATTCCTCAGTAGTAAAATTGTGCATTTTTGTTTTTACACACACATAAAAAGGTCGGTGATGAGGGAAAAAATTAACATATATATATAATATTGTTGTAATTGAGGAGGATGTTGAGCGGAAATGAAGCTATCCACTAAACCACGAAGTCACGCGCCGTCACTAAATCACTACTGAGTGCCAAAAGACAAAAGAAAAGGGAATTTACACTTCAGTGCAATAATTCAAAAAAAAAATTAAGGACTTGTGTTATAAATAAAAAAAGTGCAAAACTTGTAATCTTCCTTGCTTTATTATGTCACATTCACTAGTGGTGTACAAAAATTTGGTCTGATTGATCCAATCATCTAATTCAAAATTTTAAATATTTGATTTATTTTTTAATATTTAATTAAATTAATAAATCATAATCTAATTTAAATGATTTGAAAACTAATTTAATAATTTTCAATCATTATTTAATGAAATCTAAAATTATAAATAATTATTGAATGATTTAGAGATTGATTTAATATTTTTAGATCTTTAATTAATAGAATCTAAAATTGATATTAAATTAATAAATTATTATTAAAATAATGAAATTTGAAAATTAAAATAAAAAATTGATATTAAATTAATGGAAATAAAATAAAAAATTAATAAATTTTCACATATTTTCTAAAATGGTAAAGTTATTATTATTTTATAAAATTGAAATATATAAAAATTATTTAATATAGTAAAATTAATTTTATTATAATTAATTTAGATTAAAATTAATTTAGATTTATTTAATTATTGTATATTTAATTAGATATTTAATTAATAAAAACAATTAAATCAAATTCAAATCAAATAAATAATATATATAGTTGGATTTTATCTTATCATTTTATTATTTATCATATTCCTAAAGAAAATAATACTAATAGAAATAAAATGTGTTCACTTTAACTCAAATATCTTATTAAAATTGGGTCAATATTAGGTTCGGAACGAATTTGGGTAAATTAAATTATGTTATTTTCAGTTCGGGTTCTTTCGGGTCGAGTTACTTTCGATTTATGTTACTTTCGATCCAACTAAAATTTGGATCAAATTCGTTCAATTTGGTCAATTTTAGATCATCATATTTAGGTCCGTATTAAATCTCAAATCGATAAATCAGTTCAGATAATTAGATACGAATCAACTTTGTGAAGTTGTTATAGATTGAATAGAAGTAGAGAAGAATTCGAGAGAAATAGGAGAGAATTCATAGAGAATAAAAGTTCATTCATTCATTTCATAACCATTTTCTGTTTACATTGCCATTTTATTTGCATACACTCATAATAGAATCTGTTATGCCAGTTGGACGCCTTATTAACCAATTATGTTATCATAACAGGAATTGGGCTTCTTCTGGGCTTTCTGTGCTCCACCTGTATCTGTTGGACCATCCTTCTGGATCCGCTGGGTGATTGTTTTAATTCCCCCGTGCTCTTCACGTGCCATTCCCTCAGGTAATTACTTCCCAATTCAATCTCAATCCCTAACCCTTGATTATTCATTTCCCCCAATTCTCCCAATCCTTCTTCGATACTCATCTCTCGTCCTCCCTCTTCTCCCTCACATCTTCCCTCTCCAACCGTGACAGAAGTCTAAATTTGAATTCTATTTTTTTATGGAGTATTTTAACTCGTAGCATTTTATTATAGAGTGGAAAGACCCCTATTCTAGAACGAGATTTATTTATTAACTAAATGTTTTCATCCACATAGGGACCTTTTTATCCTAAAATGCAACATTAAAGGTTAAATTGCTCCAGGAAAAAGTTAAGGACCAAAATGCTCGAGGAAAAAATAAGGACCAAAATGAGTATTTTAGTAAACGTTGAGGGCTAATTTTCACGTTATGCCTATACTTAATGCTACAAGAATGTTAAACCAAAAAGAAGAAAAGAAAATAGAACAAAGCAGCTATATCAAAGTACAACTATTGTTAAAGAAAACACTATATATGAGTACAGTTTTTACATATTCTACAGCAACATTATCATGTATTGCTGTCTGTAAAGGTAAAACTGTCGAAAAAAATACAACGGCGTACAAAGCATTTCTAGCAAGGAAAAAAAAGAAAGAGTTAACTCCCAAATGCTATCATAATCTACTTGGGAGATGACTTGAGTTAAAAAATATCATTATAAATAAAAACAAATAAAATTCCCTGCGCTGTGCTTTTCATATACTGTGACAATGCTACATCTTCACTATTCAGCTGCAGAAATGAGGATCTTCTACTTTGCTCTATCCTTTCTTGGATCCTAGATTTTGAAATTGTAACAATTTGTATTCTTAATCCCCCGTTGTCAGTCAGGAGGATGCCACAAACTTCACAAACATAGCCTTATTCGTATATCTTCTTTTTCTTCAGAAGGGTCGGAAATATGGAGACCATCCCAAAAAGGAAAAGCACCGACAAGGTCTTGAAATCGTACAGATCCTTGACAGACTTAAGATCCCCGAGTGCAAGGCCGGCCTGAAAGAAGAAGATACAACCATTGTCCTAAATCAGTTATCTGAATATATGGCTGCCATATTTTTCTATCATTTGACTCGCATATGACACCAATGAATTGCACCAAATTGAATTTTAACACGGACTCTATCTTTTAATTCTTTCCAATACAAAAAGACTGATTCCATTACAGTGAATGGTCCGATTAAACAGAGACAAATAAATATATCGAAATGGTATCCATGAAAAACCCTATATGACGTATCTTTAGTTCAAGTAGGAGAATGTATCCAGGAAAATTCAATAATATATGCTGTAAGAAACTTATTATAATAAGAATCGGTTCTTCATCAACAAGCAACTACTTCAAACTATTCCGATTGAAATCTCCATAGACAGTGTCCATGGTTCAACGACTCCGTATTTGGCTAAAAGTAGAACAGTGATATAGGCATCGCCTCACATTATATGAATCGTGATCTTGTAGAAACTTTTCACATTCCAAATTGATAAGAATGCACATTAAGCAATGCAAAAATGTTCAGAACAATAGTCATCAATCGAAGCTTTAGAACAAAATAGTTAGAAACAAATTAACCTTTTCTTCTAGACAATGTGACGTGACAATCATCATGCATAAATATATTGTTGCGTATCCGTTATCAAAAACTGTTTTAACTAACCATGGTATCTATTGAACATCATTTAAGCCCATGAATAACAAGGTGTGGCAATAAATTGGATATGACATAAGTATCTCTTTTCTTTCAACATATATTTTCGGATGACAATACCAAGGGAAACAAAAAAGGAATAGAAAAATGAAAATCAATTCATAAAGAATGCAAGATATGAATTGAGGAACATGACAGGACACTTACTTTGACAGTTATATAGGAGGCTGGAATTAGGCAAAAAAAGTTGCTAAAAAGAACACATGAAACGGTATGTCAACTGTTGGTGATGCCAGATTGATAAATAGGTTGGGTAAAATTGGAGTAATTCTCAGAAAGAGCATGTAATTCAGCAACTTGTCCCTTCACTTAGCAATCTGATTCCACCAAAAAAAGCAGATGAACTCAAGTGCAAAAAGATGGTAGGGCAAAACAAATGATAGATGCAAATTTAAGAGAACGCACAAATGAAAAGTTCCAAAGATGGTAACAAGGGGGAGAAAATGAAGAAAATGGAACCTCAGCTTGAAAAAATCTTAACTTATCAGGCCACGACCAACTAACCAAGGGCCTGCCAATCAGCTTTGACAGAAAAAAGCAGGAGCAAGCCCCAGCTGTGGCATTGAAGACAACCAAGAAAAGGCCTTTAACACCAAAGAGAGCCCCATCCAGCAAAGACATGAAAATTGTTCCAGGAATCATAAAAGTTTGCATGAAGATGTAAGTTGAGCAGTAACCCAAAATAAATTGTGTTGGTTAATCATTTGCTTATGTTGCGATATTATCTCCGAAAAGGAATAGAAAAACACAGGCTTCAGTAAAATGAATTGCAGCTAAAACATGAACACAGGAAGGGTTGTTCATGACAAAGTAGAAACGTCTGGCAACAAGAAAGTAGTGACTAAACCAGTAGACTAAAGCAGATGATAGCAATAAATTAAGAAAGGTAATTTCGACAACAATACATTGTAAAAATATGAAGGCCAGATTAAATGTCAATGCCGTTATTTCACATAAAAAAGGGAACTCTACTCTAATAGTGATCTCTCAAAATATGACCACTCGGTATTAAACAATCTCTGTATGAGAAATATTTAGTACATAGTTGGATGCCTTGATCTACTCTGTATGCAATATTATCCCTACAATTTGTATTATTTGGTACCCTCACATAAAACTGGGTTTGTGTCCGAACTGGAAGCATCAAACATTCATCAATTGAAAGAAAACATCAGTTTTGGTGATTAAAAAGACAAACAAAAGGGAACCTACTTGAGCAATCGCAGATCAGAGAAGGAACGTGGGATCTTGAGTTTCCCGTACTAGGTAGCGGGCATGGTGAGGTAGATGCAGAACAAACCGGTGGAAAAAAAATAAAGAAAACACCGAAAAAGGCGGCCAATTCCCACCTTGAAACGGGAAACCTTTCCGATTTTAACCTCTTCCCCGACGGGTAGTTGCGGGACTGTTGTTTTGTTGGATTCCGATTATTAACGTGTTATAAACTCGTCGTTTTTTTTATAAATTTGTTGATTATTTAAACTAGACGTTAACATATATGATAAATTTATATTTTAATGATAAATATTACAGTGTCATTGTTTTTAATTACTGATTTGACCGCATAATATTTTAAGCATTAGTTCTAAGATATAAAGTAAATAGAGAATCGACACATGAAATATAACTTAAACAGTTTTAGGATAAAATTTTATCATACTTGAGTCAATATGTTAATTTTCAACTCAGATAATCGTTAATTTTTTAACAAAAAATGATGAGTTTAAAACATATAAATAGTTGAGTAACTATTTTATAAATTTTAATAGTCAGAAAATCCAACAAAATTATCTTATATCCAGAAACTTTTTTATAACTTTTAATAATTAAAATATACAATAAAACAATATTGTATAATCAAAAATCATTTATATATTTACTCCAACAAGAAATATTATGATATGTCAACAATCTATGTTGAATATTCAATATATTACTACCATTTAAATGTGAAAAAAACATACAAAATCAACCCTGATATAACGAGTAACCAAATGGAGTCATAAATGGTTTTTTTCCTAAGGCAAACTACACGTTTAATCTTTCAATTATTATTTGTATTTTATTTTGGTCACTCAACTGTATATTTTAAAAGTATAATTAATGTTATGTTTTAGTTTCATTTTAATCATTAATTATAAAAAAATAACAAAACCACATATGTGATATATATTTTTTATATTTTTCAGTGATAATATTACATTCCTTATGATGACATATTAACATCAACATTAATTTCTTAATAATATGTGATTAAAATTAAATCAAAACTAAACATTAAATATGATTTTTTTAAAATATAGATGGATAATCTAAACATAACAAAAATAATAGCTGAGATACTAAACTAGTAATTTATTTTTATTTTTACTTCCTAAACTCTCCCACTCTGTGGTAAAAAACTGGGGGTATCCAAGACTCTAAGGGCACTTGAACTTGTTATGGGTCTTGATCAGGGAGTAGCAGTAGCAGGAATCTCGGGGAGCTCTGGGACCATTAGGCACACAGTGATCAGGGCACCGGTGGCAGCAAGCTACGCAGGTTTTGTTGCACATCTTTGGCTTCCATGATTTGCTGCATCTATATGCACACTTCTTCGGGCATTCATCTGCCACTGCATATGCATATATATATATATATATATATATATATATATATAATATATATATATATATGTGTGTGTGTAATTTCACCATTACTTTTCACCACACTAAAAAGAAGCAATACTTTGGATTTCTTTTTTACCTTGTGCGCCTGGAGCCGGGGCTTGTGCTGCCTGTTGACCCATCAGCATTCCCACCTGGAAAATGGTATTGTACCAAAAATTAACAATGTTCGGCTACGATATATATATATATATATATATATATATATATATATATAGAGAGAGAGAGAGAGAGAGAGAGAGAGAGAGAGTTGACTGACATGCCTCGGAGAGGAGCAGAAGGCAAAGAAGTGATGCAAGTAGCAGTGATGATGTCTTCGTGTTGATTGCCATTTCCTGTTACTTTTGTTAACAGTGAAAATGGAGATTATATGTAACAAGAGAAGAGGAGAGGAGAGTGTTGACTTGTTTGGTTTGAAGATGGGATATTGGGAAGGCTGCGTTTTATAGAAAAAAAATCAGGGTATAGGGTCCTAGAGATGGGCATTGGCATGAGCCTTAAAGTTGCTGAGAAGCTTCCTTTTTCTTCTATGAACATTTTCCGATGGGGTTTTTCGTCATAATTGAGGGATAATTACTATGGACAATACAGGTCCGCCCATTAAATTATATAACAAATATAGCCCCCACACGATTAAATTGAATAATAGTACATATATGGACTATATAATTTTTTTTTATAAAAAAAAGTTGCCTTTTACTTGGTTAAATAAGTGTCGGTTACTTATTTAATATATACTGGTCACGAATCTTAGGATTGATTTAATTACGTTGCAGTTGAACAATATTTCTAATAACCATTCGATGGTGAATTTTTTTTTTGGTTGGTTTAAAAAATACTTTGGATGTACAAGTAAATTTGATCAGTTGACTAAGTTTTTTACTATTCTAAACATATTGCTAAATTAATTGTTAAATTTTTTATGGTAAAATACATAAATGATCTCTTGATTATAGGACATTGTTTTATTGAGTTCTTCAACTATTGAATGTTATAAAATAATATTTTGACTATATAGCATTACTTTGTTGAGTACTCTAATTATTAAAAGTTATAAAATGGTCATTCGATTAATTATATGTTCCAAACTCGTCATTTTTTTGTTAAAATTTAACGGTTGTTTAAGTTGTACGTTAATCTGTTGATTTTGATATGATAAAATATGATCTCAAATTCTCAAACAACTATCATATTTCAATTAACAGGTTAACGTTCAACTCATGCTATCATCAAACTTTTAACGAAAAATGACAAGTTTAAAACATATGTATAGTCGGATGATCATTTTGTAATTTTTAATAGTTAAAGGATTCAACAAAGCAACGTCATATAGTCAAAGGATTATTTTGTAACTTTTAATAGTTGAGGGACTTAATAAAATAACACTCTATAATATGTAGACCATTTGTATACTTTACCTAATTTTTTATTAAATTGAATTTATTTCTGTAACATGTAGATCGACTAAATTCATTCTATTTGTAATTTGTATGGAAATGTCAACTAATAATAGTGGAGTACAGCTAGTCTTGGAAGTTGCTAAAACGCGTGGCAGTAGTAAATAGGGCTAGCTGTGCCAGTTTTATATTATTATTGCACCCAAAATCAAAAACCTCAAACGAGCAAAACCGACAGGGAACACACAGAACAGCTAGTAGTGTAGTGCTGCGTTTGTTTTCTTCTGTTGAGTTTTGAGCTCTAAGCGTCGACACCCTGTCATTCATTTTGTCTTTACTGTCGAGGAAAATTCTAGAATAAATGATGATATGCATCATTAATTTCGGATTTTGTTGGATTGTTGGTACGATAATATGGGTGAGGTATGGTTGTAAGTGAATTATAGTGAATTTAGGTTATTATATATCAAGAACAAGGTAGCTTACACTAAATTCAATTATTCAACTAGCACATGGAGCCTAAGAATTTAAAACCATTATATGTATATGCTCCCTTTGCATGAAAATACTATACAACAAGACTAGAACCTAACCCAGCATCTAGTACATTGTGCCATACAATCTCCCTTACAATCCACATTGTAACCCAACACTTTGGGATTCCTAAGGAGAAGATTTTTAAGAGATTTACCTTTTATCCCCCAATCCTTTTCCAGTATCTGCACATTTGTTCTCAACTCATGTTCGATATCGCATCCCAGAACTTCGGGGAACTTCTTTAGCACCTTGCAAAGATCATCGTCTGACAGACTTAGACTTCTTAGATATTCTAATGTTTCATTAACGATTTCCATCTTTGGTTCTTCCTTCTTGCGTTCTTCACCCCAATATGGTGAATGGACGTGCCCAAATGCCTTTCCGAGTATCTTGTCTTCCTCTTCCATGCTGAAACCGAATGCCGACAATGCCTGCCTGCATGCTTCCCAAGTCTTTCCCTCTGTGTTCACATATATCGCCCATTTCTTTGGAGAAATATTGGAGGTACCAACTGTCGCTTTCTGCGGGAGCCTACTCAAGAAGTTTACACTGAATGGTACAATATTTGGAGCAGATGTTGTAACATCAGGCTGCATCGAGAATTCATGAAATACACATACGATTAAACTTCCAAATATTTTACATATGCTAAAGAATTAATTGTCATCTTAATTGTGGACTACCTATCATTTTATTGCATTAATATATTGTTTTTATTACATGTTGTTGACATATAAGTTTCTATTGCTACTTAGGGAAACACACTGAACGTGGCCCCAATGAAGCAGGCATCAGTGGAACAGATTTTTCACAAGTTTTATAACGCAATATGTTCCTAGAAAACCATCACAATAATAAAAGAAAACGTCAAAAAGCATCCGTGATACCTATGTCTGATATTTCTCCAGAATGAGATACTTACAACACAAAAACAAGAAGTTGCAGAATCAAATGTCAACACAGAAGAGGCCCATGATTTCCCATGCATCCTTGCACGGCTGAACAAACAGAAAAAAAAAACAATACAGTTAGAACAATTTAGAGAGAACGATTCATATTCAAAGCCATACCGAGACTGCTAAATTATGTTCAAGATTATCGCGAGACATGCAATTAGCGCCAAGTTATCTTACATTTCAGTAGCCAACTAAAACACCTAGCACGGTTTAAGGGGTTTTCCCAAAAATCTCATTTTGTGCCTACAGCATATTCAGTTTTGCAGCGTTCCAACTTTAGGCTGTCTCAAAACCACTTGGTTTAGGGTTCTTGCAGGAAGAACAAGCAATTGAATAAACTACTTTGACTGTATGATAACTAAAATTTTCCTAGCAATAGACCTTCTTGTTGTAAGCTACGTTGCTTGAACTTTTCGTTTTTTCTTTAAAAAAAACCCATGGACGATGCTTGAGTCCAAAACTTGGATATGAGAATATGACCTCCAAGGATCCTCCAAACACACAAAGAACTTTAGAAAAATCTAGCCTTACCCAATACATACCCATATCCAACACTCACACCCAAGTTTGAGTAACATAGTAAAACCGCATCAGAAAAATGTCAAAACTCAAACTGCTAGGTGAGCCATGGAAGATGTTTTAATTAATTTTGAAGTTCTTTAAACAATAGAATTCCCATTTTATTCTTTAACAAGTAGCTCCATGGTATCAAGGAGAGATAAAATATCATTCAACTAACTTAGTATGTTCGAAGGAATTGGTTAGGAATGACAACCTAATAAGAAATTCCTGTAAGGAAAACAATCTCAGAATTCCACAATTGCTTTGACATTGCAGCTGCAAAGCATATAAATCCAGTATCTGGGCTAGCTTTATTCAGGGAACCGTGGTGTGAACCCAAAATAGAGGCTTCATCAAGGAACCCACAAGCACCCTTATGTAAAACCTACTTCCCAATTTATGTAGCAATAACAGAAGGCCTAGTCCTTGAAAGTTGAAACCCTTTACTTTGATCATCAATCTCTTGAAACTGAAAATGTAAAATTCAGCAAACCCAAAGCGTGTCCTAATACCAAACCATTAACTGAACTCGTTTCATCAAGCTAAAATCATCAGAAAACCGTAAGTTCGATAGAGAATTATGTATTACAGATGAGGGCATATTCAACAACATCAAAAGATAGACCAACTTTTAGTATCAAAAACGAGATTGGGAAGAGTAAAATTACCTGAACAAGAGAGTGTTGTGGTCGCTGTTGAAAAGAGAAGAATGATGATGTTTGGTTTGAAGGGAAGGCTAAGGGACGAAGACCCCACCCTAAATATTCGCACCACAGATGCCTCTTGAGTTACACGTTCTTTGATTATAGCCATTGGCCAGTTTTCAAATTTAAGTGGCTGGCTTTTGGATTCTCTTTAAAGATAGTAGTTGTTTTGTTTGTGTGATATTTTGGGCTTGCTGTGATGGGTAAGGCCTAACCATATGTGGCTATCATCTTCACCCAAAACACTACTAACTTTGTCTAAAAATAGCTCATTTAATATTTTATTAATTTAATTGACATACTAAATAACGTTTTAGAAATAATTTAAAAAAATTATTTACAATTATTTTACAATTGAAAGAGTTAACCTTGTTTTATTAAAATTTAAGCCTATCTAATTATTCATCATTAAATTTTATTTATATTTTAAATTAATAAATTAAGTCAAAATATTTTTTTTTATTAATCTGGGATAAATAATTACAAGGTAATATCCATTCAAATATATTGTTACTCTCAACTATTTGACATTGAACGCTCACACCCTTAGCAATTAGAAAGCTTGAACTCGGGACCTCAATGAATAGTAATTATTATTTTACCACTGAGGTCACTTAGTTCGTATTATTTAAAATTTTCGATCTCATATAAGTTTTGTATTATTTGAATAATTTTGACATCACTTAAATAGGTCTCGAGTTTTATGACTTGTGTATGCAAAAAATTTCTACTAAGAGACGCATTTATCAAAGCCAAATTTACGTCACAACTCAATCCAGATTAATCAGAATAGAATTTTGGAGAACTAGGAAGGAAAAAATAATTTTAACAGTATTTTTTTTATTTTATTATTCACTTTTATTTCAAAATTTATTTTTCACGATTAAACTAGTAAAATAAATAAACTTCAATAAGAAAAATGATATGAAACCGTGTTTATTATCATTTATGAACTCTTTAATTTTATTAGAAAAATAAAATATTCATAATTGTAATAAAGGTTTACATAACGGTAAACTAGACATATAATAAAAATATTTTTATAAGTATTAATATAAGAAACTAGATACTTAAAATCACGCAACGACCATATAAGGAAAATGTTAAAAAATTAACTAAAAAAACTCGAACAAAAGATAAATACCAAGAGATTTGACCGCATCGGCAAACGAACCACAAAAAAATATCAAGTTATTGAAATATCATTGACAAATCATAAATTAAAGTCGAACGACGTGAGAAAACTATCTATGAATGCAAACCGCGTCTAATTCGATGGTCCAAAGCAGAAAAGATCAACATGATAACAAATAATTGTCATGTTGATTAGTCATGGCGATGTCAAATCCAATCATGAGAAAAAATAAACAAAAATAACGACTAAATGACCGAACTCATGTCAAAAGATAAAGAAAAACATGTCATAAAGGTAGAGAAAAATATATCGTAAAGACAGAGTTATTAAAAATTAAAAAAACCAAAGAAAAATAAAAGATGTTATATAAAAATATAAAAAATATAAACGACGACAACTGCAACCTATCAACCAATTATAAAGAACAGATATGAACTCTTTACTTTTTTTAATAAAATGTAGATAATTTAAATATAAATATAAAAAAATATTTCAATTATATGAAAATATAGAAGAAGAAAAAAAGCATACTCATGACAACTAGATCAAAAATTTTAAAATAAAACTTGTTAATATAAGATTAAAAAAAAGGCATAAATAAATTATAACCTAAAATCTTATCAAAAGTGTAACATTTTAGGTTGAAACTTAAAATGTTACAATATTTATAACATTTTCGGTTGAACCCGAAAATTTTATAAATTTGTATAATTTTTTCAATTGTAAGCTCTAAACCCCTCACAATATAACTAATTGGTTGCAATCGAAAATATAATAAATTTATGTAACTTTATATGTTGAACTTGATAATATTTTAAATTAAAAATCACCTTAATTTAACTTTAAATTAAATTGTCACACAACAAAACTCCAAATAATACTTATGTCTAACACTTTCTAAATACAAAATATATATGCTTATTATACAAGATGTAACTTCATGGATGAGATGAGTCTAGAGTGAATGTCATACTTCGATATGCACTACTAATGATATACATCGATGTATACTATTAACATAAAATAGGGTAAAATTCATAAATGGCCATTATATTTTATAAGGATTATTTTATTTGTCATTAGATTTTTAAAAGTTACAAAATAAACATTAAACATTGAATTTTATTAAAAAAAATATATGTATCGGTCGTTAAATATTGTTAAGAGATGATGTAACATGCTAAACTAATGGGAAATATCTTATTTGACCCCTCAATTATAACTAAATATTTATTTTTAGTATTCTCCTTAATTTTTCTAAGTAATAATTTCAAAAAAGTAAAAAAAAAATCATATTTTAAAAAATATATGAAAAAAATATTTTTAAAATTTACAAATTATAATATTTAAATTTTTTTCATTCGTCAAATTATTTTATAACTAATTATTTATTTAATTAAGATTGTATTTGTAAAAATTAAAATTATAATATTTGAGATCCAAAAATTTGATTATCAAACAATGAAATTATTTTTATTAAGCGATGTGATTCAAGCATTTAACTTTGTTTAAACATAATTTAAAAATAATACATCCAGAAAATTATAGTATCACTTTAATAAGAAAAATACATCTAAATTTACTTAAAAATAATCGAAATAATCTTTAAGTTTTAATAATGTATCAAGTAATTTATATGATATAAATTTAATATTTATAATATGAAGTTAAAAATCAGTATTTAACTTATATATTTTACTTTCAATTCAACGAACCTAATAAAAATCATTTTAATTAAAATTAACAATAAAATGAATTTTATTTACAATTGAAAGGTCAAATGATTTTTTTTATTAATTTAGCATGACACATCACTTATTTAATGGTAAATGATACATATTTTGTAATAAAATTTAAAATTTAACGTTTATTATGTAAGTTTTGACAGTTTAGTATCTAGAAAGATCATTTTAAAATAATTTAATGTATATTTATGAATTTTACCTTATAAAATTAATAGTAAATTTCAATATTTGACATGCATTCTAGAAATTTTCATGTTTAAAAGTTCATTACCAATGAGATTATGATTTAGAAAAAAAAATATAATTTAAGATTTATAATCTAAAGTGATTTAAATATATCAAATAATATTTAAATAGATATATTTATTTAATTGAAATTTTATATTTATAGTATCACTTTAATAAGAAAAATACATCTAAATTTACTTAAAAATAATCGAAATAATCTTTAAGTTTTAATAATGTATCAAGTAATTTATATGATATAAATTTAATATTTATAATATGAAGTTAAAAATCAGTATTTAACTTATATATTTTACTTTCAATTCAACGAACCTAATAAAAATCATTTTAATTAAAATTAACAATAAAATGAATTTTATTTACAATTGAAAGGTCAAATGATTTTTTTTATTAATTTAGCATGACACATCACTTATTTAATGGTAAATGATACATATTTTGTAATAAAATTTAAAATTTAACGTTTATTATGTAAGTTTTGACAGTTTAGTATCTAGAAAGATCATTTTAAAATAATTTAATGTATATTTATGAATTTTACCTTATAAAATTAATAGTAAATTTCAATATTTGACATGCATTCTAGAAATTTTCATGTTTAAAAGTTCATTACCAATGAGATTATGATTTAGAAAAAAAAAATATAATTTAAGATTTATAATCTAAAGTGATTTAAATATATCAAATAATATTTAAATAGATATATTTATTTAATTGAAATTTTATATTTATATATATAATAATAATTTTAATTTAATTAATTAATTATTTTAAAATATTAATTTGCATGAAATGTGGCAAATCATCCAGCTCAGTTGGTAGAGTGCAAGACTCTTAACCTTGTGGTCGTGAGATCGAGTCCCACGGTGGGTAATTTATAATTATGACTGCCGAAGGTATTCCACGAAAGCTGCTTTCAACCCGTTGGGATAGTTACCTCCCCTCACCCCATTACATATGCGAATAGGGTCAGTTAATTTATGAAATGCGGCAAATCAAGAAAATGATTTACAATTCTGACAAAATTAAATCCCATTTCTTTAATAAAATCTAAAACATGGCCAAAACAAATGCAGATGACTATTCGTTAATTTCTTTTATTTTATTATTTATATTGATTATAAATCAAAACTCGAAAACCTGATCTCAGTCTTCGATCCTTTCGTCCCCAAATTCTCTCAAAACAACGTTTTTTTTTTTCTCTTCAAAATAATACATTTTGTAATTCACAGTTCAAACCTTATTTTTCTTTTTTTCCATTTTTTTCTCTTTACAGACACAAAATATATATAATATAATTATTTTTGAATTTTTTTCTCTAATAAGCCAAGTAGAGATTAGACATAGAGGAGATTTTACAATGCTAGAATGGCTCAGTACAGGCAACAGTATCAATACAGCAATGGAACGACGTCAGATCACGTGGCCATTGGTGTTCGAGGAGGTGGAGGAGGCGCCAGCAACAAGGCAGCTCGATGTCGCCGATCGGGACGCGCCGACAGGAGCCGCCGAATCTTCTTCGGTTCTCTCGTCGTTGTTTTGATCCTCGTGCTTGTTGTAACCGTTCTCGTATACTATTACATCTCTTCTGATAATAATGACAATCGTAAAGGTCAGTTATAGATTTCTACCACAAATTTTTAGAATTTCCGATCCCTTTTTTTCGTTTGTTTTCTTTGAAGAAAAAAAAGGTTAGAATGTGAATTGCCAGATTTCAGTTTGCTACTGGCTATCAGCGCATTTTTATACATTACTTCCTTATTTATAGATCAGTGCTAATTGTTCATAGCTAGCATTCGTTTGGATTCAGAAAAATGGATAGAAAAGAGAGGAGCAATTTGAATGAGTTTAAGTTCCAAACATAAAGATAAATGATTATTTGTGGCGAAAATAAACTAGAGTTTTGGGTGAAACTTTGCATTGTTTAGAATAATGCGATTTTATCATGTTTGCACAACCTTTTAATGTCATTAGATGAATACAAATTTGATTTGTCTCGGTTAAATGAATGAATAAGTTTCCTTTTAGGGCTTACATTTTACTTTTTTCTTTGAGTAATTGTCTTAGAATGAATGTTGTTGATTAATTTTAACATTCCAAATATGAAAGATCAATATGATCCGTTACTTGGGGAACTTATTAGTTAGATGTATGTTGGTGCAGATTTAATTAGTTACCAATCCGAGGATGATGATTTGAAGGGTGATTCTGATTTCCTCACAAATGTGACACGAATAGAAAATTTTAAAATCCTTAACTTTGGCAATGGTTCTGTATCACATGGTCGTGATTCACGATATTGGGATAGGGATGATAGGAGAAGGGATGATGATTACAATGAGGATGCGGTAGAGAACAATATAACGGATTCTAGAGATGCGTCTCTTGATGGTGACCATGTTCCCACGAAAGTAAAGAATAAGAAGGGCGGGCCCCTTGATTCTGATAGGAACATGGATCGTAGAGTTGTTGGGTTGTACAATGAAGCTGGGCGCAATGAATTAAAAATGTTCGAAGCAGAATATGAGGCATCTCTGAAGAATGGGGGCAAATCAAAAAAAGAACTTGGAAATATTCACCAGCTTTTTGACATTAAGGAATTACGTGAGGAGGTTGATGATGCTGATGACCAGTATAATGATGGCATTGATTCTAGTGATACTCAAAAGGATGAATATGATGATTTTACTCGTGACAAGGACTACATTTTAGATGAACCAAAATCTCATGATGAGAATGTTAATGAGTCCTCTACCTCCTTCAATGCTAAAACTAACAAAGAACATATTGTTAAAGAGGCTAAGGAAGAATCCACTTTATCTAGAGAGACCTCCCAAGATGTTGTTGATGGTTCCTTTAGTCGTAAATCTGGAAAAAGCCCAAAAACAGGTTCAAAGAAAAAGCCAAGGCGCCGGAAATTTTCAGCTAATTCTACAATTTTTTTTAAGTTCATGTCAGATGTCCTTATACAATACATAAACTTGTCTGTCTGTGTACATTAAACTAACTTGATTGAAGATGAAAAACAGTGCCCAGATCTTCAGACTTATATCACTCTGTTTTTTTCCTACCCTTATGGGTTAGAGTAAATTTGCGGTTTGCATCATGTAAGGATTGAAAGAACCTTGAGAATCAGGATTCCTTTGGTTGGCTTGTATGCAAATTCTGTTTGCTTAAAAGGAATTAGAAGGAAATAATGTAAATTTAATATGTAGAGCTTAAAACACTAGAGTTGGGAGATGAAATTATGCCAAACATATTTCATACCTTTAAATTCCACCCATCCAAAAAACCACAAACTTTGGTAGATTCTGATGCTAATTCTTAATAGTATGATAATACGTCTTCCTTATTTAGCACCCTAATCATATTGCAAAAAGAGATTTAAAAATTTAATCCCAAAGCATTCTAGGAAAGGCTAAAACACCAGTTTTATACTAACATATACATTTGATGCTTAAGCAGAACTCTAAAGTTGCAGTGACATGGCATAGTAACTGGTGTCTTTCATACTTTTATCTCCCAAATCTAGTATTTTAAGCTCTTATAGGCCCTTATGGATCTACACATGAATTAAAACATATTGCTTTTAGGTTGGATACTTAACAATCACTAATTAAAACATTAAAGTACCCAGTATAGCTTCATTGAAATTAATTTAGCTTAATTTGAATCTCTTTACCAATATACATCTTGTTGAGATTCTCTCATTTGGCAAATAGTTCTTCTCCTCCAAATCAAGTCAAGGATATATGATATTATGCTAGCATTTTGCTCTAACAATAAATTTTCTTGAGTAAGCTTGCCGAGAGCGGTGGGGTACATGCATTTTAAATTCATATATCAATTCCTGTATACCACTAAAGGCGTTCATTAAAAAACTATGTATTCTTTATATTTGTCTCTTCTTCTTGAATAACATTATACTTTTAATTCTTAGGTTCTTGTGAGATTAAATTAATAAATTCAACACACCTTGTGGAGCCTGTAGAAAGTAGAAAGTTTGCACGATTTTCCTTACAGTATACACAAGTGGAGGAGAAGCCTGATGGAGAACAATGGATACCTAGATTTGCTGGGCATCAGAGTTTACAAGAACGTGAAGAATCTTTTTTGGCACGCGACCAAAAGATAAATTGTGGGTTTGTTAAAGGTCCACAAGGATATCCAAGCACTGGCTTTGATCTGGCAGAAGATGATGTGAATTATATCAGCAGGTGCCACATTGCTGTCATATCTTGCATTTTTGGAAATTCAGATCGCTTGAGGACACCTGCTGGCAAAATGGTATGAGGCTAACCTTTTTCTGGGAAACATGGTCCAAGTGTCCTTAAGTGATTATTTTTTAGCATATGCCTGTCTATTTAAGAAGTAGCTATCCGTTTCTTCTTCTTCTGTCTGATAACCTGACGAGTTTTAGGTTCAATAATTAACTAGTAAGAACCATTATGTTTCCTATTGACAACCTCAAGATGCACATACATGAGCAGAAATAAGTTCGCATTCTCTTTATTCTTCTCGTTTCTTTGCCCATGTGACCTTCTACCCTGTTATCTCTTCTTTAGACCGTCTTAACTCATTCCTGTCCTCTTCTTCTGTGTGTCCCTGATTATTATTGGGCACTTGCTATGTTGATGTTTTTACTAGATTTGTGATTTTATTGTAGAATTATCAAGTTGTCTTTTCCTTTTTGTATGGCGCTTTCCAGTTTTCCTGAACGCCGTAGGCTGCATTAATTCACAAAATTTAGAGGGAAAAAGAAAAATAGTTTCAGAAGCCTAAAGAAAATGAAATAGATTCTATATGCATTCCATAAATTGGTAACTTAGTCCCAAATTTTTTAGTTTGGCAAAGATGCTCCAGAAACATTGTTTGCTTCAATAAGGTATGAAGGCAAGATCTTGTGCCCACCAGTCTTTCATGTCCCCATCCCCATCCCCTTCCTCAACCCAAGCCCTGACTGTGATTGGAGGAGACATGAGTATGTTCTAGAGCTAAGAAGGAAAAAGTGAAACCAATGGCATAGCTCGACACGTGAAAAGCTATAGCCCAAGCTCTAACTGGGTGGAGGGAATTGCCACTTCTGTTGGTCATTATTAAATTTGTTAAGACTACTTCGCACATGGTTTCACTTATACATGTATTGTTACACTGTTCATTCTTTAAGGTTTTAGCATGCACAACCATTTTGTTTATCATTTAATTACTTGAGTAAAATGTGATTTGGATTATAACAATGGCACAATCATTATTTTCTCCTGATTTTAGGTCACTCGTTCCTCAAGGAAAAATGTCTGCTTTGTTATGTTTGTGGATGAACTTACGATGCAAACACTTTATTCAGAAGTTCAAACACCTGATGGTGGTTTTATTGGTTTATGGAAGATAGTGGTTGTAAAGAATCTTCCTTATGATGATATGCGCAGAGTGGGAAAAATACCAAAGATGTTACCGCATCGACTATTTCCTTTTGCAAGGTTTGAACTGGATATTTGGGGATTTTTATTTCAAAATGCATCCACTAGTTTTTTTATGTTTCAGATTTTGTATGAGTTGGTATTTCCTCTTGTATTAGTTAAAATATTCCAACCCTAACTGACAGAGAGACAGCTTAGCATAGCATTTTATTCAGCATATTATGACTGTATTCATGAATGTTCTCTATTAGAAATAGTAAGTTGTTTATTGTGATTATCTCTTTTGTGGATGCTATTATTTGGACAGGCTTGCATTTGTTTCTTAACTCTTCCGGTCTCAGGTACTCAATCTGGTTAGACAGCAAACTGCGTCTACAACGTGACCCCTTACAACTCCTGGATTACTTCTTGTGGCGAAAAGGTCACGAGTATGCCATTTCTAATCACTATGACCGTCATTGCCTATGGGAAGAGGTTGCACAAAATAAGAAGCTAAACAAGTATAATCATACAGTCATTGATGAGCAATTTGAATTCTATCAGGCCGATGGACTGAAAAAATTCAACGCTTCTGATCCCAATAAGCTTCTTCCTAGCAGTAAGAATTTTTACACCCAAAGCACCCGTCAGGGTTTTTCTTTTTGACAGTTTGTGCTTTTATTTTGTTGTTTGAAATGTTCGGTATTGTGTGTATGCAGATGTGCCTGAAGGTTCTTTTATTGTTAGAGCACACACCCCAATGTCGAATTTGTTCTCATGTCTTTGGTTCAACGAGGTTGAGCGGTTCACTCCCCGTGATCAGCTAAGTTTCGCATATACATACCAGAAGTTGAGAAGGACGAATCCCGACAAACCCTTTTATCTTAACATGTTCAAGGTAAAGAACACAGACAAACAAATTGTTTCGGATTTCAAAAGTGAGCTTCTATTCATCTCCGGTTTCTTTGATTGCAGGACTGTGAGAGGAGAGCCGCAGCAAAGTTGTTTCGACATATATCGGATGAGAAGAGAAATGTTCAACAAAAGGCAACAGTGTAAAATGTATGTTGTATTATCAAGCCTTAGCTGTTGAATATAAAAAAGAAAAGAATTTTGTACACTTTCCTTGGCCATGCTGGTTCAGTTGCTCATAAAGGAAGTAACAAGTTGCCTTAGTTGCTGGTTGTTGTTGAGATGGTATGACAGGATTTCGAGAAAACGGGGCCGGTACGAAGTTTCTCGAGCTCCTTATGTCGAGTATGGTTGGGGAAGTCGATTTCGCTTTCATTTGTTAGAAAAATTATCTTCTGCTTCGTTGTTCATGTTCTTTATTCTTTTGTTCACATTGATTGCTTCGTCCGTAGGTAATGAAGCACCTATACTAATGTACTTGCTACACCTAAAATTTGTTGCATTATTCTATTATTATCATTTTTTAAACCTCTTTTTAGTACTTAATATAACTTTTAGCGCACGTGTTTATAATTGATAAATATTTTACTGAAAAACTACGAGTTATCAATAAATTTTGTGGTGTTTTGGCCAGAAACATCGTTTTAGTTCCGTTTGTCATTTTAGGTGTTTAAAAAATTATATATTTTAAAGTGTTTGGTCTGTCGCATTTGTTAAAATAAATAAATTATCTGAATATTTATAAATTTTCATAATTTTTATTTTAAAATAAAAATTACAATTCAGTTAAAAAATTCAATTTTTTTCTTAATTCTAAAAAATCTTAAAATTCTAAAACCCAGATTTTAACCCCTTTCATCCTCATCGGTGTTTACCTGATCGTCGCCTATTGTCGTCGACAACTTCATCTAGTCGGATTTCAACGCACGACAGGAGAATTCATCGCTTAAATAGTTGGAATCATCACCTTTTGTCGGAGTCGCTTAGCCCCTACAATTGTCTATTTTTCTTTGCAATTGTCGTTTGAATCATGGGAGTTTGGTCAAGGGTATTTGGGTGGGCGCACATCGTTGAAATTTCGGTCGATTGACGGTGTTAGTAGTCATTGACGATGATAAGAGAATTGAAATTAAGGTTGTTTTTTGGATTTTGATTTTTTTTCTTTAAATAATAATTTTAAGTGTTTTATTAAAATAAAAAAATTAAAATTTTATAGGTATAACTTGTGTTGGATAAAAAACTTTGTGAACAATGTAGACACCTATTTTCTTCGGATAATATTTTAGTCTTCACTGTTATTTATATATGTTAGATGTTACTATATACTATTAGTACGTATATTAGTATATTATTATCAGATTATATACTAGTATTTAGTGTTTACTTAATATAGTTTTATGTAGTGTTATTATATATAGTATTACATAATATTAATTATTTATTTTTCATAAGTTATCCTTTTTTATTTTTATATTATTATTATTATTTTAATTACTTGGTCTTTGTTTGTAGGTTCAAAGGAGCTCAAAAGAGGTTTACATATGTTCAGGTCCAACAAGGGTCTAAACAGTTCAAGAAGAGTCAACCGAATGAGATTAAACGAGCAAATTGACCTGACCTAACAAACTGACCTACCAAGCCTAACAAGAGAGGCCCGTATTCCAAATCCAACAAACTAAGGTTGATAATTTTATTCCAGTGCTGCAAGCGTATAGATGTTGGATCTAGATGAGATCTAACGATCCCAATTGAGGGCATCATTTTAAGGGTTTGAGAAACCCTAGTTTAATTTGCACTGCACGAAGGAGAGCCATTAAATCAAAACAACATCAACGGTCCAATCATTAGTTTGTTAGGATCTTAAAACCCCAAAATAATGTCAGTAGCATCGCACGAACGTGAGCCGTTAGATCTAGCTCCGTGATCCAATTACCTACAAAGCATCAAAAGGTACTAATAGGACCGTGATCATCTATTGGCCTCACATGAAAACCACACGCTAAATCAATTATTTACCTCATAAAAGTATAAATGATTAGTATATTAAATATTAAAAATATAAAATAATTTCAACTATTTAAATTTATTAATAGTTTACTAAATCAAACTCTTTATATATAATTATTATTATGTTTATAATTTTAAGTAAATCATGAAGAATAAGAATGATTTAATACAAAAAAATGCCTAAAATACACCTCGAAAAATATTTTGATGCCTAAATAATTTTTTGTTAAAAATAAGTGTTTAACGTTTTTCGGTTACACTTTTAAGTACATACCGTTATATATATATATATTTTAAAATCTTTCAATAATAAAAACATTATTTTAAAAACTTAATTTATTTATAAAAAACTAAAACTTTTAATAAAAATATAAAAAACTCTAAAAAACTAAATATCTCATTTCAACTCCATTACCAACTGTCGTCAGTCATTTTCGGCCACCATCATCATCGAATACTCGGGTTTTGATTGGAATTGCACGGTGGTTCGAATGGTGACGGCAGTGTAACATAAGGACGTTGAGATCAACGAAAATAGTGGCTTAAAATCTAACGAACCTTTGAACGTTTCTCCAGGCAAACGATAACACTTTACAATGAAAGGCAAATGAGGTTTGATTGGGGGTTGATGCCGATGTCGATGATTATGGAGGCGACGGTCACCGTTGGCCGACCAACTAATATGAAAGAGAGAAAGGGGAAGGGGGAAAGGGGAAAAGAGGAGGGGTAGATGGGGCACGCGGGCTGTTTGGGTTGGTTTTTAAATAAATAATTAAATATATATATATATATATATTTAATTTCTTTAAATAAATTCTCAAAATTACCAGAACGTGACATATATCACTCAACGGTCGTTATGACCTAGACACGTAAAAATGCTTTTTTTGAAAATGTTAGAAACTTATTTTTAGTAAAAAAAATTTAGGCACTAATTTTTTTTAAAGACAAAGTGTAGACATTTATTTTTGTATTAAGCCAATAAAAATTCATATGAAAATAATTCATTATTTCAAATGCATTTTTATCTAAAATAATAAGAATTGTATAACACCTAAGCATTTAGAGGTAACAAAATTCTCACTATTTAAGTAAAAAAAATTACTACGGTTAATAATAAATTATTATCTAATAATAATAATTTTCATAAACCAAACATAAGAATATAATTTCAAAAAAATATTTTCGTTAATAATAATTTTATATCAAACGCCCCTTATTTTTTCCCATAATCGCATTCGCGCTTTTTCCCAACACTTCAAAATTTTGATTTTTGTTTTTACATTTTTGCTGGCAAATGTAAAACCCTAACCGTCCTCCATCAAACAACCATTGTTTTCATCTTCTACGGCCACCTCTCGAATCGGAATCGGCAATATGACTATACTCTGAAATCTCTCAATGGAACAAATGTCCAAAGAAAATGTTAGTTTCACGCCTCTCTCGCACTCCATCAACAATACTCCGCCGCTACAAACGCCTCGGATTTCTCAGAGTTTCAGAGCCGTGAAGCCTTTCCTCGATCGTAAACGGGTTCGCGAAGATGTCTGCTTTCACCGCCAGTTTCCTTACCGGTAAGCAAGCGTTTCTTATTTTTTTTAAACGGCAGAAAACTGTGGAAAGAAACCTGAAACTTTTCTGTTTGTTTCTTTGGTTGTAAAGCTGAGTTGAGACAAATTTAAGCTGTTGTAGCATAACAATTTTAGAGTGATTCTTTCCACATTAAAGCAAAAACGATTACAAAAAAATCGATGCAGCATGTCAACTTCCTCCCCTCTCTCATTTTCTTGATTTAATATCCTTCCCGAGATTTCTTCATGTTTAAAAGTTTAATCTGTTTTGTTTGTTGACAGAAATGATTAGGCGTGAATCTTGTGTTTATTCCAACTGTTTTACTTTCAGATATAATGATGGAATTGAAAGCAAATTACCAGCTTTAAATACTGGCATCAAGAGGGCTCCTCTTATGGAGATGCCTATGAACACACCTCCGTTTTCTACCAATGGATACAAGTCAATAAATTGTCATGGCGAGTTGTCCAGTGTCGGATCCATAGCTGGTTCTATGGACACTGAATGCATGTGTGTTCCTTTTATAATCCCGATAAAACAACCAGCTTTCTCTAATTCAAGTGATTCATTTTTGACACCAAGCCTTCTAGATGAGGATTTTGATGAATCTGTATATGAAGAAATTGATGCAATATGTGAACATCAGTCTGCAGCAAAAGCAGAAAGGGAGGATCTAAATGTCAGAATTTACATGGACTGTCAGCAAAATGATAATAATAGTTGTAATGATCATATTACTAATTTGCCTCTCACTACAAATGAGAAGGTCAGAGCAGAACGTGCAGCATATAACAGGATTTTTGGGTTAAAAGAGGAGGATTTATGTACTTTGGAGGCTGCACAAAGTGGGAACATGCCGGATGAATATTCTAAATACTTACAATCTTTGAATGATAGACAGCGTGAAGCAGCTTGTAGTGATACATCTATTCCTTTAATGATAGTTGCTGGACCTGGAAGTGGAAAGGTCTCTTCCTCTCACAATTTTTCATAACATGTGCACACAAACACTTTCCTTGAACCATTCTTTCTAGCAGTTCATTTATGTTTATTTTATTATAGTAACAGTTGAACTTTATATTTTATGTTTCTGTTCTAGACTTCCACAATGGTAGGTCGCCTTCTGATGTTGCTTAATGAGGTATTGCTTTGATTTTCCCATCATATTTTCTATCTATTTTATTCATCCCCTTTTATCCCTTTTAACTTTCCTTTTCAGTTGTAGCTGGATAGGATCCTTGAATTTCCATTCTGTCCTTGTAGTAATGTAAAATCTGATTTCATGGAGGATACAAAAGATGAATTATTTTTTTGCCTGTCTACCAGATTATCCACTGTCTTTGTTTTGTGACTGTTTTTTGCTCTAATCTTCTAAATACTGTCAGGGTGTTAGTCCATCAAACATTTTGGCAATGACTTTCACTACAGCTGCCGCTTCTGAAATGAGAGATCGTATTTCTGCGGTGGCAGGAAAGGCTAGGGCCAAAGAACTTACAATCAGCACATTCCATTCTTTCTCTTTGCAGCTGTGTCGTTCGCATGCAGAGAAGTATGACTAACTTCTTATTATTTAATGTTAGTCAGCTCTCAAATAAATTGCGTGCATTTTCTTTTGGATGCTCTTTTGTTGCAAAATATACAAATCCTTTGTTTATTTTTTCTAGTTTTATGCCTCTTCAAATACCTGAATGAATTTCAAGTTGACCTTTTTGATGTTTTCTAGTAACTAAAATCTGTAAAATGTATAACCATTGAGCCCTTGAATGGCTCTTTCTTTGACAGACTTTAATTTTTGAGAAAGAATCTCTGAAAACCAAGGGCCTGGAAACACGCACAAGTATTTGTGTTTGTCTGAGAGATAATCTGATTCTCTTTCAGAGAATTACTGGGATTAGAGGCAATGGTGTAAATGAAAGAAAAATGTGGTTGAGGCAGAAATGAACTAAATGTTGCTTGTCATCTTTCTTTAACTTTTTTCTTTTTGTCTTAGCTTTATAGTCCTGGTAAATGATATTTGGACACGGGCAACACTATATTGTAGGTTAGAGCGCACACGAGAGTTTCTAATATATGGACATGGACAACAAAGGAGAGCAATCATTGAGGCAGTAAGGCTATTAGTAGATGAAAATAGTGGACAACAGTACTATAAGTCCTCTAAAATTGAAAATTCCAATGGTGCGAGACATCCAGGATATTTTAAGGATAGATCAAAGAAATGGCAGAAGTTCGTGACTCAGGTTAGTTGTTATAAAATATCTTCATGTTCTTTTTTCAGAATTTATCCAAAGCACTAGGCCAAACCTATTTTGACATCTTTAGCAACTCATGTTGTTTGACACAGATTTGCTGTTTTCAACTCCTGTAGCTTGTCCTTATTTGGTGCAGTAAAGTTTCTTTAATTTCTTTTGTATGGAGTTGCTTCCCTTCTGTTTGTCAAGGGGATACTATATTTTGTGACAATAATTCATTCATAGAACTATTCAAATCATGAACTTTACCTATAAAATATATATGTGTTTGTAGCTTTTTCTACTTTTTTTTCTATGTGGAAATAGCATCCCCCAACCCTAAACTGTGTTATTCAATTTTCCAGGCAAAAGCTTCTGGAAAAACTCCTGAAGATTTCTATAAAATGGGTGATGAAATGGGAGTAAGTCATAAATTACCTTTTCATAAATTCTTTTCACTTTTGCTTCTGTTCTTCTAATACTTACATCTGCATCTGAATCAGGCTGAAGTTCTTGGAAATTACAATGACATATTAAGATCATGCAATGCTTTAGATTATCATGACTTAATCGGTTGCTCAGTGAAGCTCCTCACTCAATATGATGAAGGTTCAAACACTTAGTCAATTTATGCAACTATTTATCTTATTCATTTTCTGATATCTGCTTTATCCCATTTCAAGTGCTCAAGGAGTGCCGGGATTCATGGAAAGCCATCATAGTAGATGAATTTCAGGATACCAGTGCAATGCAATACAGACTTCTAAGGATTCTTGCATCCCATAATAACATAACAGTTGTTGGTGATGATGACCAGGTTTACCTCTTTAAACCTTCACTTTTAGGAAATCAACTATTTTTCCCTCTTTCCTCTTGGTTCTCTGTGTTTACATCTTCCATGTTTATTTCACAACTATTCTAAGCCAAAGGGTTCTATGTTCCTTCAGTCCATTTTCAGCTTCAATGGAGCTGATGTTTCTGGTTTTGATTCATTCCGCAAAGATTTTACGAACTACAAAGAGGTCTGTCTCTCTTCACCACTTATTTTTTCTAATTCTCATTTCAGAATAGTGTATGTTAATTTACATCATTATTGTTTCCGCTTTTTGAATTTTTGATACATTAATCATCCAGATAAGGCTTATCAGAAACTATCGCTCCACACGCTGTATTGTTGAAGCCGCATCCCATCTTATACAAAACAATTCAAAAAGATGCCTGTCAAAGAATTTTCTTTCTGAAAATGCCTATGGATCTAAGGTATGTTAATTGTGCCATTATCTCCATATCTTTACATCTCCAATGTATTTATATATAACCTTTACTTTTTCTTTTTGGTTTGAATGTTTAAACATAGATCACAATCAAGGAATGTTACAATGAAAATGCACAGTGTGCCTTTGTTGTTGATAAGATCTTGGAAACTGCATCTAACAGTACTGTTGGTAGTTCCTCATATGGAAATTTTGCAATTCTTTACCGTAGGCAGGTCAAGCTTACTTTCTAAGTGATAATATGCTTGAATTATGAACTATACCCTATATGTCTTATGAGATGTCTTTGCATCTATTTGGTCTATAGGTTTCAGGGAAAGTTTTTCAAACTACCCTCCGCAACCGGAAAGTTCCATTCAATCTTCATGGTGTAGCTTTTTATAGGAAAAAGGTGACCAGAATTCTTTTAAAATGCTCCTCTGACTTCTATAATAGTTTATTTGTTTTAAAGATGCATTTTTACAAAAGACTTGTCGTATGACAGATAGTTAGAACTATTATTGCTATTCTTAAAACGACATTGCCTGCTTGTGATGATAGTCCGTATCGCAAAGTGTTCAAGGCTTTGCTTCCTTTTGAAAAGGAGGAAAAGAAGAGGGTATGTTCCAATTTTTTAATCATCTATGGCAATTGCATATAATATACTTGCTTTCCTAAAACTCTTTCATTCAGACTCATATTACAAAGTGTGGTCCTCTAATATTTCATAAAGTTCTTCTCATGCTCCTTTTTGCAGGTAATTGAGCATATAGAAAAAATTACAGCATGTAGAAAATGCAGCTTCATATCAGCTGCCTATGACATCTTTAGTGCAAAGATTTCTGGTACCTTTAAGAGGTTTTCTTAACTATCTTTCACAACAGCTTTTCCTTATTATTTTTCATAAGATTCTGCATTTGAAATCCCTAGAAACGTTTAACTTCTTGGTGATGATTGCTGGCAGCAGTTGGAGAAGATGAAGGGATGATAATAGCAGTCAATAAGATACACATGATTGTACTATTTTAAGTGTATGGTTTTGCCTGGTTTTTGTATATACCAATTTTGATGCTGGTGCAAGTTTTGGCACTTGAAATGGATGTGGGCAAAACATACATAAGAAAATATTGGGAATGGGATAAAGTTAACTAGTCAAAAGAAGTATCCAAATATTAGTATTACTTAATTTGTCTTAACTAAATATACTATAACCCATTATTGACATTAGAATCCTTGAAATTTTCTCCATTCTGACTTCTGATATTTGGTTATAACATAACCAATTGTGAAACTAAGGGGCTGTTTGTTTGCCTTTTAATGGAACCATTCAGCGCTGAATCGTTCAGTATTCAGTGCGTTTGTTTCGCACTTTTGAATGATTCAGTGTTGATTGATTCAGCAAAACAGTGCTGAATGATTCAACACAAATGTTCATTCTGAATGATTCAGAGCCATTATCAAACATGTCACATTCAGAGTTAATTCATACAGAGTCTCTGAATCATTTAACATTTAAATCATTCAACGCTTAATCATTCTGAAGTAAACAAACAACCCTAAGTATTGTTGGAGGCTTGAAGCTATTGACTTCTAGCAATAATAGTGAGCAACAAGGCTAGGTAGTCTATTTTAAATCTGCCAGACAGTGAATATGGGAAGCTAAGTAAAACATAGGGAATAGGGATTTATTTAAGTTTACTACTGGAATCCATCATTAGGATTGTGACAATGTCACCTATTTCTGTGGATTGAAAGTGTAGAAAATGTTTTATGTCTGCTTATTTTTTGCCCAATGATACTGCCTGTGTAATCTCTCTGAAATATGATTTCTCTAATTGATCACAGAAGTCAACTTACACAAGGTCGTAAAGTGTTACAAACATTGGAAATGATATCAAAACTTGTTCACAGGGTAAGTTCATCGATCATATTGTGTGAATTGCTTACTTGAATATTTTATTGATATTTGTTTTTGTTCCCATTAGAAGGAAAATCATTTTGTAAGTACAGACCAAAGGCATAATGAACTGCATCTTGATGGTCATTTGACTCTGACTAGGGGAAGGCACCTTTCATTTTCAACATGTTTGTTGTTTGTCCAGCTTGAATCTGAATAGTTACATGTAAACGTTTAATGCTAGCTATTTTCTTGATATTTTTTATTAAACTGAAATTTTTTTCGAATACAAGGTCATACTAGTCAATAATTTTTTTTCCAGAGAAGTTAATCTGTTGTTATTTTGCAGGAACGATCAATATCTGCGGTTATAACTTCAGTATCAAACATGATACCTCAGGTTCAGTCCAGTCTTTAAACAGTTACAAATAACTTAGGATATCTTTTATGCTATTTGTTTGAAAGAAAGTGTACTCAATTCAGGGGAAACTGCTTGGACTTTTACATTTCTTTAGAGTTGAGACTAAGTGCAAAAAAAGAGGTTTCTAGGTTGAAGCAAGATGTATTATGTATAATAAGCTTAAGTTATATGATTTTCTACCAAAAATTGTGAAGAGTGTTTGATATTGATGCAACTTTTGCTATTAAAGTTGCATTTAAGAACACCTACATGCCCTAGGTAAGAGTTTTAGGTGTGGTTGTGGTTGATTAATTGTGTCTCACCTGAAGGGGTTTGAGGCATTTTTGTTGTCTGGCATTGTGACATCACAACACATTATTCTCAATGTTATTTAATTTACAATGCCATCAACTGAAGGTTGATGATTGCTTCCCTGGCCACCGCTTATATTAGTATAAACATTTCTAAGCTTTTCATTGTTCATTCTTGTATTAGATGCCTTTTTAAAATTTTTCAATTTTCTCCTCATTGGTTTAAGCTTCTTCAGAATGATTCCATATGACCTCTTACTTTTTAACTTCAGCCAAACTCTGTTTTAATCATCACCTTTTTTGATTCTTTGTGTTCTTGCTATTTAATAAGCGAAAGAGTCATAACTATGAATATTTTCATATATGCAAAATTGGTATGACTTTGCTTTTTAATGTTACTCACATTTCAATCGTTTCTGATTTTGCCTCAATTTTCAGAATCATCTTCTTGAACAACGAGCTGTCATAGATGTTGATGGAGGAAAATTGCTCAATGAAGACAATGATGTCAGATCTGTAAGTTTAGCTTTCCATTCTGATGATGCAACTCATATTAAAGCTTACATATTTGATGATATTGTGTTTTTCTCAGTTGATCAGGACATACTTCCATTAGTTTCTGTTTTATTTTTCACTTAAAGGCCTTTTCTTGTCTATTTTGTTGGCATTTTGATTTATTTGGCAGTGGTGTTAATTAATGTTAAGTGGTGTTATCCTACATTTATTAAATATAGAGTTTTCTGTGATTTTATATTAAAGTTGGACGCTTCCACTTGTTGTCAATTGATTTATGTTGGACTTTAACATGGTTTAAGAGATGAGGGTTTGTTACAGTGTTGTTTCTGCCTAACCCCAAGTGAAGTTGATGCCTCCTGCTGACTGGTGAGGTCGCCCAGGTGTAGGGTGTAAGAGCTACACATGAGACGGAGTGTTAAGTTTTATGCTACATTTTTTTTATAAGAATTGCAGGCCTCTTTAAAAACCCCCTTCTTGATTAAAGGAGCTTGTAGAGAAGCTCCCTAATCAGTGGAAGGAGAAAAAGAGTGCCTTAGAATTTCATTCAACACTGAAATTACATAAGAAACAGCCATACAAACACTCCCTCAAAAACAGAAAAACATAAAACACCCCCAAACCACCAAAAACACCAACACTGACATTGGGTAAAACCAATTTAGAGACTGCAGCAGCCTCCGATTGGTTTACCCTTTACAATAATATTACAAAGAATCAACAACCACAAAGCCCATCAAAAAAGCACAAGACATGCAAGAATTCTGTTACAATTAACCAATCCCCTGTTTAGCTAGCCTGTCAGCCTCCAAATTACAGCCCCTAGAAATCCATCTAAGGACGACCCCCTTGGCCTTAATAATGGCTTCAATTTCCTCCGCCAGATCACTAAAAAAAGAAGGGGCAGGTTGCAGATTTAAAATCCAGTCCACTGCACATTTGCAGTCGCTCTCAATAATAAGTCTTCCCTTGTTGGCCCAATTTGAGGAATAGAAAAAATTCAAACCTTCATTGATAGCTTTCAGTTCAGTCAAAATAGGCAAACCAGGCCCTACTGCAGAAGAGAAGCAAGCTAGAGACCCGCTGGAAGAGTCTCTCAAAACACCACCAATACCCCCTTGCATTCCATCTCCAGTCACTGCTCCATCAACATTGAGTTTAAACATATCTGCTGGAGGAGGAGACTAGCCAATAACCTTCTTAGGACCAGTAAAAATGAGAAAAGAATCTGCCCTCGTAGGATCCCCTACTAAAAGGTCTGTCTGAATCCTAACCGACGGATGTTTTGCTAAAAACCATTTCGCCAACCTAAATCTAGAGATAAAATATAGAACTGAACCATCACATTTTCCGTTTTCAAAGACAACCAGATTTCTTACTTTCCAAATTGACCAGAAAATAACAGCCGGAGCGAACCTCCAAATAATAGAATTATGCCTAATATTGGACCATGAGCAGAGAAAGGAGGAAGGATCTTGATGTAGAGCAGTAGAAATATCCCATAACCTTAGAAATTGACTCCACAAACCCGAAGCAACAGAACACATGAAGAACAAATGGGATATAGTTTCATCCTGGGAATTACATAGTGGACACAGTACATCCGTTAGAGGGATCCCTCTTTTCTTCAATTCCACTCTAACTGCTAGTTTCTGATGGCAAATCTGCCATAAGAATGTTTGAACTCTAGGCGGAGCCAAACCATCCCAAACCCACTTCTTCCACTCAAAACTCCCTTCAGAACTATCATATAACGACAATCTACAAGCTTTGACCGAGAACATGCCATCCCCCTTACCCGACCACCCTAGGAAATCATCGACAGAACATGACAGCTTAATCTTGTCAACCAACAACATTAGATCGATCCACTGGTCTAATTCCCAATCACGCAAATTCCTTCTAAGTTGAATATTCCAAACCCAAACATTATCTACATATCCACCAAACTCAGAGACCTTCCCCCGTTTATTTGTAGACAAAGCAAAAATTCTAGGAAATTGATGAGATAAAGGCAGATTAGTGATCCAAACATCAGTCCAGAATGCAATCGACTGACCATTTCCCACTTGTATTTTTGAATTGTCTCTCAAACAGTCACCAATCTGATCATTCTTCGAAAAGTTATTAAGGATGCCTCTCCAAATCCAAGAATCAAAAGGAGAAGCTGCATCTGAAATAGTAAGGGACAGAACATCAACATTGTTTTTGCAGCAGATCACCTCCTTCCACAAACTTCTTTTTTCATTTGCAAATTTCCAAATCCATTTCCCAAGGACTCTATTCATCACCCTTAAATGAAGTATTCCTAAGCCACCTTCTTCAATAGGTTGGCAAACTAACTTCCAACTCACCCAATGCATTCGTTTCTTATCAAGGTCTTCACCCCAAAGGAAGTTTGCCATCAGAGAATTCAACTTCTTAGTCACTTTGATGGGAATCTTGAAAATAGATAGAAAAAATATTGGCAAGGATGATAACACAGATTTAACTAGAACAATTCTACCCGCCAATGACAATGATTTTGCTTTCCAACCTGCTAGTCTTCTATTAAAATTCTGGAAAACAGGGTCCCACATACTCTCTGAATTCTTCCTAGTGCCAATCAGTAGACCAAGATAAGCCATAGGAAAGGACCCCACTCCACAGTTCACTTTAGCCCACTCTTTAACCATGTCAACATCCATATTAACTCCATATAACGAACTCTTAGACAAATTTAAATGTAACCCATACATAACCCCAAAAATCCTCAATACTCTTCTAATATTTAAAATCTGCATTGGAGAATCTCTGCAGAAAAGGATTAAATCATCTGCGAATTGTAAATGTGTCAAATTAAAAGAGTTGGCAACTCTACCAATGCTGAACCCTTGAAAGAGACCTAAATCGGCAGCCTTAATCAGCATAAGATGTAACATTTCCCCCATTAAATTGAACAGGAGAGGTGATAGACTGCACCCTTGTCTCAACCCTTTATTAATGCGAAATTCATCAGTAGGACAACCATTAACTAACACCGAGATAGAGGCTGAAGAAACACAACGTTTAATCCATGAGATCCATTTTCCCCAAAACCCATAGCCTTCAATATTCTGAATAGTATAGGCCACTCAACCGAATCATATGCCCTACTAAAATCAGCTTTGAAAAAAACACCTTTTCTCCCTAGCTTTCTCCAATAGTCAATGCCTTCATTTGCCAAAAGCGCACAATCAATCAATTGTCTACCTGGAATAAAAGCGAATTGTGAGGGATTAAAGTAATAAATGAATGATTCACTCAGGATTCGCTCAGGATTCCCTCAGGATTCGCTTTCTTAGGGATTAAAGTAATAAATGAATGATTCACTCTCTTTTCCCATTCTTTGCCTCTATGAAAATCTTGGACAAATTGCATGATATGCTCCTTCAAAATGGACCAGAATTTTTTAAAAAATCCCATAGAAAACCCATCCGGACCAGGTGCCTTAGCACTATCCGAATGAAAGACAGCTTCCCACACTTCTTGTTCAGAAAAGTCCACCTCTAAACCAGCCTTTTGTTCCTCTGTCAATTTGTTAAAATTCAGATTACAGTCATCCACTTCCAGAGCTGCATTCGAGTTGTAATTGGCTTTAAAAAACTCAGAAATAGCTGATCTAATCTGATTAGGATTAACAATATCTACCCCATCCACTTTCAAAGATGAAATGGCATTCACTCGACTCCTATTAAGAGCACATAAATGATAAAATCTGGTATTTCTGTCCCCATCCTTGATCCATTTAAGTCTTGATTTTTGAAACCAAATGCTCTCCTCCTTCCTATGCAAACCCCACAATTCATTCCTCCACGTCAATAGTTGACCCCAATCTTGTGCCGAAACCCCCCTGACACCTCAATTCCAACTCATTTATCCTATTCTCCAAATCTAAAATCTGTTCGGAAAACCCCATATTATTACTATTGGGCCACTTTTTAATCACTTTCTTTGTTCCTTGAAGAATACTCAACATACCCCTACGTGCATTTTCCCTCTTTAAATCATACACATCATTCTTAACCACCCCATCAAACCATCCTCCTCTAGTAAATAATTAAAAAACCGGAAAGGTTTAGGACCCCAGTTTTTGAAATCATCCTCAAGTACTATAGGGTTATGATCAGAAATAGATTTCGGCAACAGTTTCTGAATAACTTTTGGAAATACCTGAAAAAAAGCACCACTTAATAGAAACCAGTCATCCACTTCCAGAGCTGCATTCGAGTTGTAATTGGCTTTAAAAAACTCAGAAATAACTGATCTAATCTGATTAGGATTAACAATATCTACCCCATCCACTTTCAAAGATGAAATGGCATTCACTCGACTCCTATTAAGAGCACATAAATGATAAAATCTGGTATTTCTGTCCCTATCCTTGATCTATTTAAGTCTTGATTTTTGAAACCAAATGCTCTCCTCCTTCCTATGCAAACCCCACAATTCATTCCTCCACGTCAATAGTTGACCCCAATCTTGTGCCGAAACCCCCCCTGACACCTCAATTCCAACTCATTTATCCTATTCTCCAAATCTGAAATCTGTTTGGAAAACCCCATATTATTACTATTGGGCCACTTTTTAATCACTTTCTTAGTTCCTTGAAGAATACTCAACATACCCCTACGTGCATTTTCCCTCTTTAAATCATACACAACATTCTTAACCACCCCATCAAACCCATCCTCCTCTAGTAAATAATTAAAAAACCGGAAAGGTTTAGGACCCCAGTTTTTGAAATCATCCTCAAGTACTATAGGGTTATGATCAGAAATAGATTTCGGCAACAGTTTCTGAATAACTTTTGGAAATACCTGAAAAAAAGCACCACTTAATAGAAACCGATCTAATCTAATCCACGTGGAAGCTTCTCTATTATTGCACCATGTAAATCTCCCTCCAACTAGTGGTAGATCCATAAGATTTAAATTTAAGACAAAGTTAGAGAATAAGTCCACCGAATGCCAATTTTGAGCCATTCCAATTTTCTCCTCGGGATCTAGATAAGCATTGAAGTCCCCCCCTATGTATACAGGCAAATCAAGATTCTGCAAAAAACTCATCAATTCTCCAAAGAAATCCTCTTTTTCAGCCTCAACCGACGGACCATACACATTCACAACAACACATTCAAAGTTAACCAACTTAAACTTTCTTGTTAACGCAATAAATCTATTACGTTTAAGTTCCCTATTAACTTCAAACAGATTTTCATCCCACAAGCATATTAACCCTCCTGCCGAACCAGTAGCTGGCTGAAAGCTAATTCCTTTCAAGCAATTACCCCCCAACCTCCTCAGTAAACCCTTTCGACATTTATTCAGTTTAGATTCTTGAATAAACATAATAACCGGTTTGTGTTTTGATACTAATCTTGCAACTGCTCTTACTTTTTCCATCTTTCCAAGCCCCCTAACATTCCATGAAATCAATCTGATTTGTGACATAATTCTCAAAATCTGCAAAACCTGACCATCCTGAAAACAGCAACTCAAGAACTCCTAATAGGACCATTCAGCTCCATCTTCATGATCTCCTCTTGCAATACATGATTGCCCCCTTTGAAAGAGATCCCCAACATATCACAGACTTCCCTAGTAACAGCAGCTTCCAATCTTGCATCCATATATTTGTTTGGTGACTTAGAGGTAGCACTGTTTTGATCCAGAGGAACCCTGACCCTACCTCTATCTACCCTTTCATACACTCGCTCATGGAAACTAATGGAAGCTTCACCCTCCGAACCATCACTACCAGATCATGTAGGAACAATCCTAAATTTCCTGTGCTTTAGAAAGCCTCTTCTTAAACCAAGAGAGAGAGACTCTTTATTTGTTTCCCTCCCCTGGTAATCACCCAATAGCACTGGCGATCCTTCCCTTTCTACCTCTATTTCATCCACAGTACCATCTTCCTTGTCCAAGACTAGAACTTTCTCTACCATGTCATCCTTTGAAAACTGAGTCTGAATTCTGATATTGGATCCTTCAACTCTTAAATTTGAATTAGAATCTGGCAAAGCTCTAGCCAAATCCTGCAGACTTGATTCCACCATCATATTTTGCTTTAAAGCTTCCTGTTCCTCCATCCAAGCTTCCTTTTGTTTGCCATAGCCCACTCTAATTAAATTAACTTCTGGCCCAGCTGTTGAGAATCTGATGGGCTCACTCAAGTCCTCTAAATGGGCTTTATTACTTTCGTTAGAAAAAATACTTCTGTTCCCCATACCCTGAAAGTTCCCTCTAAAATTCAAACTCACTTCTGGATTTTCTGACACCTTTGCTCCACTAGTTTGACCTTCTCCATCCTTCCACATTAAAACCTGACCTCCTTTGCCGACTGCCACAGCTGTACCAACATCTCCTTCCAACCACCTGTCTACACTGTCCCTAGTATCGCCAGCTATTAAGATTTTTCTCCCAACCCCGTCTGAGCACCGACCTTCTTCCTCCTCCGAAAGATTATCGCCTTTGGATACTCCCTTTCCGGCCACCGTTGATTTTCCTACTGAAAAACTTTCCTGTTTTATATAGACTGTCCCCCTAAGACATTATCTCTCAAAGCCATTGATGATTCAGAAGAAGAAAATAAAAATAAAAAACAAAGACGCTTAAATTTTTAGAGAGAAGGAGGAGCTTCTCTCACTAGAACTAACTCTTGCTGAATATAACCATATATAGAATAATATGCAAAAAATTTTATCCTACATCTGTTAGATATTAGGTTTCATGTGGTCTTATATTAAATTTGGCCCCTCCTTTAACCAATTCATTTTACAGTGAATGCTATAACAATTTATCTATATTTGTGTGTACTGTAGTCCTCTGGTTAGATAACATCCAAAGATAGTGCTACTGTACTTTAGTGGTTGTTATATCAGCAGGCCCTGTGCTTTGTGGTTAGTTTCTTATTCAGTTTCAGATAATCTATCTTCTACCTAGCAGTATGCTTGTCACTGATTAGATGTCTAGTGACCACCCACTTTCTTCTTTCAAATGCAATAGTTACATTCATTTCAGAAGCTCAATGATCGATTCAAAATACACATTTCACTGATCCATCTTGCAGGTTCTCGAATACCTACTTGATGATGTTTCTGATTTCCTGTCTACACAATCTACTGATAGAAAAAAGAAGAGAGAAACCGGAGAAGAAAAAGGCTGTGTCAGTACACTAAATTCTTTCATTGACTACATAACTGAGCGCGAGAGAGAAAACTTCCGTTATCGAAGACGTGACAATGAAAATTCTGTTACCTTGACTACCATTCATCAGGTTATCACCTCTGCAAACATTTTATTTTTATTTTTATGTTCTCAGATTAATGCCCTTTGCCGAGCCTTTTCTTTAACATCTTATATTATGTCTGCAGTCAAAAGGCTTAGAATGGGATACAGTCTTCATAGTGAAGGTATATGTCTATCTTAATTTGTTAATCCCACTTGACTGTTAAAGAACTGCTACTACGATTCTATTCATCAATCTGTGAAATTTCTTATGTTATCACTTTACCTTTATCATTATATGTTTCTAATAGAAGATGCTGTAACAGGCAAATGAATCAGAGATTCCTCTGTTAAATGAGTTCAATGGTGCTGCAGCTGAAAATGGGACATTACTTGAGGTATGCTTTCAGGATAATGTCCTATACAATCTTTATAGTATTGGACAATGTTCTATGCTACAGAGATTGAATATCTTTTAGTACGGGTTACTACATTTGACATATTTTAAATTTAATACTACAAAGTTGTGGCAATTCCTTCTACTATGTTAATTTTTCATTATGAGGCTTGACTGATTATCAATCAAATGCATATAGGAGGAACGGCGCCTTTTATATGTTGCAATGACCCGTGCTCGTCAAAAGCTTTTCATTCTGTATGTTACAATGGATTTGAATTGGCAGGTTGGAACTATGTGAAACTTGAGCAATATGGTGTTTTATATAGTCATTTTGAGGTAACAGTCCTGCTTTTTTCAGATGCTTCAACCTTCACGTTTTCTTAAAGAAATTCCAGATCATCTTCGAGAAATTCAGGTAAATTACTGCTAGAAAAGTTGCATATAACATTATCCCAACTATTTATTGGCTCAGCCTTATGATGTCTCCTTTATGCCATATTGTTCGTCCGCTTCATGGAATTTCCAACATGAAAAAAATGATGTTTTTGTTTATTTCAATTCAGAATAAATAAACTGTGCATGCCTGTAGCACTAGGATCATTATCCTGATTGTGTAATAATATTCAAGTTTGCTAACACATTATTTTTGTTTGTAGGATCCATTTTTCTTTACAATTGCTTGTAGTTTGGTATAACACTATAACCTCTTAAAGCATTGAGTAATATATAGCTAAATAAGGATTTAAGTAGAAATTTGACCTCGCCCTTTAAAAGGTGAAGATTTATTTGTTACTGAAAGCTTCCCATTAATGAGTATATTGACAAAGCATAATATTCTTTAATATTATTAGTTTCTATTCCAGAGTGTTTGAGTGGACGATGTGCACTTTGATTCCGCATTTACAATGGGTGTCTTGTAGGCTGAAGTAACCGGAAATGATCTAAAAACCACATATCAAGTTATTACAAAAGGAACTGCACAGTTTTCCCCTGATCTTCCAAGCGAAAAGCAATCATCTGAAGCAGACATGGTGCAGAGCATTTTCTCTGACGCTGAAGATAGAGCCTCAAAAGAGACTGTAGAATCAGTTGAGGCATGCAATGGAAGTGATTTTTTAAGAAGGTTTTCCCTCAAACTTTAGTTGGCCGTGTTCTGTTATTTCTCGATTTTGCATTGCTGTATACGGATGTACCTTCTCTTCTGGTCAATCTCTTTGTAGGTTTGGTGTGGAGGAGAGGTCAATAGTCTCTCACTTATTTCATCAATGGGCCAAGAAGCAAGCCTTTCAAGAGCCTAGGAGGTTGCTTGACAAGGTAACCTTTGTTTTCAACAACTTGCATTTTCAACATTTTCAGTCCATCGCTCATTGCACAGATATAGGTTGTCTGTTACTACTTGTTTAGTTGGGAAGGGAGATGTGGAGACTCGGGTAGTTCTGCCGTAAGACGGTCTAATTTAACGCTAAGGAAAGCACAACCGAAAATGTTAAAGAAATTTGTAACATTTTCGATTGAACTGAAAATGTTATGAAGAAGGAAACATTTTCGGTTGCCAACCGAAAATGTTATTAAGAATGTGTGCAACCGAAAAAATTTTAAGGAAAAGTTAACATTTTAGGTTGCGCTCAACCTAAAATGTTAAACAATTTTTTTAATATTTTCAGTTGTGTCTTTCCTTAGCCTTAAATTAGGCTGTCATCCCTTAGACATTCCCCTCTTATGTTAGTAATCTATGAAAAGACTATGGGCAGGCTTTAGCCTTTAACCTAATGGCAAACTGACTCATTTCAGTTTTACTTTACTCCTTCTGACGTGCTAAGAATGTGTATGTTTTATGTGGTTTCTTAACCATTTATTTTATTTTTTTCTGGATATATATTGCAGGTTCGCTTTGTAATTGATGAGCGTCTCAGAGCAAAAAATTATAAACACAAGGTTATTCCAATTATTCATTAGCATAATGTTTTAATTTGTACTTCCTCTGTCCCATTATATTTTTCCTGTTTGAATTTTAAAATTATCCATTTCAAAATGTCCTATTAGAAAAATCAACAAATAACAATACTTGTATTTTCTCTTTTATCCTTATATGTTCCATTTTTTTTACACTTATCAAAACAAATCTGACAAATCTATCAATCGTTTTTTGTGATAATTTTGTCATTTCTCTTATTTTATATAACTTAACATGTGGTCAAAAGTTTCTCCTAAAATTATGTGCCTAATCAGTATGAGACACAATTAATGGGATGAGGGGGTACTTTATTTCTACTCTTAAAGCAAACAAGCCATACACACAAAAATATAAAAAATTGAGACAAGTTTTAAATTCCTATACAAGGTGTAAAAATAGTCTTCACCGGACATTCTGACCTTGCCAATATGATACGTAGTCTCATTATGGGAACTTTCCTGGTGGATTGTTCCTTTGAAGTATTTCCTACATTTCCTCATATCAGTATAGCCCCTACAAAAGAGGCTCCTTGGAGGAATAACAATTGTGCTTTCATGTATGTGGAACATAAATACAATTCTAACAATGACATGATTTTGCAAAATTTATTAGGAAGTTCTGCGAGAATTAAGGCCATGTTTGAGTATGGAGGATGCACTTCACTATGCGAAATATGTAAGTTCAAGTTGCTATTCTCAAATCTCAACAGCTGAACTTTGTATTTTCTTGTGACCTTTCTTATTCATCCAAGTTAAGTGGAATATTTCTGAAACTTACTTTTGATACATTCCTCAAGTAGTTAATTGTACGAGTGGAGATTTTTTAAATCAATGATACATCTTTTTGTAGGTGGTGAAATGGGAGCAAATTCCTGCTGATAAACGTGCTCACTTGATGAGGGAGAAACAGGTTTGGTCCTTTGTCAGATTCTAGATTTCTGTTGTAGTTTTCTTGCTTCTCACAGTAGAGAACATTATCTATCGGAGATGATTCAAGAATTTAATGCCTCTGTTCTTTATATTTTGGTGAAAGTAGAACTATATTTGTCTTCTTGTAGGAGCATTTCCAGAAACTGAGGATGGAGAAATCAATGGGTTCATCAGCTGCAACACCAAAACAGGTATGTCAAAATGTCTTCATTTTGTTCTTTGGGGTTGCTGATGGGAGAGATTTCTCCCATTAACCATAATGAATTTTGATGATAATTTCCAAGACTTTCCATTGTCCATTGAAGATGTAGAAAGTCATGGCAGTGATTGTCACCATAGCTTTGACATGAACTTTTTGAACCACATCCTTCATCCTTCAACTATTCTTATTATTATCATTATAATGTAGATTGCTTATCTGCAAAGTTTGGGGTGCACCGTTTATCCTACTTCAAGACTTCATGCTTCCCGTCTGATAGAACAGTACAAATCGCTGTGACTTCATGCAAAGAAGGCATTGTTTATTTATTCTACATTCTAATTTCTCATCTTTCAAAGAAAAAAAAAGACATTTTAATTTCTAAACAAAACTCTTGTTTCAGTACTTGGTAGCTTATGTTATGTGAATATTTGCGCGTTTCAGATGAGTACTGGTTCAATATATTTGATCTTTTATAATTTTTTTTATGAATATTTCTTTTATGTATTTAGTATTTAATGGAAATCAAAGGATATGTATCTTAATTGGATCAACTTTTCTTAACAAGATATTATCTTAGTGGGTATGGCCCAAAGATGAGTTTCTTCGACTGAAGTTCAATAAGCTAGTTGGGATAAGTGTTCTTCATTATATCGGATTAAACTCCAAATTCCCACTTTTAATTCAACCGAGTATCGTTATTCATGGGTGAAACTATGTTTATGATTGTGGTGTCAGTTGACACCTAATTTTTTTTATAAAATTTATATTTTGGAAAAAATGTTAACTATCATTTTAAAATAATATTAACACTTTTTTTATATAAGAAAATTCGGCTCTATCTTTCTATTCAATGTCATGAAGTCTGGGTTCAATACTAAAGATTTTAATATATATATATATATATATATATATGACGGACTTTTTTCTTTTCCCTTATTTTTATCCATTAATAAATTTAGTCACTGCTGACAGCTTACCAAAGTAACATAAAAAGAAAAAAAAAATGAAAATTAAGAAAAATAACCTCTTGTACTCGTTGAGAAATAATGAGCATACACTACACATGGTTGGCTAGGCATTTATCTTTTATTGGCCAAAATGATTGCCTTGCACATCTTCAATAATATAATCCTGGTTTTAGACAAATCTTCCTTTTCTCCGAAAACAAAGAGCAATAGTAATAGTAGTATATAAAAGTCTCATAGGAGTTATGTTATATAGAATATCAAGATTTTAGGATAATAATTTAGGACTCAGGGAGCTAAATCCTTGACTGTTTCCTGCGTCCTATGTTATTATAAGTTAATACCATACTACTTATTTCTGACGATTCGACAAGTGTCTCCTCTATTGTGCTTGCTAGCTGAATGATCCGATCATTCTAACATCTTTATGGGGTCATTGGTTTCCGTTTCCATTGTGTAATTCAGTTTCAGCTTGTCCACCTTCTACGATCCACAAAAGGAGGATCTACTTATGCAGATTTTCTAAGCTGTTGAAAGGTCTTTGACCGAGTGGAGTACTCCCTTATAAGCTTAGAGAAGAGTGAGTCCTCTCGCTCTAGTAGTTTTGCAGGCGTCTCAAACTCAGCAACTCTTCCTGTTAAAGCACAAGTGATTCAATTTGTTTTTGAACAATTTTAAAGTGTGTCCATGTAAGCACTAAGCACGCAAATACTTTTTCATCTACTCAGTCTTACCATCACTTAGAACCAAAATAAGATCGCTGTCTATAACCGTGTGAATTCTGTGAGCTATTGTCACCACTGTCCGATCTTTGAACTCTTGATGAATAATCTTCTGTATCACTCCATCGGTTGCAGAATCAACTGATGCTGTTGCTTCATCCAGTACAAGAATGCTGCTTTTCTTTAGCAATGCCCTTCCAAGACAGAGTAACTGCCTTTGGCCTACACTCCAGTTTTCCCCATTTTCGGTTACTGTTCAAGACATTCTACTATTAGTAAGCTTTCTCTAGCAATGACATACAACTACTCAACGAATTAATGATACCCGAGTTAATGAACCTGACCTGTGGCATCTAACTTTTCTTCCTTTGCGCACACTATTTCACCAAGTTGGCATTTATCGAGAACCTGAGATATTGGCTACTGTTATGCCCACGATTATGATATCAGCTAAGTAGTTTGAACATTAAAACTAAACCCTGACCCAGGAAATGCTGTGGCTATGGTTACATGTTATATGCTTCAATTCGAACCTCTGATTAAAACATTGTGTGCATATCACCGTAATTTATATATAAAAAACAATAATATTTAAATAAAAAACAAAGAACGATCACCTGGAATGATTGTGGCCGAGGACTACTAACTATATGACACTTTTCTAACCACCGATGAATATTTCCCATGCATGTCACTGTGATCCGTATTTTACTTTTGTCTATCTTTTAAGTAAACCTGGGCTAGTGGTGAGAAGAACATTTAGTCCCACAATTCAGTCTACGGGTAAGTTGTATGAAAATCAATTACCTGCCATACTTCATTGTCTGAATATTGCACGAGAGGATCAAGGTTCCCTCGGACAGTTCCTTCAAACATTGTAGGGTCCTGTGGTATGATGCTAAGTCTTGATCTTAAGTCATGAAGGCCTATCCTACTAATGTCCACATTGTCAATTATGATGCATCCTTCTCTGGGCTCAACAATCCTAAAAATAGCCTGTATAAGTGTTGATTTCCCACTTCCTGTCCTTCCCACAACACCAATTTTTTTTCTTCCTGGAAATGTGCAGCTGATATTTTTTAGAACAGATGGTAGATGCTCAGCATACCGGATCTGTAAGGCAGTCAAAATTTGTAGTTGTGTCTCAAACTTCACAATAGATGTTGGATGGTGAGATAGGTAGGAATTTGAATGGCAGTGAATGCAATTTCATTATAATGTTCGGAACTGCATGGATGGTTAACATTATTTTAAGCAAATTTATTACGTTTATCACCATTCTCTCATTACCTCCAAGTTTCTGAAGCAAATTGTTCCAACTTCTGGCCAATTGTTGGGGGGTCTACGCTCTTCAACCTCAAGGGCTGCTTCGCTTGCTAAGTTTGAGTACTGAAGAATTCTTTCTACTGATATCATCTTGTTTTCTGCATTGCATATGTTCCATATTACTGAAGCTTGCAGCACATTCAAATTTATTCCATATGTAACTGCCAGTCCTGCAATGCCTGTTAGGAAAGATTTTCAATTTTGGATCAGTGGTGATAAATTTTTCATTTCCTCTTTGCTTAAACACGTTATGTGGGAGATAGCTATATATATATTCCATTAAGTAACCATCAATTTTCTAAGAAAGAAACGAGTACACTATACTCACTTGGATTAATGATTCCTTCAGGGAGCGCCACCAGCACAACCAATGAGAAGGCAAATACAAAATTGGACAGTAAATTTAGTCTGAAAGAAAGCCATTCCATTGCTGAGACATTATGAAACCAGGGCCTTGAATGGTTGTCAATTAGGCCAAGATTTGCTTCAATGAAACGATTTTTGTGACCAAATGCCCGGATTGTCGCTGCACCAGCAAGTGATTCTGCAAAGTGGTGGAGGATAGGAGCTCTTTGTATTCCTGCTAAGCGGGCCAGTTCTCTTGCTGTTGGTATGTAATATTGCTGCGTATGTTTAGCAACAGTTATTTTCTGCATGGAATTTGCTTTACCATGTTTTGTGTCAGTGAAATTAATTCTGATTTAGATAGAATATATCATGGCTTAACTAAAATATTGTAATTTGTTTTGTTTTTATGATCCGTTTTACTGGTTGTGCGTGTATTTCTATCCGCATTTTTGTGGCTGCTTTTTGTACCAATGTTGCCTTATGTTCTTTTGCATTTGTTGATATAAACTCATTTCATTGTGCTAATGAAGTGATGCTGACATTAAAAACAACATACAAGGAATGGCAAAATGAAACGAAAACATTTTACATAATCTAATTGAGTTATGATAAAAACAGGTAAGATTTTGAAAGGTAGATTTGGAGAAAACTAGTGATTTATGTTATTGTCAATCTCCAAATATCCATTAGAGATGGTTCAAGGATGCTTTTCAAATATATTCTTTTTTAGAGGACATTAAAGGGTTAACCTTTTTCAGTTTTTCTATCATCTAGTGGTAAGATATATTAAAAATAAGTTGAATCGTTTTTAGCTTTCTAATCATCGTATTATGGTTAGATTAGATGTCATTCCCGCTCCTCAAATGGAACCAACGTGAGTTGGGTGATTTCAAAATTTCCAAGGGTAGATTCTTGGAGTCCATGTTAAAAAAATCTACAAACTAAAATTAAAACAAAAACTTATTTGGTGGAAGATGATAAGTTTTAGGGTAAACTATGTATTTAATTATCTAACTATTCTTGCGGTTCTGTTTTGGTCACTCAACTATTTTTTTTCAAAATCATCACTAAACTTACATTTTTGTTTCGTTTTGGTAAGCCGCTGTTAAAAAATAAACAGAATTGCTGGAATAACAAAATTTATTTGGAGGAAGATGATAATTTTTAGGCTTCCCTTCGGTATGGTATTCCAATTTAAACATTTCTATATAGCTTGGTAATAAATGTGAAGTATCACTTACTTGGTACCATACGCAAATCGCAGTTACTGGAATGAAGATGACAAACACTTGCCATGCTACCTGTGACATCACTGCAATAGTTCCGAGAAGCTGTATTACTGAGAAAGCACACCATCCTAATCTGGTTGCCATTTCCAAGTCCAGAACACTTTGGTCGGTAGATGCCTGAAAATAAAACAACTTAGGACCATAGTATTTGTTATGTAATCACATATCAATATTCTCTGTGCTATTGAGCTCTAACACCATAGATGTTATAAATGGAGACACCAATGAGCATTTCATGCACTTCAGTCTCCGTTGAATCATGTCAAAGTATAATATATCATTTTCTGTTCGAGTGGATCAGGAGCAGCGACTGCTCATATTGCCCACAATGTACACCAGCATAAAAGAAACGTTCACGGGAAAGGAACCTTCACCTGAAGAATGGAGTTCCTCCTAATGATCTATCATGATAAAGGAGGGGATGCGAAGAGGCTTTGCATTCTGTGTCATGAGCTAGGAAGAATAAAGTAATACCTACAAATTTTATATAACTCAGATGAGAGAGAAATTGTATAGCTCAAAATGCAACTCACCCTATTTAAGATTCTTCCAGCTGGGGTTGAATCAAAAAATGCCATTGGAGCACGGAGTAGACTATGCAGCATCTTATTGAAGAGTGTGTGTGCTGTCCAGAGTCCTGTTATTTCCACAAGCATGGCTCGCACCAAGACGCAAAGTGAACTTCCAACAGCAAGTAACGAATAGACAAGCAAAACAAAGTTCATCTTCAATGTAGGTTTTGTTTCACTTGTAGGAGGAGAAGCCCATGCCATCCAGTAGTTACTTATAATCTGTAATACTTGGAATGATGACTGTGCCAAAATTATTACCGGAATCAGGACTCCTCCTTTTAAGGTTGTTAGATAGGACCAGTAAACTTCTTTCCCTATGCTTCCCTTCTCTCTCTCTTCATCTTGCACCAGCTTTCCTCCATTTTCTGTTATCTCTGGAGGAACAGAGCCAGGCTTTTGTTGTAGGACTTGGGCATTAGAAGTAGAATCTGTGTTGGATTCACTATCACATTCCGGATCTATAAATGTTTTATTGGAATTTTCTACAGTCAGAACAGATTGTAGTGCTGTCTTATGTGCACCAACTAAAACTTCAAATCCTATGTTTTGTTTCAGAAGTTCTTCAAATGTGCCTGCTTGTGCAATTCTTCCATTTTGCATCACCTGATGAGAATCGAGATTGATGTCAGGTATAGATCTAGAATCTATTTGCAGAGACCTAGAGACCGGAGTTACAGTTCTCAACATTGTGAAAGTTTTATGCTGACATTGTAATACAGAACAGTTAATCTCTATGGAAGTTTGCTTGACTACCGTTAGAAAATATATGTTTGCATTCCTTGGTTTTTCTCTTTAAAGTGTTCTAAAAGATAAACTAATATATAACTATAAATATGTCTGGTTGGTTATTCTCAAGGGACTATAAATCTTATTTATTTGTTTGTTTGTTTTTTGCTTTTTCTTTTGCTATGAATCGGAAATTTGATTATCTTGCTTACCAGAATAATGTCCGCTACAGGCAAGAACTCAACTTGGTGGGTAACATAAAGTACAGTCTTGTATTTGAGAATTCCCATCAAACAATCCTGCAAAGTGTTGTCAACAATAACAAGTCTTTGGATTAATGTTTCTTAATAGTTGAAAAAGGTAGTCATGATCCAGGATCCTTACCTCAAACAGATGTGTGCCGGTATGAGCATCCACGGCGCTGAATGGATCATCGAGTAGGTATATATCAGCATCCTGGTAGACTGCACGGGCAATTTGTATCCTTTGCTTCTGTCCTCCACTCATATTGATCCCTCTTTCTCCAATCTCCGTCAAATCACCACAAGCAAATAGCTCAAAGTCCTTTGTCAAAGCACATGCTTTCACTGTTCTGTTATATTTGTCATTGTCGAAAGGATTCCCAAATAAAATGTTCTCCCTGATAGTCCCAGTCAAAATCCATGGCGACTGAGGAACATAAGCCTTTGTACCACTAATTTTTACGGTACCCGACAACTTCTCTAGTTCTCCAAGAATGCATGAAAGCAAGCTAGACTTGCCTGACCCCACAGTCCCGCATATTGCTACCTTCATCCCTCTCTTCACTTTTAGGTGCACCCCATCCAGGGTAGGATTGGTTGATTCAGGGTCCCAGGTGAATTTCCCGTTGTCAACTTCAACATCAAAAATTGTTTGATCTTTAGGAACATGCTCGACGGCATCCTGCTCTATTTCCTCTTCCTGGAGGTAGGAAGCTACTCTATCTGCTGAAACTTTAGCTTGTGCTATGACTGAGAGCAGATCAGGTAAATTGAATATAGGGTCTTGTAACATGCGGAAGGTAGCCAGTGCAGACAAGACTCTACCAGCGGTAAGTTGAATCCCCATTAGTATGCATGCACCAAAAGTCACCACAGAGATAAACGTTGGTGATCCCCAAAAGATGAAAGCTGATGTTGCTGCCAATCTCCGTGCTTTCCATAGCCATTTATACTCTACCTTCCGCAATCTCTCTAGCTTGTGGAGGAACTGACTGTCCCATGCTTGAAGCTTTATGGTCTTCATGTTTCTAAGAACTTCTGAAGTAGCTTTCATCCTGTCGTCCTTGGCATCCATGATTTTAGATTGGTATGTTTTCTGGATTCTTGTTATTGGTATGTTGCAAGACATGACTATTAAAGTCGCAGCTAACGCAGCTACAGACCCCAAGCCTAGACTTATGTGCAAAATGTAGATTGCTAATGAAATTTGTACGGGCAGCATCCATATGATATTTAAGTACCAGATAAAGTCTGTGATTCTTTGGATATCTACACTCATATAGTTGATGATCTCTCCACTGGTGTGGCTTTGCCGAGAAAGACTGGACAAAACTAGCCCCTTCTTGTATATGGAAGATATTAGAGCAGCTCTGAGCCGAAGGCCTAACTGGCGGGCCCCAAAGATCCATTGTCTTTGTGCTATTGTCTCAACCATCTTGGCACATAGAAAGGCTAGTGCGAGAAGGAATCCACTTTTTATGTTCCTGTTTTTCTTCTCAGCTAGGAACTTTACAAAGTCATCAATCAGATATGGACCAATATATGATGCTCCTGCACTTATCACTGCGAACATTGCATTCATTGCTGCCTTTTTCCTGATGAACAGAAATATTGCTTTGTAAATAGATGGGTTTGTCGAACCATCTTTCTCTCTAACTTGTTTTAGATTCTGATAAAAGGCTAAGGAATCAAATTCCGCAGAGTCCTTAACATCAATATCAGGGATATCATCCTCTTCTAAGGGTTTCTTGATCCCCACAGAGAACAATGGGTTGAGCCAAGAAAAGGTAATAAGTTCAAGAAGAGTTGCTCTTCCATATGGAGACCCCCTGTTCTGGTTCGAAGGTTTATTAGTTTTTCCACTGAGAAGTGGCTCAGCAATGCTATTAGAATCAGTAAAGACTAAACCCGTCTCCCCTCTGATTGATATAATCAGCAAGACAAATGATGCAAGGAGACCGATAAAATTTGCATAATCTAGCATTTTAAGATGCCCGGGCTTCGCAGTTTTCAAGTAGATATCAAGAACAGTGAACATAATGGACAAAAAGAAGCTGAAAGCCCACCATGCTCTAAGAATCCAAGGAAATCTAATGTGTCCTTTTTTAGGAACCTTGCATACAATAATTGTTGTCACTGCCCATGGAATCACTGGCACAATCTCCGAAGAATAAGATTCAAGTTTGGAGTTGCAACGAGTATCATTCATACTATTTAGCAGCATCAGTAGCTTTAGGGCATGAATGCTCAACATTAAAGTAGAGCAGACTATGGAGGCTCTATAAGATAGGCTGAGTTTTGCAACAATGGGATGGTCTTTTGCAGCTTGATTTGAAATATTCCAGCTGGTTTTGCTCACAATCTTTTGAACAAAATGGAGGAAGATGATTCCAAAGAAGCCAAGTTGCAAAATCATGCCGACTTCCTCCCAGAAACATGGTGATTTTAGCTGCATCCATGTCACCGGGAACTGAAGAAATTTCAAGTCTGTCACGCAATAATAGAAACATATGAGGAGCTATCTATTGCTTAGTGGAATAAAATATGTAGCAGAGAGGAGGGCCGGAGAGGAAAACGAAAGAATTTGGATATTAAGGGATAAATGGGTTTGTGATGGAATCTTAACTGAAGAAAGCATGGTTAATCATAAGCAACTGATAAAGAAATTTTAGTTCCTCATCAGGGTGGAGCACAATACGTGACGAGTGACATATTCTACTGCCCCTAAATAATAATCACTACTGCCTTCATAGAGAAAGACCTTAATTTGGCGATCAAGTTTGATTTAAGAAGGCAAAACAAGAACTGCATTTTGCAAAGGATATAATAACATGAATTAAGTCCAACAAAGCGTACGGATCCATTAGTTATGCACACACCTATATGTAGGTATATCAGAAATACATCAACAGTAAGGAGAAGTTGATAATTAAGAAGCTAGAAACTCAAGTATGAACTCCATGCATGGTGTAATGTGGCGGTCAATTATTGATGTGCTTAATTGATGAGTAATTAAGGGCCGGCAATGATTAGTGGATGCAAACCGAGACTAGTTTTGATCATTTCTGTTGTAGTGCATGCATTTGTTATGCAGCACCGTGTAATTACGGTACGAGTAAGTAGTAGTGAAGGGAAAAAAATTAATAAAGTGATTAATCAGACTCACTGGTTGTTGAAATGAATGAAGTGGAAACATCTTGGTCTTGCAAACCCATGCTACGTACATAGCCTTCCTTCCTCTGCAGCTTAAAAAGTTAATTAAAGCGTCAGCTTAATTATTTTGTTCAGAGAAATGAATTATATGGTGTGATGAGAGGGACTTACACTATGTATACAGAAGACGGAAGGAGCAAGCTGAGTATGTGCATTTATATATGACCAAGGGTTGATGATGATGATATGGTTTTGAGGGTGCGGACAAACAAGTTGGAGAAAAATAGGGAAAGATCATTAATTTAAAATAGAAAACCTGTCCAGAAGTAGACAAGAGCAAATTTTGACACGTAAATGTAATAATCAAGTAGAGACTAGAATAAAAGAGCCTGGGGATTTCACGCGAGTGATAGTGATTTGGGGGGTGGGGTTTGTCGGACCAACTCAGGCTGCAGTTTAGTGGTGATTTTATTATATTCCATTTCGCAGGAAAAGAAAGGGAAAGCATGTGAGATGTGACTGAAAGAAAAGAAAGCACTTGACAAATCACAATCAAATCAGCCACAACCCTACTGTCTGTCTAAGAAAAATAGATGGGAAATGTTAAAATTCGGAAACCATATTAGTGGGAGAAGAAAAACTTTATTCCCAAGTATGAAATGATGATGAATATCCAACCGATCAGCTGATCCAGGCCAATTGATGATTACCTTCTGCTGTGAATCATGATGAACTGTTCGTACATTCAATCCATCCATCTAGGATCTACTTATTTTGTATTCAGAACTACATGGCCTGGGCGTAGCAGTCTAGCAGATTATAGATATTATTGTATTGGGATTCACTTTCACAAATAACCTTGATTGCTTCAAATTATTATTATCATCATTTTTTAAGCATAAATGTTTGTGATATAATCAATGAAATTTGCTTCAATAATTAAAAAAATTAAGAAATGTAAAAAACTATAATAGGCTACTTTTTCACGAACAAATATGAAGTTGTCCAATAATTGTGGGGTTATGGTGGATAGTTCTATCGTACGATAACCTTAATATACGGTTAATGAAATATTCTATCAGAAATGTTAATATTTTTTTATATTTTCGGTAAAGTATTATCTAAAATATTATTTTTTTTACCGAAAATATTAATTTTTCTACCTAATTTCTAATAAAAAAATATTTTAGGTAGCGTCCCATATTAACTTTTCGAGTAGAAAAAAAATAATGTTTTAGGTTGAATTTTACCGGAAATGTTTTAGGTATCACCCAATTAACATTTTCAGTATAAATAATAATGTTTTAAATAGCGTTTTACAAAAAAAAATTAAAATAATAATAATATTTTCGATAATATATTTTTTTAATCTTATATTAAAATTGGTGTATCTCGAATTATGGTACACCGAGTATAATGATACTTTTAGCCTTGGGAGTGACAATTAAATCATATTTGTAATGATGTGATGTGTAGCAGATACCACATGGTATACTGCCGATGCATTCGATGTGAAATTCAATTAAGAAAAAAAGTGCTGCTCTCTACCACTAGTAGGTAAAGACCAAAGACAAGAGCGAGGACAAAAGGCCTCCCCCCAATTTAATTAATAGTCCTTGTAATCATTCAAAGGTATCAACGTTTCTTAATTAATAGTCCTTGTAATCATTCAAAGCCATCTCCTCCATTCATTGCTGCTGTGACTATGACTAATCATCTTTTAAATATAAATCCAGTGAAGTCGGGTTTTCCTTCTTGCTTATTCACTTCCCTAATACGAATAATATTACGTAATTGTACCTATATTCTATATAATTAGGTAGACTTCAAAAGGTTCACTGTATCTCGTACCTATCAAAATTGCGACATATTTAAATCTTTCATTATTGAAGATTATACAAATACAATAAGAGAGAGAGATAATGAATTTTGAATTATATTTAAATAAACTCATTATTAATAAATTATTCATTTTGGTTGTTGTTTACTATAATTTAATGATGGCTCATATACTAAAAATGAGGTACTAAACATTATCCTACTAATCCATTATTTAAACGTATATAGATAGTAGTTTGTGGCAGGCGATTGGCAATCGACAAATCTGAATTTTGTCTCTTGGAGAAATATAATCGGAACAAGATTTCTTATTCAAGACAGTCATTATGTTTTCTCTGTCATTTGAAAATGATGGGCAGTGGCATCTCTTCCTTGAAAATGGTGTTTCTTTTGATTAAAAGAAGAAGATGAAGAAGAAGAAACCAAAATGATGCTTCCAGCTGTGTGAAATAGTATGTTTCTGAAACTATTCAGCACCGTTTTATCATTGTTTTGGCATTTTCATTTTGGACATGTCTCCTTTAATATCAATATTATCTATTCTGTATTTAGCTACTTTTCAATCATCATATTTAGGGGTGTTAAAAAAAATCCGAAACAGTTAACTGTAACCGTTAATCGGTGTGATAATTATATTTAACAGGTTAATTAATCGAACTGTTAATATTAAATGGTTTCAGTTAACCGAACCACTAAAAATGATGGCTAACGATTAAGGTTACGATTACAAGTTTTTTTGTTAACCGTTAAGAAATTAAATTTCTGATTTATTATATTTTTATACAAATAACTTAATATAGTTTTCTATTATTTATAATTTATATATATTTAATAAAATTTGTATACAAATAATTTAGTATACATATATATATATATATCATTTTTAATTTTTATTTCTTTGAAAATATAGAAATATTATTACACTAATATAATTATGTGTTTATTATTAGGTACTAAGATATTTAAAGATATACATAATTACACTGATGTAAGTGTGCGTTAAGTGTTACATTTTTTTATTTTATTTACTTACATCGATGTAAGTTTTATGAAAAAAATTGATAAATAATTGTAATAAGTTAACCATAAGTTAACTTGTAACTGAACCGTTAATAATGATTAACCGTTAGTGGTTAACCGTTTCTTAACGATTAAGTTACGGTTAGAAAAATTTCATAACCATTATAACGGTTAACCGATCACTTAGTTTAAACGGTATAATTAACCGTACATGAATAGCCCTAATCATTTTCACCGCAATATATACATTTAGCTGCTAAAATTACTATTGTCTCAATTCTGATATCTTTTTCACTCTCAACAAGTACATTATAAAGATAATCATTATTAGAATATAAAATATTAGTTGTTGATTTTGGAATTATGCATAGCGATGAGTAGGGATAGTCATTTGATTCAAATTTGACGGTTTCAAGTCAATTCTATATGATTAAATTTATTTTTCTTTCAAAATTGGAGTTTGGATTGAATTTTTGAAGTATAAGTCGGGATAAATTCGGGTTTAAGATGAAAATTTGACCTAGTTCGAGATAATATTATATTTATCCATTATATATTTAGGAGATAATTACAATAATATCATATCTATATTTTTTTTTCAATTATATTTCTATTTTATATAATAAAATTAATATATATTTGTGTCCGATTGAGTTAAATATAAATTTTATCTCAAAAATTAAATCAAATTTTGAATCGAATTAAATTATCTTAAAACCTGAATCAAATATAAATAAAAAGACAAATTATCTTAAAACAATTATCTCAAGCTTCTTTATACAACATCACAATTTTCCCGAAACCCCTTTGTTGAGACTAAAATAATGTAATTTTAATTATTAAATTAGAACAAAGTTATAAATAACTAAATGAGTAAAAGAAATTTCATAAATTATTCATATTAATCTTACCTTTTGTGAATTTACTCCAATTTACTTGTAGAAAATTGATACAATATTTATTTGTCTTTTGTACATGTAACACTTTTTGATAAGTAAATATACATGCAAGTATATGTTGCTCTGATTTCATTTTTGATAAGTACATGTTAGTTACTTTCTATTACATTGGTTTTCCTATGAGCAAGCCTCCTGTTGTGTTTTAACATATGATCAAGATTATTATAGTCATTGGATACCGATGAGAAGGATAATTGTCGCCTTGCTTGCCACAAACTAGAACAAGCAGGAACCCATAGTCTTGATTACACAATACTAATGACTATCTCACTAAAATCAAGTTGCTTCTGGCATTTCATACTTCATACAAGTAGGTATTTTCACCAACAAAAGAATACCAACACGAAACCACAATAATGGCACCTCGGAATTCCATGCCTATCAATTATCTAGCACTAAAAACAGGTTCTGCATCAATTCTTGGTTGAGATTTTCGAGTGTACTTCAGAAGCAAAGCTTCCGATGAAAGCCCGGGTACATTTAGATCCCTGGGAAAAAAAAAGCTTCTTAGGATATTTCTAGGACAGGGACAGAGAAAAAAGATATTAATATATGATACAAGTTTGAAAATGAAAAATTGCACCTGATGTAGGGCTCTAAATCTTTCCATTCCCATTTTGATCGCTCTTTAAAAAGGATGGAAAAACGTTCTGCAGGAGTTGAGGGCAACGAGGAAACACTCAGGGCATGAACCCATGTCTCTACACCAAGCTTCTCAGTCAACACTTCGCCTTCCAACATATCAAAACTCGGCTGCATCTCTTCTGGAATCATCCGCAACCACTCTTCCATGAAACTCTCAAACTTCCTCTTTCCTTCTCTTAAGATCCTCCTTGCAAAATGCACACATACTCTTCTTGCATCCAGCATCCAGACACCTCCATCCATGGTCTCCTCCACCCTACTGCCATAGACATTCAAACAATGGTATGCAAGTTTACACGGAAACCCATCTGATTCCAGCACACTCACAACTTTTTCTTCAATAAGAGCGTTCAGTGACCAGTCATTCAACACAGAATTGTGCAAAAGCATCCTAAGAATCACATCCATATATTTTTCATCCACAATTCTCCAATACCCATCAATCTCCACAGCTGAAAGAGCCTGCAATCCAGTCTTCAATTCATCGTCACTAGCCTGAACCTCGTTTATGAGATCATCCCATTTATGCAATCTTTTCCTGCTTCTTTCCGTAAATTCCAAATCCTCCATTGCCAATGCCTCATCAGAGCCATAAAGATTCTCAGAGAGAATCAATTTGAGCTTATCAATTCTGGGAGCAACCTCAACAAGCTCCATGTTTCCAGGTGCAACTTTGATGATTGATGCAGAAACTTTTTGCTTGTAATTTTCCCCATCACAATCTTGCTGATTTTCATGCAATGTTGAATAATCCGCAGGTGGTACAAGGAACACGGAGTTTGAGGTTCCAACAAACTTAACTGAGTAAGTTTTTGACTTGGTGCAAAGAACTGCATCTTCATCAGGCTGTCCTCTCAAGGTTACCCTAGAAGAGATGGTCAAAGAAAACGGATAAAATTGGATTCTTCCGAATATTACATAAGAAAGTCTACGTGCTGAACTAAAATTACATCTTACCTTTGGTACAGGACATCAGGAAGAAATTTCTCATCAAGCTCAAGTAGAATCAAATCATCATGAGGACCAAAGTGCGGATGATATTGAATGGTAACTGAGGAGCTGGGCTGGAGATTTAGCAACACTTCAGCCCCCTTGCAACATGACTGAGGTTGTTCCATCATGCACACCGAGCAATTGAGAAGAACCAAAAGTTGGAACTCCAGCTCCACAATCAATTTTTTTATCAAGGGAAAAATAAACTACAGCAGCTCAAGGATAACTTGCGATATCATCAAAAAAAAATATAGGGTGTGCAAAAAGGAGTAACTCTGCTACCATCTGCATTCAACGATACAAAGCAGTATTCACAATCCAAACCCATGACAGAACATTTGAAGGCTTCAACTAGAGAATCCAAGATAAGCAAGGATAGTGATATTAACGAGTACAAATATATTATAGAGGGAAAAAAGAATAATTGTATATTCGCATGTTACGGATGCCACCAAACAATCTAATTCCAGAACAAAATTTCTACGCAACAACATCCCGTATTGATAGATGATAAAAGTACATTGCCAAAACAATTTCCACATCCACGACGTGAAACATGACGGTTAAAAGATCAGGTCAAGTGCAGAGAAATTATTTTATTTTTTTTAAATAGCGCATTTCAGAGGCCAACCATCACCTAAAAGCAACTCGATGGTTCAGCTAGTATGAAGATAAATCAGTTGGTTTATGTCAGATAAAAATTGGAACCCCGAACTAAGTGGGTTTCCAATTTCCAAATCATTGACATTCGCGTTTACCTTTCTCTAATTAAAGAAGAAGAAGAAGAAGAATCAGAAGCCATAAACTTACCCGTTGAAGCAATACGAAAATCCGTGAGAGAGGAAGAAAAACCCGAACCTCTAGCTCCAAGGTAAATTAAGTTACAACTAGTTAGGGTTTTCGGAATTTTGTTGTGGTCGTGATGTCCTGGAGGTTAGAGTGGACGAAAATGGGCCGATAATGGTCTGAACCCAGGTGGTTGGGTATGGCCTATGGACAATCATATATCAACCCTAAATAAAACTTAGGGTAAAATTCCTTTTAGGTCACTAAACTATGGGTAAGATTATACTGGAACCACCGAATTCCAACTTAGTGTTAAAGCCATCAATAGCAGATGCTATTAGTGTAAGTGAAGCCCTTCTTGTAACTGTAGAAATTGAGGCTGCAACAATCACATGATTGGTTTAGATGACAAGGCTGTTGGCCTATGATGGTTTAGCCTGGATGTCAATTGCTTTCTGCCATTGTTAATGATGAACAAAAACAAACTAATAAATTTTACTGTCTTATGTACATTCGTCAAAACACAGTTTGGAATGAAATGGGATTGGATTGACATCATTTGCAACAAGTTAGATGCAGCAGCAACAGGTAGCCAATGTTTCTCTGTTAAATTCAGTATTTATTTTACTTGAATTTTCTGCACAGAACATTAGAAATCTGAAATATTTTTTTCCCATCCGGATTTAAAACAGATGTTCCATTGCATTTGAATTAGTAATTGGACTTAGTAGAGAAAATAATGAGCCGCTATCTGGCAAATTCAGTATTTACATCCCCTTGTCAGGGCACTGATTTATGTCCAGTGCCTCTTACAACTCTAGTCAACAATTAAAATATGATATGGTTGGCCTTTTTGTCTGAAAAAATTAAAGTTGTACTAGTCTTAATCCTCCTCATTGTGCTCACGATATTTGAGAGGCACCGGTAGCCTGAATTTGCAGCACATTTGCCTGCATGCTGCAGAGCTTTCTTTTCCCTCCCGACTTTTAGATGATACAAAATTTATAATAAGATGATGTTATCATGAGTAGGCTACTGGTTTTTGAAAAATTCTTTGGCCCGGTGCAAGTATTGCCAAGGGGTCGTATGTGGATTTTCTCTGGATGAAAGCTTCCCAATACACACCAAAATGGGATTTCCATTCCTCTTGTGTAGAATAGTGAGGCAGATATTGCTTTACCCCAAGGCCAGCTATCTCGCAGAAGTCTAAAATTCTTTGGTTCCGAATTAAGATCTGCTCTAACCCATCACTTCCTGTTGAAGAAGGTACTGCAGAAGATAGGAATGCCACTAAATAGAAAACATCTTCTTCTGGTGTAACAACAGATGTTCTATTGTCCCATCTGCAATCAAGATTAACATTCTATCAATCAATGGAACTCCTGAAATTAACATATGACAATTGTTTCTTGTAAACTTTTTACTTTGATTTGTTAAGCGGGTAGATGAGGATGGGGCCACTGCTTGTATCCGTATGTATATTGCCAAAAACTTGCTGAGCAAAGCTGTGGATTTTACTTCTGGGGATGAGGAGATTGAGCCATGGATGTGGAACGTCCCACAAGCCTCTTGACCGGAGTTTGATCTCCGAAATGTGAACTCTGTCTAAAAACTCTATGTATGGAACTTCTGATAAGAAAAGGGTGGATGGAATATGGTTTAACTGAGATAATGAGCTCTTTATTTCCTGCAGTATACAAGATCCCTTCTTATCAGTTTATTTTGTTTCTACTAATAATTTAAAAGTTTGTAACTGATATATGGTTGGAAGATTGGCTGACCTGATTTACTAGTGCCATTTGTTCAGGGTTAAAGTACTTTGCCAATTCGAGACAGAAGAGAGTCCTTCCATCTGACTTGAATTGGCTGGCTTGAACTGGATCTTGTGGGCTGAATGATGATCTCCAGTTATTCAAGAGACCGGTCCTGTTTATTATCACAAATCCTTCGATATAGTCAAATGCGCTTTCTCCAGATATTAACTTCTCTTGGTCCCTAGCAAATGTGGCAAAATCTGTGTACAGCACCCTAATCCATTTGACCTGTTCAACAAAGATAATAGTCAACTAACTAGGACAATTTGGAAATTGTCTTCTAGCTCAATAATTGCCATTTTGCTTTTTACCATTTCAGCTGCTGGTTCCAGCGATATTCTTGCCCGTGTTATGATGCCAAACTGACCCAGTCCTCCAAGAACGCTGTAAAACAAATCGCTGTTCTGCTTCTCTGAGCAATTCACCACTTCCCCTTTCCCTGCATTCAAGTACAAACATTGGTAAAAAAAAGTACACACAATCTGAGAAACTAATTGGATGATGTTATAAACATTGAATTTATAGATGCTAGTCTATACTGATACTGAACCTAACCTGTAACAACTTCCAGCTGGTAAACATTACTGATCTGAGGTCCATGCCGAAATGCCTGTCCACTGATCCCGGCATTGGACAGAGTACCGCCGACCGTTAAATGTAGGTAGTCTGTCCAAGATTTTGGTGCTAACCCATGTTTGAGGCTTTCACGCAGGATATTTATCCATAGCTCACCACCCGACACATCCACATAGGGGAAGTTTCCAGTGTGAACCTTCATTTGTGGGCCTTGGAGTGATTCCATATTGATCACTACTCCCCGATGGGCTTGCGCCTGCCCCTGGAGCGAGTGGCCATGCCCTCTAGCTGCTACTCTGAGTTCTGAAACACCACCCATCTGCCAAATATGCTTCACTGTGGTGGCAATATCCGAAACCGACTTGGGGTGTAGAACTGCCAAAGGGAGGAAACTATATCGATTGCCAAAATCTTTAGCTGCATGCTCGACTTGCTCGAAGTTGAAATGTCCATGAATGGGAAGTGTTTTTAGTGAAGAAGGAATGCCGGAAAAGCAGAGGTTGATTTTAATGGTTACGCAGCTGAGGAATAAGACGATGAAGAAAAGCATGTTGTTTTGGGTGGGAAAGCTAACTAGTGTATATCTCATATTTTTTTTTGGGAGGGGATCGGAGGCTTTGAGTGTCCTCTCCTATTGGAGCAAAAGGAAAGGGGATAGGAGAGCCAAGGAAGTGAAGGAGTGAGGGTTGAATTTAAAGGGAGAGATTTGGGTGGCTGAGTCAACCTATGTTCAGTTGTCAATACTTTGAAGAATCCGTATCAAGACTGCCTTCTTGGGCTGGGGTCTTTTGTTTGTAAGAGAAGCCATCATATTGAATAGGACCATAAATAAAGATTTCCACAAATCTTTTGCACTTTTTTTCCAACAGTTGGAACCACAATCCTAGCTTTATCGCCAAAGACAAATAAGTTGAGATTAACTGTATGTTTAAGAATGATATTCTTTTTTTTCTTTTCCCACTTTTACTTGGCTCTGCCTCTTGTGTCAGTAGGGTATCCCCGTGCCATGCCATGTATGATCTGATGCATACTCTCCTCGAATCCGTCAATGTCGGCATGTAGACATCACGTATCTAATTTCAGATACGGATGAGAGATGGCGGAGAGGGGCAGCAAGATGCAAGGGGTCCCAGGGACACGTGATACTCCGAATGCTTTTATGTGCTTTATGGTTGAAGGTGTATGATTGGTGAGGTTGGGACCCCTTTGGACTGAGGTTGAGCTACGCAATGTATGTATTCTAACCCACCAACTCCACAACTTCTCTGGTTTATATGATTTTTTAATGCGATTAGATTTCATTACACTGCTCAGTACCCCAATTATTGCTTCTCCCTTCTTTTCTCTAAGCTACGTGTATAATAACATACATATGATGGTGTAGGAATCGACTGTTTTCTTTCGAATATAATACTAACCATTTATCCAAAGCATACATATGATGGAGAATGATATCAGTTTTCTGTCCCGTTAATTTTAATGATATCAGTTTTATTTCCCAATAAACCAACTGCCTGAATGCAACAGAAGACAAGCCAGTTTGGGAGTTGTATATTGATGAAACAGCCTTTCTCATTACAAAGAGTGACGAAACAGCAGCCTATCTGTAGATCCTAGGGAGAAATAACTAGGGATCTCTGTCACCTTGCTAAGGCCTTAGACTCTCTCTCTCCCTGAAGTCTCAACTTTCTAAAATGCATGCGAGATTCTGCATATCCATCACATTCCTAAATAATTTGTCACTTCAGAGCAGCATATATATAAAATGAAAGACTAGTTTACTTAGGAAACTTATAAGCCTATCATTGATCAAGCTCGCTAGAACTTTGTAGATAGACAGTCCAAACTTGTTTTTCCTCCTATTCTGAGATTATTTGGCCCTCAAAGTTCCAGTTTGACGAGGAAAATTTTCCAATGTCGTGTGGATTATCCTTTCTATTACTAGAAGTTGCATTAGGTAAAAGAAAACTTAGAATCTCACTTAAAAAAAAGTTGAAAACGACCTAATCGATATGCCAAAAAAGAAGAAGACCTAAACAACAAAAGTGATGATTAACAAGGGTTAAAAGCCAGAAATTTGCTCTTTCTGACGTATCACATCCTAATTAAAAGTACATTGCCATGAATTCAACAACTGTCCGAAGACTTACAAGTTTAGGACTTGATTCAACAACTCTCTTATCCTCTAATTATATACTATGATCTGTGGTGTGAAAGTGTGAACTAGATACAAGCAATAACCCTAACTTTATCTAATCTCTAATCGCCAATATACACATACGAGGAACAAAACCTAACAATATTGAATTATAATATATATATATATATATACATGCATATGTTTTCTAGAAAGAGATAAGTTGTAATTTTTAATTCCACCCCTTTACTTTATAAAAATTAAGAAATTAGTCACTCTACTTTTACTTTATCAGAATATGATCTTTTATTTTAAACTATATTTCTCCAGTTTGGTAAAAATGTCAACTGTTGATATTTTCTCTGATTGTTGTACATAAATTGTTGTTTTTACTAATTGCTTACATCCAAATTATTGAAATGTTAATTTCTATAGCAACAATTTCATGAAAAGATTTAACATGTTATCCAATTAATTGTCAAATTTTTAAAAATAAAATATTAAAATAGAGGGACTAACTTGTCAGCTCTTGTAGAATAGAGGGGTGAAATTCAAAATCAAACCAAAGGGGTATAAACCCTAACTAGTATTTAGAAGTATGTTGTTGTACGTGGGCTCTTGCGCGTCAGATGTGGAATGCAAATGGTGAAAGAAAATTGAAGTTTAATGAAAGCCTGAATATTGATCGTGGGATCAGGCGACTGCGAGGGTGGCTCCCACCCAATTGTCACCCTACCCTCAACTACACGATCACAGCCACGTCAGATTTCTCTCGACCATTCCATTCGCCAACGATATTGAGGACTGTCGAATGACATTTCGACAAGTAGTGGTGGCGGTGCCATTAGGGCTGACGCGGCGGCTGAGATTGCCACGTAGTATTTGTTGTCCCTGTCCTCACTCCTCATACTCACATGACTTTGGGTGGGACTAAAGAATGCAGTTAAATTAGAGTTGGTAGGGCCGAAATTCCATTTAGGATCCTCAAACCCTATATGTGATGAATAAATAATTATGCTTATCATGTTTCCCATCCCACTTTTTATTCCACTTTAATCAATGTCTCCTTGTCTCTTGCTATCTGATTCCCATCCCTAAGGCTGAGGTTAAAATTTAAAGTTATAATATAATATATATATTCCTACATTCATGCTTGTCGTGATTGCCTACCTACCTACCTATACTTGACCATAATTTTGTTAATGTAATCCTCAACTTATTATGACCCATCCTCATTAATTAATCTCATAATCAATATCGATCCAAGAACCAAAATTTTGCCTTCTTTCATACTGTCAAGTGCTGGACCAGGACAAAGAATGAGTGATCCCAGTGGAGGGCCATTGAAGAGCATGCAGGATATAAACGGGTAAAGTTTAATTGGATTTTTCCTGCTCCAGAATTGTGTCTATATGTTTTGTCTGCATATATATATAGCCAGTTGGCTCATTGCTCTTACTGTTGTATATGCATTGTTTATGTTGTTTTCCATACATACATGACAAATCTGCAGTTGCCAGAATTCTCGCATGCAAGGCCAGATTCTGTGTTTGATTTGGTTTACCCCATCAATTAATGAAGAAAACAAAAAAGATTGATCTGTAAAACACGGTCTTGAAGAATTTGATCATATTACAACTTTTACTATTAGTTTGATCAACACTTTCTCTCCAAATTAAGGGAAAAGTGCATTTTGAGCAATTTTTTTAAAGTGGGGAGGCCATGAACTGTCCAGCATCAGCAAACATATACAGCTAGCGACCTGATTAGCATATCTTGATATATTTGCAGATGAACCTTTTTATTTATATATTCATCAGTATCAGTAAGCAATGATTTAAATGATGGAATTTGTGGTTGGGTTCAAGTATTTTATATTTTGCTCTTTTGTCCTTTTTTCTTTCTATTCAGTCAATGTTAATATATTGCAGCATTGATCATTGTAAAGCGCCCACATTATTTCCTTTGTCCTTCCGATAGCAACCGTGTTCACACTGAAGGATGTTATAATAACTAGTCCAGGATCCACCCAATTAGTGATGAAATCAATGTATTGCGTTAGGTAGCTATGTTGTTGTGCTCAAATTAATTAATTTTCATCTTGCATATCGGTGTAGTGTATATGCGCCGGATGAAAAAGAAATTGCTGCTGCTTTTGGCGGATCCATCTGCATGCTATGGTATCATGCATATACAAATCCAAACATGGAAGCACCAAGGGGTGCGGCCCTACCTCTTGAAATTTTCAAATCTACATAAAATTGAAGTATTTTATCTATATTTTCTATTGATGATATAATTTTGTATTCCTTATAATTTTATAATTTTACAACCTCTAAATTTTTAATATAACTTTTTAAGTTCGTATCCCTAAAATAAAATCCTACATCCAATCCAAAGAAAATAAGTTGCACCACTATCAACCCATCACATAATGCTGTTACTTCATTAAGGTCTCTCTCTCTCTACACTATTTTATGCCATGTTTAGCTCAGTTTGACTCAAACAGGAAGGGGAACAAAACAATGATTAGAGACATAATTCGGGATTATGCATTTTTGTCGCTTAAGTTAGTTTGCTAAACATGTCACATGCAGCTGCAAAAATCTCTGGCTCTCACTGACTTTCAAAATTGGTCATTTATTTATAGTTTAATTAATTGAGGTTTGGTGGTATGAAAGTTTGACTAGCTAGCTAGTTGTTCCTTAAGCTTAGATGAAGTCGTCGAATATGATTTTTTGGGGCTAAATATCTTAGCAGGTTTAAGAGTAAATTAGTGTTTTTTAATCGTAAAAGCGAATAATTTAGTTTTGAATTTACATAGTAAAATTGTAAAAGGTTATAAGACTGTAAGCAGTAGTTTATTTTTAAAAAACAAAACATGTTGAAAAGCCTTTTGCATGTCATTTTCTAGGACCCAAAAGGACAAAAGTCATATTTACTTGAGAAGGATCCCCACAAGTTTGAAATTGGAAATTGTGATCTGAAACAACTTGTAGGAGTAGGAGTAGAAGTATTCGGGATGAAAGAAATTTGGTTGGAAAAGGAAATCCATGAACATCCAAAGGAAGTTGAGTGCTACAAATAATCCATGGCTTGGTGGTGGACATTTTCGTTTTCATGATAGCAACTACGTAGTTTGAAAATTGTTCTTAAATTTTGTAGCCGCACCGTGGATTATTACACTTTGTAGCTTTCTCAGCCGGGTGAATCAAATTAGTCATATCCAAAACTTTGACTGCCACTGCCATTGCCTAAACACAATTCCTTGTTTGTTTCTTATTGAAAACCAACTTTGTTTTCTTTGCCTGTTAGCCTCATCAAAGGCCCATTTTCATCATCTTCTTCCTTTTGCTTTATTGGTCTTGGTTGTAATTGTAACCCTATGCCATGGGCCCTTTTACATTCTTGGTAATGGTATATTTACTTCCAAGGAATTGGGCCCGTTCCAAAATTTGTATCTGTACCTCGAATTTAGAACAAGAATAAATGGATCACTTGATGGCAGGAAATTCCAGTTAACTCATCAAACATGGTTCAGCTTAACTAATGGATAAAGTGTTAAACGTTTGCCCTCGGATGTGGTTTGCAACTCAATCTTTCAGCAACGGAAGGGCTCAATAATGCATTTGGTGAAGCAACAAAGATAGGACATTTTATTTTCATGGAACAATGAAATTAGGCTAGTCTCATTCATTATGCTTGATTCATTCAATTGTTTAAGTACCAAGTAATTCCAAACCACCACAATAACAAACGCTCGTTACCAGGGACCTAAATATCACAATGGTTGGATCATCTGAATGTGCTCTTTTGCACCCAATTAGGCATTGAACACTCAGAGCTAAAGCTAACATCTTTTAAGGTTTGCTTTGAACTTAAACCCTTTAGAGTTGGAGATCTCTGCTGATAAGTGCTAGGCCTGCTTGTAAATGAAGATAAAATAGACAGCTTGTTCTTATATGGCGAGTAGCTTTCAGATTCAGTATCACAAGTTTCTGGTCTTAGCTTCGGTGAGCTCATTGATCTTACTTTTGCCTTAGCAGATTGTGTAGCAGCCATGTAAGTTGGAACTACAGGAGAGGTAACAAAAGAGCTGCCTTCTCCCAGAGAACTCTGCTTTCCATGAAATGATCGTCGCCGAATTGGTACAGGAGAATCCGATCCTTCCGCATCACAATGATACCGTCTCTGAAAAGTCTTGAGCCCTAATTGTTTACATCTGCTTTCTCCAGTAGGCTTGCTGTTTGAAGTCCAAACCGAGTCCAAATCTTCGATTCTGACTTCTTTGCTTTTAGTATCCGCCCATTGGTCTGTCCAGTACATCAATCCTCCATTACCATTCTTCTGTTTTGTTTCTGTTGAATTCTACATTGAAGTTTTCTAACTCCTTAGAACAAAGCACCAGCCACTAGATAAGTAAAATATGAAGACAGATAGTTCGAGCTAAGGATGATTACCCGATCGTTTATCACTTGTCTTTTAATTGCACCTTCTTTCTTAGTTAAACTGATTGCATCTGTTTCTTTCTTTGTCAAAATGCTATCATCACATCTTCTTTGACCGTTGGTGTCCACCTGTAAGTTTTTGAGCATTTTAACCAGTAATTAGATGCATCTCTAGTTTCACCAACGAAGAGAACTGAAGGATCATTATAAGACATCACATGACTGTTGAGTTGTCAACTTTGTGTTGTCTGGAGTGATAATAGAGACACCTACCTTAATAATCTTATCTTTCAATGTCAGCAACTGTCTGTTCTCATCCTCTTGCCAAGCGCCTTCAACCATTTGGAATCTCCTTGCACAAACCTGAGACTGAATGTTTACAATTGATTGCAAGCATTTTAGAGCAGTCAATGCTTGTCGTCTCACAACCCAGCCTCGGATGATTGCTTGAAGCCTCACTATCCCCTTCAGTGCCAGCAAGGCTTTTCTTGCCTACAAGTTTCTCCACAACAACTTTAAACTCTTTTGCCAGCCAAATTCATTAAAAAAATGACAGATCACCAACAAACAAGCAGCGAAGAGAATGAATTCAGCAGTGATGAAACAGGACAACTTACAAGGTAGCCCCGAAAGGCAGCCTGGATTTTTGTGGCAGCGAGTAAGTGCAACTTCCTATCAAGCTCCCTAGATGAGGTAGAATCAGGTGGAACACCCAAGGGTTTTTCTTCTCTTTCTCCTTCACTTGCATATTCATGGTTAGTTTGAAGGTTGCCACTATCATTGAGACGAACAACCTCGGCCGCAGCCTGAGCAGCTGCAATTGCTGCTTCGGCAGCAGCAACTGTGGCAATTGCGACAGCTAAAGCATGTCTGTTCCGCTCTTCCTCTGTTTCACATTTTGTGCCATCTCTTGGTGGGGATGGAGTTTTAAGGGATGGCAGCCTTTGATCCTAAACCTTCCAAACATCCATTTCCTTCTTTTCTCCTTTCAAGAGATAGACGACATTCATGACAACCATTCGTTCTTACAAGAAAAAAGAAAAAGAAAAAAAAGTAACTTTGGGACATGGGTATAATGCAAAGTTACCTTTTGAGCATTTGCAATTGTCTCAAAGAGAAAAAACCTCTTCACTATATTGAACCACCTCTTCCTCTTCGCCATTAAAAAACTATCACTTGAGGTTCAGCAATTCTGAATCTTTACATTTCTGCATCCTAAAGCAGGAAGTAGCATATGTAAATAATGATTGGTAACTTTGCTAAAAGGTTAAGAATACTATACTGTAGTGCTAAATTCCATATGGATTCTGTACAAAAGGTGCACTGAATACTAACGCATTTTGGGAGAATCAATCAGGAAACACCGCCTCAAAAAGCTTGGTCCTTGGGAACTTGGATATCTGAGACTGAGATACGACTGCCGTGAATCTAGATAACCGTTCTTTATTTATACACCCAATACCAATAAAATTTCTTTCATTTGATAGTTTTCCTTGAAACTCTGAAAAGTTGATTAAATTCAGCAGGTGGTGCTAATTTTCCATCTTTTTCATGATGGGTTTCATATGTTCAAAGTTGTGGGGCTTTAAAAAACCAGAGCATGATAAAAAATATTAAAAAGGAGGGGCTGACCTTCATTGTATTTCATGAAGAGAAGCTCCTCAATGAATTATGAGAAAGTGTCATGGGCCTTTTCTTCCTTTTCCATCCCTCTAATTTCTCTAATGCCTGATGGGAACAAAGATCGCTTAACTCTCCTTGAGTTAATCCTTGGGGAGAAACGTTACCATGCAATTAATTAATCTTCAGTTTTTTTGTAGTAGATACAAAGAATTGGACAAAGAGGGTAACTAGGATTTCTAATTCCAAGGAAGTTTGAGGCCAGAAGCCGTGGGGGGGGGGGACCAAGCGTGCTATTGGCTCACCAAATTTTCGAGGCATTTAAGTTTGGATATCAGTTATTTTTCCCATTCTAGTTGATAAAGGCTATTACGCGCTAGTTTGAAATTATTGTAGTAAAAGAGAAAAGACTAAATTGTAGCTTCATGGTAGAGTTCAAACCATATCCAAGTAGCCTGCCTTGAAATTAAGTTATGAAACTGCCGACAGATGGACTGTCGTGCCTTGATCTTAAGGAGAATTGACATACATACATTATAGAGACTGAGGGGAAGGGGATGAGGGAGAGATTGTTATTGGTTATTTTACATGTATAAGGCAGGGAAAATTGAACAGTTATTAGTGTCATCTATCATCTAGTAAGAATGTTGAAGGAGAATGATTTCTCTTTGGTTTTCAGAAAAAAAGAATCAGAGCCTCAAAGACTGTTTGCTAATTAGTGCCTGGGCATCTTTTACTTTGAAGATATATATGATATTCAAAGCACGAAGCACATGTAAGTTGAGGCTTTACTCTACTCATGCTTCACCCAAATTATGCATTTCAACTCACTCATTTCCTTTATGTAAAAGGACAATAAATCAACAAATAAAGTTGAAAACTACATTACCTTTTCCTTTTACTTTTATTTGAGGGTAAAACTGATTGAATGCACATGATGACAGTCCCCTCCCCTCCCCAAAAGAAAGGTTTTTCAATCATCTCCATCCATCTAACTCATAACTTGGGAAATAAGCAAACAAAAGCATTCGGTGACATTTAATATTTTCCTTTTACATGCAAAATCAAAAATGGAAAAAGGAAAACAGCCCGATTCACAATAAGCCCAACTCATCCAAGAAACTAAAACTTAGTAGCCGTTGATGGAACCTTTGGCCCAAAACAGCAATTAGGTCCAAGAAACACCCCAAATATCTCTAATCTTCTTCAAGCTTCTGCTTCATCTTCGCGGAATTTTATTTATTTATTTATCACGCCTCCCCAACTCGCAGATAGCAGCGTTTAGCTAAAATTGGGAGCTTACATTTCGTGGCTATGGTGAGTGCTCAAGTTCAAATGGGCTTGTTTAGCTTTGAAAGCAGTGGCATTTACACTTCAGTTTGTAGCCCGAAACGGTTTCCTGTAAGTGGGTTCTTCAATTGTCGGACACCAACTTGTGCGGCTGCTTTATGGTCAAAGAATCTAAGCAGGAAGAAACGGAGGTTTTCTCTAAGAGTGTTTAATTCCGGTGGAGGGATTCTGGAAAAAGAGTTCGAATTCAAGCCATCTTTTGGTGAGTATTTGAAGACTTTGGAGTCTGTAAAGGAGAAGAAGAAATCTTTTAAATCAAATAAAGACAAGTCAACCAGAGATTTTGGGGAGAAAGAAAACATGTCCGAAATTGTTGAACAAGATAAAGTAAACATGAAGAATGAAGGAGCTACTAGAACTAGAAGCAGGAAGGCATTGCCTCTAAAAAGTGAAGCCTGTGATGTGAAGGCGCTGAGAGATGAGAACAAGAATTTTGAAAACCCCAGTAATATTGTAGATAACCCGCGGGTTTCACGAATGCAGGTAGAAGAAAGAACAAAAGAATCAGCCAAGTTGTAAGAACTTCTTCTATTTCTTCTGCTAGTTTTTTTATTCTCTTCAGAATATTATTTGTGTTTTGTGTTCCAATAACAACATTGTTTCTATGAAATAGACGCAAATATGATGCAAAATTAGAAAATTATGAAGATAATGCGAGTTTAATGAAGTTTGGAGGGTTTCCTAAGGAAGTAAAGATATCCAAAGTCTTCAAATACAATGAAGTAAACGAGAAAAATGAAGGAATAATAAGAACTAGAAGCAGGAAGGAATTTCTCGAAGAAGGTGAGGATGATGATTTGAAGATTGAAAGAGTTGCTTTCAAGAACTTTGAAGAATCCAACGACATTGTTAATAAACCACGAGTTTCAAAGATCGAGATGGAGGAGAGAGTTCAAAAATTAGCAAAGTCGTATGTACTCTATAAATCTCTTTTGTTCTTTGCTGCAAGTTTCCTTCCCAGACTTTCGAAATTTGGATGTTATTGATATGAAATTATGATGAACCTTTTACAATCACAGCAAGGTCAAAGCTCCACCTTTTTTTATCCATCTAATTTCAAACGTCTATTAGGATTTGCTTCAATGGATTTATCAAGTTTTGTTTTGGTAGAAAAGAAAGAGCCTTCCATGTTGATATCTAAAGTTAAAACATGCCAAAGGAATTTCACTCGACCTTCAGGGCCTATTGCTGACTCTTGATTATCAACTTCTTTTTATTGTTCCCAGGAAATTTCTAGGTGAATGTGATTTGTCATGGATTATATCATTCTTTTTCTTGTTAATAACTAGTTCAAGTATTGTGTATTTTAGTCAGATTTTATAATGGTTCCATTCTTCTTTAAGTAGTTCGTTTTTAACAGGTTGAATGGTGCAGACATTGATATGCCTGAGTGGATGTTTTCTAAGATGATGCGTAGTGCAAAAATAAAATTTACAGACTACTGTATATTAAGGGTGATCCAGACATTAGGTAAACTAGGGAATTGGAGGCGGGTACTTCAAGTCATTGAATGGCTTGAAATGCGAGAGCGCTTCAAATCTCACAGGCTCAGGTAATTTTGCTCACCAGGTTCCCTTACTTTCTGTTGCATGTAAGCTGATGTCCATAGAGTTGTGCTGTAAGAAGTGAATCAACAAAGTTAGTTGGTCTTAGTAATTTAAAAATTCACATCTTCATTGGTTTCAAATTTCTTCCTACATACCAGATTATTCAGGATTTTCCCTCACATTTACACCAAAACTGTTATATGATTGAGCTTGTTCAATTTAGACGATGTGTATATGTTTATATCTACTCTAGGAAATCGACCTTTCCTTTCACTGCACTATGCATTTTACTCTTTTTAATGCTGTTCTTCTAGTTGCATAAAGTTTGTTAGGTACTAAAATATCCATAACATATAATCATGAACTTCATCTTAGCATTTATGTATTGGAATAATAGAATAATTTGAAATATTCGTTGTTCTTGTTTTTTACTCCACTGGCATCACTAAGAGTTCAATAATAACAGGGAAGCAAATTATGATGCATGAGAATGCCATATCCCGAGCATACTTGGAACATTTTATTAACATGAAAGAGAGTGCTACCTGTTCATTCTCTCTCCTTTAACTTGTACATGTCCCTACCCAGAAATTTATTGCCTCTTGAGTTTTTTGAAATCCAATGTTTACTGTTTCCCCCTTTTTCACTGGGTGTACTTGATGTATCTTTATGGTGCAGACATATTTACACAACTGCACTGGATGTACTTGGGAAAGCAAGACGACCTGTGGAAGCTCTTAACTTATTTCATTCAATGCAGGTAATATCCTTAAATTCTCATTTATGTGGCTCATGAAATCAACTTTTGTTTGACATAAGGGGAAAGGTTTATTCGATGTCCTCTTCTTCTCTCCCACTTCACCACAGGAACAAATGGCTTCATATCCTGACATGGTTGCTTATCGTTCCATTGCCGTTACTCTTGGGCAAGCTGGGCATATGAGGGAACTTTTGGATGTTATTGATAGCATGCGATCTCCGCCCAAGAAGAAATTCAAGACAGGGCCACTTGGGAAGTGGGACCCAAGACTAGAGCCGGATATTGTGGTTTACAACGCTGTGAGTAATACATATTAGTATACCTAAACACTATCATCTTTAATAATTGATTAATTATCTTTTGTTTGATATTATGCTGAATTATTGTTACTTATAAAGAATGTTAATTTTTCTTGCATTTTCAGGTTCTGAATGCTTGTGCCAGGAGGAAACAGTGGGAGGGGGCATTTTGGGTTTTGCAGCAGTTAAAGCTACGGCATCTACAGCCTTCCACAACTACATATGGACTTGTAATGGAGGTGAATAAGTTTACAAAACTTATTTTAGTTCCAGGTTTAGGTTTTTGTATTTTCTTTTTAATTATAAAGTAATGCCAATCATTGTAGTATTTTGGATGGGTTTGTACTTTTCTTAAGTTACAAGTGAAGGGTCTTCAATGTCTAGTTTCCTTAAGATAATATCAAATGACATCAAACTGTTCCTTTCAACTGAGGATAAAAAATGTATTAAGGGATAGCAGTGTTCTATTGCTGGAAAGGGTTTTTGGCATGAGCTGTCATGGCTATACTCTCTATTTTCATATCATTTAAACTTTGGCCTATCATGCCTGATGGAAAATGTATTCTCTGAAGTTTGTAATATTGTTCTGTTAAATGGATTTTCCATATGGATAAAAATACTTAAATAGTGTTTTGATTTGTGCAGGTGATGTTTGAATGCGGCAAATACAACTTGGTCCATGAATTTTTCAGGAAAATTAATAAATCTTCTATGCCAAATGCTTTGACATATAGAGGTATTTATGTATACTATCGTTCTCATTTTTCCTATTGGTGTCCTTATACGTGCCTAATTCCCAAGGTTCATATCGTATCTGCTGTGGAAGCTGACTTTGGATAATTTTCAGTTCTTGTAAATACCCTTTGGAAGGAAGGTAGGATAGATGAGGTTGTATTGGTTGTTCAAAGTATGGAAAGACGAGGAATCGTAGGATCTGCGGCTCTTTATTACGACCTTGCTCGTTGTCTTTGTAGTGCCGGGAGGTGCCAGGAAGCACTGATGCAGGTGTATTTTATTTTTTATTTTAATTTGTTTTGTTCATTGGTTCTTTTTGTGCAAGTTGGTATTTTAGGTAATTTCAGCTCAGGCCTTCCACATTTATTCTTGATAAAGTTACGGCTATTAGGATCTTTATTAAAATTTTCTGACAAAATAAGTCAGGGTTGGTTGTAATATAGTCCAGACTCAATATCTATTTTCTACAAGTATAATTTAAAATATGTTTAAGTTCATATGGGCTGAAAAGGATGTTTAGATATATTTTTTCCAGATCCTCAAATCTACTACTGTAATATCTGTTAATTGACTAAAGCATTTGCTGAAGTGCACATTGTTTGTGCTTTTACAGATTGAGAAAATATGCAAAGTAGCTAGCAAACCTCTGGTGGTAACTTATACTGGTTTAATTCAAGCATGTCTAGATGGTGGAAACGTTGAAAATGGGGCATACATCTTCAACCAAATGCAGAAATATTGCTCTCCAAATCTTGTTACGTGTAATATCATGCTAAAAGCTTATCTGGATAACGGATTGTTTGATGAAGCGAAAGATCTGTTCCAGAAGATGTCAAAAGCTGCAAATGAAATGAGCAGCAAATGTGATGATCTGAATGGAGTTGTAGCTGATAGTTATACATTCAGTATCATGTTAGATGGATGCGTTCAACAGAAGAGGTGGGATGAGTTTGAGCATGTGTATGGAAGGATGTTGCGGCATGGATTTCATTTCAATCCAAAACGTCATCTGCGTATGATCCTCCAAGCTGCCAGAGCCGGAAAGGTATTTGATAAAATCCTATGAATTGCAGATACTATTTTCAGAAGAGCTGTTAATAATATTATTACTATTGTTCAGGGGGAGCTATTGGAAACAACATGGGAACAGATGGCGAGGGTCGATAAGACGCCTCCTCTGCCTCTGATAGAAGAAAGGTTTTGCATGAAGCTGGAGAAAAATGACTGTGCTTCTGCTGTTTCATGTATTACCGCCTATACTGCGAGCCAGTTACAGGCATTGTCCAAGTCGGCGTGGTTGAAGTTATACAAAGACAATGCCTCTCGTTTCCAACAGGGGACGATTATCGGATTAGTTGAACATGTGGAGATGATCCTTGGCACAAATGAGTCACCAAACCCGGTTCTTCACTATCTTTTAGCTGCTTCTAAACAAATTTTGAGGACTCCACTTATATGATTATGTTAACTTATGACATCAACCGGTCAACCAATCAATGCTACCACAAACCATTTGTTTGTACAGTTGAAATATGCAGTCAGTAAAGTTTCTAAATCGAAAATTGAAGTTTTCTACATGCGCTCGATCTGAATTGAGTTTAGGAGGATATTTATCCAATCTAATATTTTAAGTTAAAATTTGTATTCGACTCGAACCTATATATATATATATATTCATTTTTATTAGATAAAATAATTACTTAATTAAAAAGTTAAAATAAAAAATATTGTTCTAATAATTTCTAATTATATAAAAGATTATTATGATATTATGTCTGTCTGATTGGATTCTTTTTACTTTAAACTCGAATTCAGTTCAATTTAATTATATTTTTAAAAATTTGATCTGATTTAAACTCAATTATTTAGAAAAAAATGGGATCAGGTTGGGTGTAAATTAACCTTACCATCATCAAAATGAAAATATGCTATAACTTGGCTGACTGACCTGCGATTGTAATTTGTGAAGTAATAATGAAAATTGTAAAATAATCGTCGTTTCCATTCATACGTCCCGCAGAGCGCTCCGGAATCACAACTCTCCGTCTTACAAATAAGGAGCAACGGCGATGGATCTCAGATTTTACTTTCAGTTTCAGTTTTAGTTTCACCCAAGAGTTGTCCTTTTCCATTATTTTCTCGCCCCTCAAAGCTTGTCTTCGACGACTCCCCTTTGCCCTTTTATTCTGGTTTAGGGTTTAGAAGAGACAAATGGGCAATTGGAGGCATCGAGGCCCACGACGATTTTACCGCCAGGATGCAGCTCCCAAATATCCTCCCTCCTATCATCTCCCTGAAACTTGCTTTTCTGGTAATTTACATTTTTTTTGTTGCAATTGCTGCAGTGCTGTCTTCAACATTCTTGTCTTTCCCCCCCCTTCAATTCTCTTTATCTTACAATTCATTTGAACTTTAGAATACAATATTAAAATCCGACATCCATTTGAAACAACACAGAATCAGTGGCAAGTGCTTTGAAAGAGGTACAAAAGTTTATGATTGTTGATATGTAGATGAAAAAAAAAACAAATTTCCTTTGTTTCACATGTAAGTGTATTCTTGAAATATTACTGCATCAAACCTTCAATAATTTTTTTTTGTTATTCCCAATTCATTACTGGTTTGGTTTGATTTTAACTTAAAATTGCCATCTTTACTAGAGTTTGTTTTAGAATTAGTATTACGGGCTGTACTTACACCTTTTAACTTTTTCCTTTATGATAATAAACATTCACATTGTCTAAGAACTAACACTTGTTTACTCATACATTTACAAAGGACTATATATTAAGTAACCACATTATATTTACCGTTCTCATTTTTGTCTGTATTCTGTTACCAAGGTGTGATTCTTTTCTGATTATGTTATTTTCCTCATAGAGTTTTCTAATGATGGTGTGCCTTTGTGGGAAAAGAAATTCTGCACTATAGTTGGAAAAGTATCCTGGCGGAAGATTGTTGATACGAAGAAGTTAACGAGCCCAAACGATAATGTGCTCAATTGGGATGATTCTGCTGGAGAAGAAGCATTTCACAATGCAAAAAGCCGGTATTGGGCAGAGAACAATGGCTTGTCCTGTGACATTTCTGCTCCTGATCCGAACGCTTACATTGATGAAATAAATTGGAATCCTTATATTGATCCTGAATTAATTAGGGAGTTAGAAAAAGAATATTTTCTCCCCCTGATGTAGAAGAAGATATCATGGTAGGGGAGGAAAACAAGATAGCAGGGAACCTTTTGTCTGCTCCGACAGAAGGGTGCAATAAGAGCCCTTCTAAGTTTGATAATCCTTGGGAAAATAACAATGTTACTCAGGATAGTTCAAAGGATTGTGTAGGCTGGGGCCACTTTGTTCTTAAAGTTGATGACTTGAGAAATTTAAATAGTGACGGAAATAATCCCTGGGAGAGTAGCATTACTCAGGAAAATGAAAGTGGAAACCGTAACTCATGGGGGTATAATGGGTCCAGGGATTGGAATACTGGAAACAATTCCTGGGGCCATAGCTATCAAGGCTTGAAGAAGGATGATGGATGGGGAGACTACAAACGAACTTATTGGGGAAGGAATCAGCGAGACACTAACAAGATGCCTAATAGAGATAATTCATGGAAACATAGCTATGCTCAGTGCAATGTAACTCCAAATGATAACAGGTGGGGAGATTGTGGGAGAAATTGTTGGAAAGTGGGGGGTAATCATGATGTACGGTCAAGAAAGTTAGACTTCAGAAGTAGCAGCAGTGGGGGACCATGGCACAGTGGTTCCCGGAAGAGGGAAGGTTCTCACCAGTATATTCCTGGCTACAAAAGCTCCAGGTTTCAACCAGATGATAATCAGGCAAATTATTGCTGGAGGAGTGGGCAATCTAACAAGAGGGTTAGCTTTCCACGTGAGTAGCCATTGTCGCTGACTTATTTTTTTGTTTATGAGATTCTCCGTCCAACAAGCCAGGAACATCTTTTACTTCATTTATTATCTCATAAGATGGTTCCTTTTAACCAATTGGTGCAACGGCATACCAGGTGATAGTGAACCTTACCCGGATTTTCGAGTCTGTGATGTTCATACACGTACCTTTTGTTCAATATAGACATCTTGTTTTGGTCCATAATTTTGTCCATGAGACAAGATTGCCTATTGAAGTGTGTTATTTTGTTATTAATGTTCTGGTTACACTGCATTGTTATCTTGTTCATATCATGTATGCTTCTCAACATTCTTAACCCTTGGGTTTGATTGGGAAAACTTATCAGGTAGCAATCTAAAAAAACAACAAATGTAATATGGGAATCCAACACTGGAAGCAATTTATGCCTCTACAGGTTTGTTTCAATTGAAACAATTGATTCTGGCAACAAATGGTGGTTCTTCATTAACGAAAAGAAATCTGCTACATCCTCAATCATCAAACATGCAACTGAAAAAATGTAAATTATTGCATTGCCATTTTTTTCTCTCAAACGACCAGTTACAATTGACAAGAATTCAAAAAATTGTATGAAATAGAAAACCTATAAAGACCAAATTGATCACTGAACAATTTTACCCTAAGAAACTGCACACTGAAAAACATGAATTCGTAAACTAATTAACAAACAAATAACAGTATTGAAACACTGCAAACAAATAAAAAGGGAAGCAGTGCTTCTTACCCACAAAACATTGATAAAATGCGTGTGATGTCTAAGTAGTGGCAGAGGTCTTAGGCACCCACCACACTCTTACAGATTTGTCGAGGCCTCCACTATAGAGCAAGAAACCATTACCCACATTACAGGGCGTTGCCTGCAAACACTTGACTGGGCCTTGGTGACCATTAATGACTCCAATTTTACGAAGTTTACCATAAGCCTCTCGCTTCCAAATACCAATGGTTTTATCAGCTGAACCAGTGCACAAAAACTCCCCCACCAGGCACATGCACAAAACTGCCATACTGTGTGCTCTAGTCTCACTCACCAATTTCCAACTATCAAAATCGCCATTCCCTTCCCACCCCATAACAAACCCATCTGAACCCCCTCCATATACCCATTTTCCATCCTCTGAAACAACAATTGAATTCAATGAAACATCTTTATGACCTTCCAAAATCCCTGCAACGAATGAGAGGTCTTCCCATGTTTTCCCCAAGCCTTAATCTTCCCATCCGCGGATGCCGAATACACTATTCCTTTACAAGCTACCAAACTATTGATGGCATCATCATGGGCCTTAATGGATTCCAAACACTTCAAATCAGATATCCTCCACACCTTAAGAGTCTTATCCCATGAGCCTGAATAAATCAACCCATTGTACACTGTTAAACAAGAAATACTATCTGCATGTTCGATCCATAAACGCTTGTGATGCCGCCGGGTTTGGACATAATTGCTTTGCTTCATGAACTTCCCCAAATAGTCCTTGGTTGTAGGAAGCGTGTCTTTCAGCTTAAACACGTTCTCTGAGCTTCTTGACACCTTCCATACCCTGATCTTACTATCTTGATGTGCAGTGAAAACCTTATTGCCAACAGCCACAAGCGCTTTCACCGAGCCATCACCTTGGCCGAACTTTGTGAACTGTCTTAAGTCAGGCTGTTGCCAAACTATAATATCCTTGCCTTGCGATGCGCTTAGGATGAATTCTCCACACAAGGCCAAGCATGAAACTGAACCAATATGCCCGGACAGCACTGCCAGTGATTTATATGGTTGAAAACCACACGATGTTTTGCATGGAAATTCATATCTGCCGTCATCTTGAAGCGCAAAACGATGATATACAGGTGGGCTATCATCAGCTTCACTGCTTGTGCTGCTACTTGTTGCGGCGGATGAGAGTAGGGGAGCCGACGATTCATGCATAGGAGGAGCTATTGTAATCAGGACCATATCTAGAATTCTAGGCTCCTTTGCCTGTATGAGTTTGTGTGTGAGAGAGAGAAAGAGGCAGAGGTTGAAACAGAGAAGCTGGGTTTCTTTAAAGACACAGAATGTAAATAAATGGAAGAGTGAGTAACGGCTATATTGACAAAATGTAAGCTTGGTATGATAAAAGGGTCCACCACGATCGAGTAATAATAATTAAAGGAGGATTGAGCTTTTGGGCCTTTTCCCCGTTTCCAGGATGTCTCCTCTCCTTACATTTTCTGGAATTTCTTTTCATCAAATTTGGTAGCACAATATGTTAGACATATGTCTGCTAATTCCACCAAGGCAACTAGAATTCCTCGTCAAAAGAGATACCCACATCATACCAAAATTGCACTTAGCTATTATTTTTCAGATTTTGCTAATTGCCATTTTATTCACCCCACTAATCTCATTATTTGAGCACATAAAACATGTCAGCTTTGGGCGGAGTCAGCCTGTGATTAGACTAGTTACTTGACACCTCAAATTTTTAGAAATACAAAATTTATTTTATAAAAGCTATTAAAGTTAAAATAAAATTAATATTAACATTATAAATAAAGTAAACTGAACTAAAAGTAGGGATGACTATTTCATTTAAATCCTTTCTTCTGGTTTTTTTAAGGGTAAGGTCGGGTTCGGATTTCAGAGTTAAAAAACTCTGATTTGATTTGATATAGTATTATAGTTATCTTTTATTTATTTAAATATAATTACAATAATATCAAATTTTATTTTATTTTTCTTTTCAATTATGTCTTTATTTTTACTTAATAAAAATAACTTATATATATATTTAGGTCGGTCATATTAGGTCAGGTACGGATTTTGACCTAAAAATTGAGTCGGATTTTAGGTCGGATTAGAACCTTCTAAACCAGGGTTGGGTCAGGTGCTGATAAAGATGTTTAATATTCGAATTGAATCTGGGTGGGTCAAAAATCAGACCCGACCCATGACCTTCCCTAATTAAAAGAGCATTCCATAATAAATCTTTATAATATTCGATTCAAAATTTCTAACACCGCAATTTAAAATTTCTGACTCTATACCCTAACATCAATTCATATTTTTTATTCTCTCATCATCAAAACAAATAATAATATAAGAAAAGAATTAGATAGCTAGACCAAGTAGTTGGTTTAAAAAAAAAGAATATGTTGGGGTATATGACATATTTTTCATTTATATATATATAGTTATTCTAGAAAATATAACGTCTAAATTGATATCGTATGTTCTATTTTTAGATTTTTTTATATTTTTATAATTAAATATTTTCTCATTATTATTTATAGTTATTTTAATTGATTAATAAATTATGAATAAATCTATATTGCATAAAAAGTTAAAGAACACCATTGGAGCGGAACGAGTGGTCCATTGAAGTGAGGTGCAAGCTTGGTCTACAAATCAGAGAAAATCCCATTGTTCTGAAAAAATTGTAATTTTCAGAAACTGGAATCATTAAGTTGGCACGCAACTGTTTGTTAGAAATTAAAGTAGAATACATGAGAAAACAACAATGAAGATATTACCATTTCTCATTTTATAAATCAGTGAATGAAAGACACGAGAAGCAACAAACAAACTTAAGATTTACAGAAGAAGGAAACTTGCTACGGCTGCATTGTGCTTATGAGAGATGACTGGATGGTCAGTAGTGCATTCAATAATGTGACACATACACATCGTACTGGACGGTAGCATCTCCAGTGTGTAATCAAACCAAACTGTATGTGCCAATGCATAGCCCCTAGCAAATCGAAACACCCCACTTCCTCCAACAATCGGCATTTCCCTCACATCATTGAAAACAGGATTCCTCCCAAGAATGCTGATGCTGCTACCATTGTAAGTACCTTCAGTGAAGGCCATATTCATAACCATTAACAATGATACATCTTCTTGGGCTGCAATGCCATATATCCCTTGAGCTCTTCCAACCGGCTTTGAGCTGATTTCAGGCCCTTCTGTCAATGCATCATCCATCATCATGGTGGCTCCAAATCCATATGCACTGCTGTTTGTTGGCCCTGCAATTTTCACAGCACTAGGTTTTTTCCCACTAATGACATCATGGAAGAAAAAGTGGAGGTGGGATGTTTTTTCTACACGCTTTATTTCTATGCCCTCAGTGATTTCCTCACAGAAGATGCCATTAACATGGCCGTAGATCGTTGAGAAGATAACACAATTGAGGGTGAAGAGAAAACAAATGGAAAAATTAGTTGCCATTTTGGATTGCTTTTGAATGAGGTTGTCAATCAAAATGAGATTTCGCCTTTTATAGGAGCTAGCAGCATGGTTGCTGTGCCTGTGCTTTTAAGAAACTGTTTCCCTTTGTTTTTTCAATGACTAGTTTTATAAAAGCAAGTGGGCTATCCCCCAGTTAAAAATATAAGAATGCTTATGCTTATACGATAACCTATCCCCAGTTAGAAAAAAGAAAGAAAGAATATGATCCATTATTTTTCAAAACAATTATACTCTTTCTAGTCAATAATCATCACATAAGTACATAGGCTAGTTATGGCCTATGTTGTTTTCAAAATGCTAATTACGCTTTTCGGTTGTTTTCAAACATCAACCTTACACACTAGTTATGGTCTATGTTATTTTCAAACATCAATCTCAAATTTGTGGGTGATACTTGGAGACAATGTCTTGCTTTTACTTGTTGGAATACTTTTGTTCATTGGTGTGCAATAGAACTGACTCCAGGAAACTGAGAATTAAGATTCTAAGAATGCTTTCTGGTTGATGTAAAGAAGAAAGAATATTCGAAAGAATTAATGTTAACTCAATCGAACTGCAGACAGCTGAGATTTCTTTGTAATGAGCGATAGCTATAGCTTTTGAATGACCCTATTATGAATTCTATGGCTGTCAATTGCTACCGTGGATTTGATTATATTCCATCTAGTTGCCGACAATACATATTTGATGGGATTCATAAATCTTTATTGAAGTTTGATATTATGTGATTATATAGAAGTAATCTTTGCTTCAAGCAACTGCGAATTTTCTATTATGAAGTCGCCATATTGCTCTCCCTGTCCCTTCACATTTCATCTTTCCACTAATTCCTTTTCACATTTCGACATTGATCCCCAAAGAAGCTACTATTGGTTATCCCTAAATATTCATTAGAAATTGGAGAAGGAATTACAGATTTATTATATTTCAGAAGCTACTAGTTTGGTCATTTGTTTCTATGCTATTTGATGAGAGCTGCATACAGAAGTAGGTTCCATGTATCGGGGAGGCCAGCAACACACCAGTGTGTGCAATCCATGCCGTTGAAGGCATTGTAGGAGCTAGGATGTGCATCTTTTCTTAGTTGAGAAAGAGCTGTAATATCGAGCAAATAAACAGGTTTCTTGATGCTCCTTATGACATCATTAACTACGTCTACGGCACGAGTTAAACCAGTCGGATGAACCGGTCCCATGAATGGTGTCATCTGCCTTGAGCAATTTCTCACTCCTGGTTCATTCCATCCTGCACCACTGATTCGTATGAATGTAGAGACAAGACATTATGTTACTCGGAAGGTTGTTACAGTTTTTGGTCTTGAAAAGAAAGATATTGAAACAGGAAAAAGCAGCTCACTTGTAGTGAGAAGGGGAGATTCCTTGAAATACAACTTGAGTCCTATTGGCATCAACATCTGAATCAACCCATTTGGCCCATGTTGTCAAAGCCATGCGAAAAGCAGTCATACGGTCGATGTCCTTACTAATCTTACCATCAACTTCCACATATTGCCATCTGCAGTTGAAATTACAGATCTTTTAGCTCTTGTAAAAAGGTCATCAGTTAATCAGATTATGCCTGTTTTGTAGAGCTCATACTGTTGCTTCTGTCCTCTACGGTGCCACCAATGCCAAGTGTTGAAAATTAAGACATTGAAGTTTTTCCACAGATCACCATGCCTAATAGATTTCAGCTTCAGAACTTTGCCAATTGTTTCCTCATCCACGTCTACTAAGTACAACGTATGAAATAGCATCACTGATACGTTATAGTCCTGAAAGTTTCAGTCCACACATATATATACAGAGAAATGAACATAGTTATTTACCTATAGTTAAAGTGTTACCTATAGCAAAGGAAATGTTTAACATAGATTGATTACCTTGAAAGTGACAGCGGGAATACTGCGGTTGTACAAGTGTTGTTTGATTATACGAGATGTAGGCACTGCAGCGTGAAGCATGCACACTAGTGATTGCCATTGGTTCAGACTTATGGAGTCTCCAATAAACATCAGCTTCTTGCCCTTTAATGTATTCAACAACTGTTCTGCATCAAACCTGTCATTTCTCACTGATTCAAATGTTAGAATGAAAACTACAAGTATGAAATTTATGTTTGAGATGCGGAAACTAAACATTTACCTTGGCAACTGGCAATTGGTTGGCTTCCATCTATATTTAAGGTAGAGGTGATCGGGACGGCCATACTTGAGGCAATTAAACTCGTTGTGGATGAACGGACAGGCTGATGAATTGTAGAGAGGATAGGAGCTGTCATACTCCCAATTCCCTTGGTACATATTGCAACTATCCTGCTGTGTGGGAGAATCATTGGCATTTGCTAAACATAGAAATGAAAAGGTGACAAAGCTGACAGTAATCAATATTTTAGTCCTGGAAGAACCCATTAGAGAGGAGAAAATTGTGAATGAAGCTTCCATAGGAAAAGGAGACAACGATTGGTGCCACTTATACCAAAATGAAGACCTTAATGAATACGTAGAAAATATTTAGTTGTATAACTGTTTATCTACTATTTAGTGTTGCAGGAAAAGGCGTATATAATGGCTCTCCAAGTTTCATCTATTTAGTATTTTCCAGCAATTACGTTTACGTGTTGTGAGTGCTGGAAGTTGGTTTAATGAAATAATAATAATTATCCTCACAAATCCATGAAAATAGTCGTTGGCAAAGTGTGCACCAATTCCATGAGAAGATGCAATTGATTTGGCATGACCACTATTCTGAGAATATTTTCTGAACTTATTATCTTCAATATATTAGAATTATTAAATAATTTATTGATTTATATATGTGATCAAAGAACTTATCTTTGGAATAGTTAAATTTAAGGCAGTAAACTAATCTAGCTTGAACAAACAAATCACTATTTATGTTCGTTCGTTTATTGAACAATCCCCCCTCGTCGCCATAATAAAAATGAAATAAGATTATTATTTCTTACATAATAATCATACGAACATGTAAGGTATGGCTCATAATTTTGTAATTATGTACCAGGGTTTTCTATTATAAATAGTGATGTAACCTAAACCTATTATCATTGAATAAATAAAAAAATTTAGCGCCGCCTAGGCACCGAGGACGTAAGCACATTGCTGAACCTTGTTAAAATTCTTGTGTTCTTTCGTTTACTTTGCCCGATTTATCAACAATTGGTATCAGATGTCAGGAGCAAAATTCGAAGTTGCGAAATTCGATGGTCTGGGTAACTTCGGATTATGGCAAACAAGGGTGAAGGATCTGTTGGCACAGCAGGGGATCCTGAAGGCTTTGCGACCTACAAAGCCAGCGTCGATGGAGGAGGAAGATTGGGAAGAATTGCAACAACGAGCGGCAGGAACCATACGATTATGCTTGGCGGACGAGGTTATGTATCACGTCATGCATCTATCGTCTCCAGATGAAATTTGGAGGAAGTTGGAAAGTCAGTTTATGTTCAAATCCTTAACGACAAAATTGTATCTAAAGCAGCGACTGTATGGGCTGAAGATGCAGGACGATCATGATTTGGCGCAACACGTGAATGTCTTCAATCAAATCGTTTCCGATTTGGTTCGGCTTGATGTAAAAATTGAGGATGAAGACAGAGCGATGATTTTGTTGTGTTTGTTGCCTCCCTCTTACGAACACATGGTGACTACTCTTACATATGGGAAAGAGACTATCAACGTTGAGGAGATTACTGCAGCCTTGTTGGCTCACAACCAGCGGAAACAGAATGCAGGGGAAGACTCTCAAGCTGATAGCTTATATGTCAAGGGTAATCGAGACCGTGGACGGAAGCGAGAGAAGGCAGGGTCTGGAAAGCGGAATTCCATATCCAAATCTAGGGATAAGAAGACAATTCACTGTTACAAGTGCAAGGAGGCGGGACATATGAAGCGAGACTGTCCGAAGTTGAAAAAGCAGACTGATGAGAAGCGTGATGTTTCATCCAAGTCTGTGAACGTGGTCAAAGATGACAATTCTGATTGCAGTGAGGGTGATATGCTTTCTATTTCAACGACTCAATTGACGGATGCGTGAATTCTTGATTCTGGATGTTCTTATCACATCACGCCAAATAGGGAATGGTTTTCGACATACAAGTCGGTTAATTCTGGTCCTGTTTATTTGGGTGATGATCGATGTTGCAGTATTGTTGGTATTGGTGATGTCAGAATTAAGATGTATGATGGCTCTGTTCGGACGTTGAGTGGTGTTCGACATATCCCAGATTTGAAGAAGAATTTGATTTCTTTGGGCACTTTGCACAAGAATGGTTTTATCCCTAAGGCTGATGAGGATAGGGAAACCATTCGGATTGTTAAAGGTGCTTTGACTGTGATGAAAGGAAAGATGACTGCATGAAATATTTATAAATTGTTAGGGAGTACCGTTGTAGGTGGAGTTCATTCTGTTGAATCCTGTGATGATACTACAAAACTGTGGCATATGCGTCTTGCTCATCTTAGTGAACGTGGTATGACAGAATTACACAAAATAAATCTGTTGCATGGTGTCAAAAGCTGTAAGCTCGATTTTTGCAAGTATTGTGTTCTTGGTAAACAGACTAAAGTCCGTTTCAAGACTGCGAAACACACAACTCAAGGGATTCTTGATTATATGCATTCTGATGTATGGGGGCCTTCCACGATATCGTCTTTGGGTGGATCTAGGTATTATGTTACTTTTATTGATGATTTTTCACGGAAAGTTTGGGTGTATTTTTTGAAACAGAAATCTGAAGTTTTTGAGAAGTTCAAGCTGTGGAAAAGAGAGGTAGAAAACCAAACAGGACGAAAAATCAAGTGTTTGCGGTCTGACAATGGAACGGAGTACACAGATTCACAGTTCTTACACTTCTGTAAGGAGCACGGGATTAAGAGACATTTTACAGTGCGCAAGACACCACAACAGAATGATGTTGCGGAACGGATGAACAGATCGTTGAATGAAAGAGCCAGATGTTTGCGGTTGAATGCGAGGCTTCCCAAACACTTCTGGGCCGAGGCTGTTAACATGGCGTGTTATCTTATCAACAGATCGCCAAGGGCATCATTGGCTGGGAAAGTTGCAGAAGAGGTATGGACTGGTCATGATGTTAGTTTTGATAACTTACGGATTTTTGGTTGTCCTGCTTATGTGCATGTACCTGCTGATGAGAGATCCAAATTTGATGCAAAATCGAATGAGTGCATTTTTCTGGATTACAAGAAAGGTGTCAAAGGATTCAAGTTCTGGGATCCAGTTGCGAAGAAAATTGTGATCAGTAGAGATGTTGTTTTTGATGAACAATCCATGTTGCAACAGAAGAAAGACACGACAGTGGTGGATTTCGAGCAGTTTCCAGTTGAGAAACCAGAAACGTCTCAACCGACTTCTGGTGGTTCCACTACGGATGATTTGCAGGATTATAGTCTCGCCAGAGACAGGGTGAGACGGACGAATATAAAGCCTCCGAGTAGATTGGGTTTTGAAGACTTGGTCTCTTTTGCACTTATTGTTAGCAGTGATGATCCGGTTACTTTTCATGATGTTATTACTAGTCAGAAAAATGACAAGTGGATGGCAGCCATGGTTGAGGAGATGGAGTCTTTGAATCACAATCGTACATGGGAGTTGGTTCCCCTTCCTGAGGGTAAAAAGCCGATTGGTTGCAAATGGGTGTATAAGAAGAAACCAACAGTAACAGAAAAGGAGGGGGAGAAGTTCAAGGCTCGTTTGGTAGCAAATGGTTTTTCACAGCAGAAAGGAGTTGATTATGATGAAATCTTTTCTCCTGTGGTCATACACACTTCAATCCGAGCATTACTTGCATTGGTGGCCAGTTGGGATTTGCATTTAGAGCAGATGGATGTTAAAACTGCTTTTTTGCATGGTGATTTAGAGGAGCAGATCTACATGCGGCAACCTGATGGTTTCACTCAACCTGGAAACGAGCATTTAGTTTGCAGATTGAAGAAATCTTTGTATGGGTTGAAACAGTCTCCGAGACAGTGGTATAAACGGTTTGACTCCTATATGATCAAAATTGGCTACAACCGATGTGAGTATGATTTTTGTGTCTATGTTAAGAGTCTTGATGATGGTTCTTTTATTTTTCTATTACTGTATGGTGATGATATGTTGATTGCTGCGAAGAACATGGATGATGTTATCGGTTTGAAAACTTTATTGAGTCAGGAATTTGATATGAAAGATTTAGGTGCTGCAAAGAAAATTCTTGGAATGGAAATTTGCAGGGACAGAGACTCAAGGAAATTATGGCTATCTCAACGGGGTTATGTTAAAAAAAATGCTAGAAAGGTTTGCGATGAGCAGCGCAAAACCAGTTAGCACTCCATTGGCGAACCACTTTAAGCTCTCATCAGAACAGTGCCCTAAGACAGATAAGGAAGCTGAAGATATGGAAAAGGTTCCGTATTCTAATGTTGTTGGCTGCTTGATGTATGCAATGGTATGTACTCGTCCTGATTTAGCTCATGCTGTTAGTCAAGTTTGTAAGTACATGTCTAAACCTGGTAAGCAACATTGGGAAGCAGTCAAGTGGATCTTTCGGTACTTAAAGGGTATTGTGGGACATGGAATTGTTTTTGGTAGTCAACGAGATAATCCTTTGGTTGTAGGATATGTGGATTCAGACTATGCATGTGACTTGGATAATAGAAGATCTACGACAGGGTATGTTTTTACTCTTGGTGGAGGACCTATTTGTTGGAAGTCTACTGTTCAATCTGTTGTGGCACTATCTACAACTGAAGCTGAGTACATGGCAGCGGCTGAAGCTGCAAAAGAAGCTTTATGGCTCACTGGTTTAGTGAAGGAGTTGGGTGTTCAGCAAGGTGGAGTTCAGCTGCTCTGCGACAATCAAAGTGCTATTCACTTAGCTAAAAAAATCAGGTATATCGTGTTAGAACTAAGCACATTAATGTTTGTTTTCACAAGATCAGAGAGTTGATTGCATCTGGAGAGATTTTGTTTCAGAAGGTACACACTGATGAGAATGCCGCTGATATGTTCACCAAGCCAGTTACAACAGACAAGTTCAAGCATTGCTTGGACTTGTTGAATGTTTCAAGTTGTTAAAGAAGTAAGGTAACCCAACCCACATTGAATGTTTCCTAAGGGGCATGATATTCGCCAAGGTGGAGATTTGTAAGGTATGACTCATAATTTTGTAATTATGTACCAGGGTTTTTTTATTATAAATAGAGATGTAACCTAAACCTATTATCATTGAATAAAAAAAAAAATTAGCGCTGCCTAGGCACCGAGGGCGTAAGCACATTACCGAACCTCGTTAAAATTCTTGTGTTCTTTCGTTTACTTTGCCCGATTTATCAACAGAACATAAACCATCTTTGTTTATGAGCATAAATGAAAGAAACAAGGCTTTATGGTGTTTGGTTTGTTCAATAAACAAGCGTAAAAGTCATGTTCATGCTTGATTATTTAACTTGATAAATGAACGTGTGTAAATATAAAGAAACTGTTCATGTTGTTGATACGTCAACCTGATTAGAAACAATACATGGAAAAACATTGATGATATTTTTGATTTATTGGTGGAGATGAATAATAGAGTAGAAATTATCTAAAACATAAACTTAGTGTCACCATTACAAGTACATAACAACAGACATGACAGACATCAAACCATAGATATGATCCAGCTTTTTCAAATTCTAACACTCATCCATAACTTAGGCTTAAACTAAACAATAACACAGAATGGAATAAACAGTTGCCTGAAGAAAAACTATCAGTTACAAGCTTGAATTCTTCCATGGGCAAAGCTTGTTGAGGAATGCTTGAAATGAGTTTCACATTTGGTAATGGGAAGCGGCAAGACAGTTTCAAAGGCTTCAACGAGTAATGCAACCTTCCTCTTTCTAGCTGGAGCAAGTTTGGTGACTGCTTTCTGGAGTGCATGATCCAGCATCCATTCCTCTGCATTTTTCCTTTCATCCATCATCTGATGCCTCAGATCAACCCTTTCTGCATCTTCCTCTGGAACGATGGGCAGGAAGTTTGGTTCTCTTGGGTTGAAGTCCCTTGATTCCTCGTACTCGTCTTCACGTCTCTTGCGCCTGATTCTCCATTTCCTGTAGGCATGCTTGTCAGCAAGGTCTTCCTTAGCAATAGCATTGCTTCTTGGCTTACGGTTACTTTGATCGCTTGCTGCCACTTCCAAGTGAGCTTGACTCTCGGCAAAATGAATTTCATCAACAACATCATGAGATGCATCATTAACTTCACTCAGAGTGTCTTCTGCCACATTATCATCTTTGCCTGCTTTGAATTTTTCTCCGGTTTCCCCAATTGGAAGTTCCATCTCAGGACATAAATCACAGATAGTGACTGTCTGAGCTGCCTCTAAATCTCCTGATTTTTGGACCTCATTGTAATCTTCATTTATCTCTTCCTGCTCCAACTGAAATGGCTCCATTTTTTCAAAACCTCCATCTTTCAGATAAAACGTGCCGATGTTTTCAGGAACTTGTAGTGGAGAATCTGCTTCAAAAACTTCCTTAAATGTTCCAGGAACTCCAATCTCCAACATTTTTTCTTTGCCTGATGTTAGTTCCCCATGTAAATCTATTTCAGTGTGCTCTTCTTCCTCTTCTTCATCCATGATGGTGGAGGAAACTTGGTCATAGCTTAGGGTTTCAGATATCTGGCTGCATGTATCGACACATTTTGCATCTTCACCTGCTTCGGAAGCCTCCTCCGTCATGTTGCTGTCACTGTCTTCTGACGAATCCCCAATTCCCTGATCAGACTCCGTCAAAAAATGGGTTTCATCGCCAGAATGTGAAGCCGAAAATGACCATTCATCCCACTCCATTTCAATAACTTCAAATATAGTATGGTCCACATCAACGCTTGGAATGCCTTCTTGCTTATCACCATCATAAAAGCTCCATGGAGATGATTCTTCTTTAGCTGCGATTCCTCTAAACTCTTCGTCCACATCATCACGTTTCAGGTCTTCGTTATGGGTTTCGATGATATCTACTTGAGAAATAATTTCACTGTAATGTTCAAGATTTTCATCAAAACCAATCTGAGACTCAGAGTTTAGTGAACCTTGAGATAGACTCTCCAGCGCTGTTTCATTGCCACATCTAGAACCATCCGCTCCTGGGGCGTTCATTTGTGTGCTTCCCCCGGTTGCTTCATCAACATCATGATCATCTCCTTTACTGTTTGCATTGTTTGCATAGATTTCAACGAAAAAGTTTACAGGGGAGTCAAATTCCTCTGTTCCATCACCAGAAGGCTTTGTTAGACGTGGGCTGAAAGCTTCCATCTTCATGCTTCTCTGGGTTTTCATTGAACGTCTCTTTGCTTTCAAGAAACATTTCAACGGAGGCAAAGGAGTGTGGTGATGACCGTTGAGGGAGCAGTAAGTATAAGGGCAGACCTTTATAACCGAAGTCCCTTCATACTCGGTTCCACCGGGATTAAGCAAAAGATAAGCCGGAAACTTCGAATCCTTTAAAGTCGAAGAACAGGTAGCTTTCCGTTCGTTCATATCTGAACATAAAGAAACCCTGGAACATTTTTTGGCAGAAGTTCTAGCAGGCTTAAAACTAGGAGTTTTTGTTAAAGTCCTCACCAGTTTCAAACTAGATGTCCTCGTCAAACTTGTAGCAGATTTATTACCAGAAGTCGAACTCATTCTACGACTACGAAGATTCTTGCTATCTAATTGTAAATCAATTTGAGTATTCCGGGAACTGACCTGAGTGGTCTCCTTTTTGGCCTCCGAACTGCTAGTGGACTTCATGTAGTTTGGTGATCCATTGATAGGTTTGATCAACGACTTGCTGTGAACCGGAGGAGGAGGTTTTCCAGGTTGAGAAATTGTTTTCCTCAAAGGCATAGGTTCTGAGACCTTGATTGATCTACACTTTTTCATTATTTTCTTCAAGTCACTTCCTTTGTTCTTGACATCCTGGTGCTGACAAGATGATGGTTTAATATGATCAGCTTGGTGTTGGATACCAAGCTTGTTGGCCACCTTTCTTTGAACCATCCTCAAAGGAAAACCCTGATGAGAACCAAGATGGGTTTTGGTTCCCCTGGGGATTGGGAAACTGAGTTGTGGAAGAAAAGTAGTTTTTAACGTGATGAAAATCAAATGAAAAGGAAACTTGTAAAAGACCAAAGAATATTTGGTCTAGTAATCTGAGTTTCCAGACGGTGGAACTGGCAATGGCACTTGGCAGACCACTTTGGAATAGGGTTGAGATAAGAATTGGATGTCGACAAGCACTAGCATAACCGGGGTGGCCATTTCTTTAATGGAATCATTGCTTACTCCTATAAAATATTTGGAATATTGACATGTATGATGTATTCAAAATTTGAAATATGATATACATAATTCAAGGAAAATATGATTATAAAAAAGAGAGGCTTCGTTCCATTTAACCCAAATAGATTAGGAAGGAAGGAAGCATGGTCAAAAGGGGAGATAAGGGCTTGGGGACAATGGGCGGTGGCACTTTAGAAAAGACAAAGGCAATGGTCGGCAACAATGGGCTGCTTGTGGGGATTACCTTCATATACTTGGTCAGATTCTCACAGCCTTTTAGACACGCGCTCCTCCCCTCTCTTGTAAAAAGGAATTTCTTTAATTGCCTTTACCAAATATTAATTTGCAATTAGATTGTCAAATAATTGAATTCTGAATGTAGCAGAACATCAATTTTGATTTCCCCAAACTCACCTAACACTGATCAACAAATTCAACATCTTTTATACTGTTTTTGACTTTTCTGTTTTTTAAAAGATAAAAAACACAACCAAATGGTAAAATTATGTTTTTGAGGGTTTTGTAATGATCATAATTCATTAATTCCACCTATTCTGAGTCAAAGAGATAAACCATGGAAGGAGCCTTGTACAGTGCACTTTTAGTCTTTTCCACCATGACGAAAAGCTAGCTTTGTGGGCACCATCAAGACCAAATAATAATAACAATAGTTTTTGTCATAATAATTTTTCATTATGGAGAGAATCCAGAGACATGGAGCAACATCCCATGTTTATGCATGCAGTGTTGAAAGGCAGGAATGTCACTACATCTGTCTGTCTGATTTTGCTTCTTCAGAGTAGCAGCAACAACAAGACAGCTCCCCCTATCCCCCTGTAAAATAATCCCATGTTTTCTTGTTTCCTATAATCTACCACTGATAGTGAATTGTATAACAGTCCTAGCTAGAGATTTTAGAGCAGTCAACAACTCTGTCAAGTATAGTTATGAACCCGCTATACCTCCGAAGATATAATTTTTCCGCCAGCCTATTAAGATAATCTCCAAAGGGATACGATGGAGATCGAGTCCTCGACAAGACCTATGATAAAACTTCTAATAAACCCATGACTCTGTACCTAAGACTGTAAGAAGAACAACACTCTCTTTAACCATTGGAGTCGTTTAATAGGATCATGTTAAAGATAAGACCACGATTGTATGTATATCAAATTATAATATCATGACGTCTAGGCTACCCTTCAAATGGTGATGAGTAGTCACATTAGTTGTCCTACGTCCTACTATAATATATGGTTCCAAGAGTCCACGCAATCAATGATTCGTGATTATCTAAAACCTAACCATTTACCATACATAATAAGGTGATTAGATAGAGATTCGTGTCATGAAAGCAACTCTATTATTTTATAAACTAAAAAATGATCATGTATCCAGGAAAAAACAAAACAAATAATGCATAGTAAAAGGAAAACAAAATTCATATACTAGGCAAGAAACTTTACAACTGAAAGTAATACAGTCAATTTTGAATCTTTAGCACACCAATTGATACTTAAAACGTTATTCAGTTACTAATGCTACATTTGGCAGGGCTGTTATTTTTTCCTCGAAGATAATGAACAAATATTGCTTATTTTGAATATGTATAATTTTTTACTTGAGTTTTTACTTATCTTTCTAATTTTAAGTTTAAATTTGTACTAACTCTTCTTTGTGTCATGAAAAATTGTTTTAAAAATTATGTAATAATTAAGCTTTTTACTTATTACTTGTAAACCAAACATGACATACAAAACATATAAAATCTCTCTACATCTTTACTGAGGTTTTGAAGCTTACTCCAACCTGGAAACTGAAATGATGTTGGTGCTTGCAGCATGCATGAATGACTGGTATTAGATTTTGATTTTATATTCTGTGTTACAAGAACATCCCCCCCCCCCAAAGTATCCGTGTTTAACACGCACATATTTGAGCATGAGGAACAAAATATTGTCCCCCACGTATATAGTAAAGCTTTGAAAAAATGAAAAAATTAAAAAAATTAAAAAATTGAGTCGTATCAAAGGCATATATGGCCAAAAAGCATGATTAAAGAGAGATTAGGACTTGGATATGCACAAGTATGCTTTACCTAAAAGAAAAGGATGGTGTTGAGTAGCTTTCACAAAAACAGTGCCATTTTTTTATTTGATTCTAATTCCCTTTTTGTTTCATGCATAAGAAATCAAGGCTAGTGGAGAATTTCTGGTAAAAAGGGGAAAATCATACAACTAGAAGTGATCAATGTAACCTCAAGGAATGGTGTTGTAATTATGACATTTCAACTTACAAAACGTATACAGATCTTTCTTGGGTAAATCGACAGTGCAAAAGCAGCTTTAATTAACACTGTAAATTGTCAACACCAGTGCTTTGTTTTAGCATTAATGACATATGCATATAGGAATTATCAGAAAGATATCAATTTATGAATCATGGAGAATTCATGACATGTACCACTTGGAGAAAAGGAAATCTTTTAATATTTTTTTGCAAAAGGTATAATGAAACATGTACAGTGAGTATGGTTCTAGCTATTTTGGCTTGTATATTAATTCGCATATCCTTTCTGTACAGCAATGAATAATACAACAATAATGGGGGAAAGAAGGAAAATCATATATGGGAGGGCTTGATTCAGTGCACCTTCTGTGATTCCAGACCCTTGTACATTGTAGTTGGCTTTGTCTTCAATAAATGCCTCAAAGAAATTCTGGTAGCCTGTGTGATTTAGTGAGAAGTTCGAGCCTGTGACCTTCATCATTTCCATGGCCTACCGAAACATGAAAATTGTCGTTACTTGTCAACTGTTTATTTTTCATGATTTCAATAAGCAATGAACGAAATGAAGTGCTTTGGCGAATGTACATCCAACATTGGAATTTAGAGCAACAATAAGTTGATTATCAGTTACCTTGAAACTGTACAGAAACTGGCTTGCTTTCTTGCTTACTTTCGGATTTGGATGAGACTGGAGCTTCTCATACATAACTTGAGCTTCTTTTGGCCTGTGAACAAATGCAGCTGTCTATAGTTCAACTTGTATCAATGCAAATAAAAAAAAGCAGAATGATACTGTTTACAAATGAATCCAACAGAATTTCAGATTTGATACATTTGCCTGATTTGCTGGACAACCTGAAGGCTGCAGGCAAGTATCGAACCCTATCGTCATTGTTATATCTCTAACATGTTTGAAGGCAACTTGATCTTGAGGAAGTTAAACTAGAAACAAAAAGCCTTTATATTGCAAGCATAGCTTAAGTCTAATCTTTAATATTCCAGAGATAAGGTTTGATGGCAAGTTATTTAGCAAATTAAAAATAAAAAGAAAGGTCAGATCAGATTTTCATATATAAACAAAAGGTGCTTCTGCATCCATTCTGACACTGGATTCAGAATATAGCTTTTGTAATTGTCATAGTCACTAAACAATCATGGTAACTATGAGATGAACTATCAATGAGGAAAAAGTCCAACAATACAGTTGTTTTTAATCTATTTCCTTGAGTAGCTAGATCCAAATAGAGTGGAAGAACTTAAAATATTGAGGATGCACATCAATACAGTTCGAAGTTCCAACAGATTAATAGTTACCTACTAAGTGAATCTTGACATATAGACCACTGCACAGCAGCTACTCCATGAAGTTCACTCTGCACAATCAAAAGAAAATAACTACAAGGAAAGGAACACCAGGTTATAGTTAATTACTCGCTGTAATGAATTGAATTCTTTCTGAAATAAAATTGATTTTCAACAATGAAAAAGGCTACAGTGCTCTAGAGCATGAATGGGATATCTGAAACTAATACATAAAACATCTAGTTTGGGAAGTAAGAATGACTAGAAGCGTGAAACAGTGGCAAAAAGATTTAAAAATCATTAAGTAATGCATGTGATGGGGCACAAAACCTTTAGTAAGTTCCTTTTCTCAATTTGAAGCAATAAGAACCTTTTCATCACATCTTCACTGAAGAGGCCATAACAAATTTAGAAGTTATATTTAATTTTCAAGTCCAAAATTGTGGGATTAAGTAATAGAACAAATGCTTTTTAAGAAACGCAATATCATGAAATTAGTACAGTTCTAGAGGGATGCTATAGACCAAACTAGGCTAAAATTATGTAGTGTGTTAAAAATTTCACCATCAATGAAGCAAGAATGACCAGAAGAGTGAAACAGTGGCAAAAAGATTTAAAAACCATCGTCTTAAGTAAAGCATGTGATGGGGCACAAAATCTTTAGCAAGTTCCTTACCTCAATTTGAAGCAATAAGAACCTTTTCATCACATCTTCAAAGAAGAGGCCATAACAAATTTAGAAGTTATATTTAATTTTCAAGTCCAAAATTGTGGGATTAAGTAATAGAACAAATGCTTTTTAAGAAACACAATATCATGAAATTAGTACAGTTCTACAGGGATGATCTAGACCAAACTAGGCTAAAATTATGTAGTGTTAAACGTTTCACCATCAATTGAAAGAGGTGGTAAGGCAGAACAGAAATTAATATTTCGTCTAGAGAAGGTTGTGATGAACTTCCTAACAATTTTCAGTTTTAACTCAAAATTCGTTCAGACGAATTACCTTAAAAGGCATCTTCTCCATTACTCTTTCATAGTAGGATAAGGCTTCCTTAAGCTTCCCAGAATCCATCAATGAGTCACCATCCTTCAATGCCTGTAATTATAAAAACCAGCTTAGGAGAATGGTCCTTTTGGTACTTATAGACCACTATTGTGGTTCGGCAATAACTTTGAAGGAAGCAAGAATGTTTACTTAATTTGAGTACCTTGTCACATTCAGATATTAGCTTTGGGTCAACATTTAATCCAACCTTCTTCTTGTAAGCAGCAAGCAATTGCCTTGTGCGTTCATTTTTAGCATTTCGATCTTCTTCTGTTTCTAGCACTTCCCCAGGTCGAATAGTCCTTCCACCACCAAACTAAAACCATTAAATCATGTCAGAAATGCTTTTTGAGAGGCATGAGAGAACATGATGTAGCCACCCTGTGATCCTATAATCAATTCATCTCTATAATTGAAGCTTTTGCAATTTAGAACACTTTCCGTTAATCATACTTGTACATCTATTAGTTGAAAAACAAAAATACACTTCCCAACTGCTGAGCAGCTAAAGTCGGGTCGTGAACAAGTTGTTAAACTGGATAATCTTGGCTCACTTGTCCTCGCATTATATAGCAATAAAATTTATTTTTATCATCTTAAGAAGGTAAAATCTTTGTTATATCAAATACAATATGCAAAACAGTGACTAGTATGTACTAAAATACAAAAATATTTCAGGCTTTCAGCTTCAATCTGAATCCTGGAGCCAAGAAACTAGGATATAATAACAAGATCATGGAGAAGTGAAAAGCAATTCTCAGGAACTTCATAGATACACATCCATGTACACATGCTCATGCTCATGCTCATGCAACATCCTATGCATTTAGGAAGACACTTATCAATTAGCATCATAGTGGCAGATATCCATTTAATTTTTATTTGTTTAGCACACTGCAGAAAATTTCTATTTTCCAGCATGATCAGTTCCAACTCTCACTATAATTCCAACAATTTCCACTCTCAATGGTTAAAAGAAAATTGACATTCTCTATAGGATCAATAGGTGAGTTTTACCAACAACATCAGATACATCAGGTAAAATGGCAAATTTGTTTATTCTCCAGAAACTAGTAGGAATCTGTGTTTGACATATTCCACTACAATAAGTTATCCAATCAAATGAATTGATCTCTTTTACCCAAAACGAGACTACTGAAAGCCTAAAGGCCAGATTTTGAGAAAGTCACACAATGATTTTTCTACAAAACAAATAATTTGTTTGCCGTCTTACCGTCTTGGAGATGTTGCCGGGCCTAGGGAAGACTCCCCATGTTGAGACCTTTGGCTTGTAAACTTCTGAGTCTTCTTCCGTGTTTTGCTTCATCTCAGGTGTTGTTGCTTCCCCAAGTTGCTGGTGTCCCCAACAATAATCTCCACATCAGGCAAGTCACCTTCTGGAAAAGGGTCAGAAATTGGAACCAGCCCAGGGGGTAGTCCTCTGCTCTTTTTCTTATCAGCAAAATCAAGCCCTACGAAGTCAATGCTTGATACCGATAACTTTTCCTGCTTCTGAATCTTCGTTTCCAGAATCTTTCTTTGCTGTGGAGTATCCTCACTCCCAGTTTTCTTGACTGAAAAATCAATTCCCACCAAGTACACATTAGCGGCACACAACATATTTGAAAGTAAGACCTTTCGTCAACTGTATGATTTTCCTAGTAATATGTAACATACTGCACATATAATATGACCATTTAGATTTGAAAAAATGTTTATTCGTGCACAAAAAATGGAAAAGCATTCCAAGGTTTTAGGATTTCGCCCATCAGTTAGAAAGAAAGAAGAAACAACAGATAAATACAACTATATTCGCTCAGCTCCCCAGGCTATTGCAATCCTCATCCGTAATCATAACATGAAAGAAAATTCATATGATTTATGTTCTCATCTCGCATAAAGTTTTCTTTTTGGATGAATAATTCTGAACCAGATGAAGGAAAATAAAGTCACTATCCCCATATAGCAAAAGCCAAGAATTTTCAACTCTTACCAGAAGCAATTGTGGACTCACTGCCATTCTCCTTGTACTCGCTTGCCTTTTCCACTGCAAACTTAACTCCATCAGTGTTTTTACCATCTCCACCTCCAGGGTTCACTGTGGTTTTCTTATAGGCTTTAGCCCTTTCAAAAGCAAGCTTGATAGGGTCTACAGGAGCAGTTTCTTCCGAGTTAGGTGAGTTGGACTTGGAAGCTTCATCGTTCTGACTCTGGGAGAAGGAAAGTTTGAAAAGAGAGTTCTTGTGATGGTTTGCGGGAGGGAAGAGAGCAGTGGATTTGAGGGAAGAAAGCCATGAACGCTGAAGAGCAGCCATTGGTTAGTTGGATAAGGGCAGGGATAACGTGGATGTTAAAAGCAGCAAAAGGAAAACTCGTGTCAATTCCTTTGTTCTATCTACAATTTGGGTTTAGTAACTTGGGCCAATTTTACGTCAAGGGTTCACGTTGTACGATCATCTCGTTGCTTGCGGATAAAAGATTTAAGTATATGAGTTGGATTTGTGGTGTTCCACCGAGGTATTGTTCTTCCTAGCTTGCTGCTATACTTGTACAATTATAAGAATGATAATGACCAAAAATGCGCCCCATCCTCAGCCTCTCCCATCTAGAATCACCTGCACTTAAAAGATTTGAGAAAACAAAGCAGTATATAAAGATAAAAGCTTCCATAATCCATTTACTTAACCTTTAATGGCTTAAATTTGACCCTGTTGTTATTATATATAAATATACAAGGAAGAAAAATGGGAATAATATAATTAATATTTATGAAAAGTAGGTTGTTACAAGTCATTAGATCATCTTTTAAGATCCTAATTAAAAGATTACCTGTGTTTTAAATTTCCCAAATAGGGTTACTCTTTTGCTCATATATAAACGAAGCCTTTTCTACATCAATATCTGGGTATAAGATTTCAAAGAAAGAAGGATATGGAGATGGGAAATGTAAAAGTGCGAGGGTAGGAAAAGATGATAAAGCAGAAGTAGATATATGGAATTATGTATTTGGATATGTTAATATGGCAGTAGTCAAATGTGCCATTGAGCTTGGGATCCCCGATGCTATCCACAATCATGGAAGTCGCATGACATTCTCAGAGTTAACGACTACCCTCAGATGTAAATCTGGTGAGGCAGGATTCTCGGTTCACCAGATTCACTGTAAAACGCATCCGTGCAGTGCAATCCGTCATTGAAGCTTATGTTTAAAAGCCTCCATATGGTTTTTTTGCTACAAAATCTTAAGAGCCTGTTGTGCTTTTTTATTGGTGAGACCAAATAAGACTTCTTGTTGTTCTGTTTTAGTAGTTTGGCTCTTTGGTAGTTTGATTGACTTCAATCTTTATGTAATGCTCTCAAAGAAATCTGAAATAGTTAGGGTTATTATTAAGATTTGATGAACATAGTTTGAGGTTACATTAGGGTCAATTGTTATGAATATCAAAAGAACATATATTTTACTTTTACCTTCCCAAAATGTTTCTATCACAAGTCACTATTATAAACAGCGTAATTTTCTATCTATTCGCTTCTGTGTTTTTATGCATTTATCATAGATGGTCAAGGCCGGCCCTGTCATACTCTAATCCAGATAATACTGTTCATCTATACATTTTATATTCCCAACTTTGAATTTTAAATGAATAACTATGATATTGTTAATTGCATCTGCTAGGCTTGTTCCTTCGCCCTCTAATAATCAACCAATGTCATCGAGTTCAGGAGTTATATCTACTGGTATGGTTTCCATATTTCTCTATATTATTCTCGGAATTAACAACTTTTTTTAACAATGGTTTCATTCCTCTGCTCTCTGCAGTGATCGTAATCATCATGATTCTCCTCGTAATGATCGTTATTGGTTTACGTAGAAGAGCTGAAGCTATCAGGAACAACGCTCACCTTCCCGAATTTCTGATGACGACTAAGCATAAATTCCTCAATGACATGGAAAAGGAGAAGCCTATCAGGTTCACTTCTCAGCAGCTAAGGATTGCAACTGATAATTTCACCAATCTGTTGGGTTCGGGGGGATTTGGAGCAGTATACAAGGGAGTTTTCAATAACGAAACAACCGTTGCTGTTAAGGTTTTAAATGGAACCTCCAATAAAAGAATCGAACAGCAATTCATGGCGGAAGTTGGTACAATCAGTAGAGTTCATCACTTTAATCTCGTCCGACTCTATGGCTTCTGCTTCGATAGGAACCTTAGGGCCCTGGTTTACGAGTACATGGTTAACGGCTCGCTCGACAAGTTTTTATTCGGGGAAGAAAAGATACTATTAGGATTCGAAAAGCTTCATGAGATCGCAATAGGAACGGCCAAAGGGATTGCTTATTTGCATGAGGAATGCCAACACCGAATTATTCACTATGACATAAAGCCCGGAAACATTCTCCTAGATGCTAACTTCTTTCCCAAGGTAGCTGATTTCGGTTTGGCCAAGCTCTGCAATAGGGAAAATACTCACATAACCATGACAGGCGCTCGGGGTACTCCGGGGTATGCTGCGCCCGAACTTTGGATGCCTTATCCCGTGACCCATAAGTGCGATGTTTATAGCTTCGGGATGCTACTGATTGAAATCATCGGTACGAGAAGGAACCTCGACACTGAACGTCCAGAGAGCCAAGAATGGGTTTCCAAGATGGGTGTGGAGCAATATTGAGAGTGGAGATCTCGGACAGTTAATGGAAGTCTGCGAGATTGACGAAAAAAATCAAGAGACGATGGATAGAACGATCAAGACAGCTTTATGGTGTGTCCAGTATAGACCGGAGTTGCGGCCATCGATGAGCATGGTGGTTAAAATGTTAGAAGGAGCAGTCGAAATTCCTTCACCTTCAAATCCATTTGGACATTTGCTGGTGGAGACTAAAATTACCCGCAATTCTATTTCTGCCAATTCAACATGGACTGATGCGCCAGCTGATTCCAAATCGACATCAAAGTTGATAGGTGCAACTCATACCATGAAAAATGTTGAGATTGAAGCGCCATGTACTTGTGCTTAGTACATTGTACCATCTATTGCAACATACTGGTAATGTCGTCTGTGTATAATTTAGAGACTCGTATGTGTATAATTCTTCTACGATTTAATAGTATGCGTATTACAAGTTGCGTTTGCAGGTATATATCCTAGTGATGTCGGACATCCCACCGCTGCAAATACCATCCTTTGAACAGTGAATGGAATGAGCAGCAGCAAAG